TTTCCAACTCAGTCCTCAGGGATCCCTAGACTGTCCACATTTTTGCTCCCTCCCAGCTCCCTGCCAGACTGTCCACATTTTTGCTCCCTCCCAGCTCCCTGCCAGACTGTCCACATTTTTGCTCCCTCCCAGATCCTGCCTGGGGGTTCCCAAGGACCATGTTGAGAAACACTGCTATAGAGTATGCACTATTCGATTAATTTTTCCAAGCTAGATTTTTAAGTTGCTGTTAAGTACGGTGAATTTAGAATTCTGCACCACATAATGTACTATATAGAAAGTACTCTTAAAAATGTACTGTTACTCCGACCGGCAACTGCAAATCTTAATTTGGTTTAAAAAAAAAAACTTAATGCTGTGATTTTCCTAAAGTCAAGTAGAAAGATAGAAAAAAAAATCAGGATCCTATACCAACTTTTGTCAGGCCACATGTAACATGGTCATGAAGTCCAGGAGGATTTTACAGCCCCTTCTGATGATCCCCATAGGCTTCAAATGGGTTCCCAGTGCAGGACCTCCACACCACTAGGGAGCGATGTTCTCACATGCTGCCGGCAAGCAGTGGCGATCGTTCCCCATGGCTCAGGTCGTCGTAGTGTGGGGTGTCATGCAGGTGGAGGCTAAGCAGGGTTGCTTCCGCCCGCAGCGTAATTTTCTACAAATAAAGTTTGATCTCTGTTGTAATCTGACCCTTTTAATTGATGACCGTCACCTATTGTCTCACCAGTTAACTCTGTTCCCACAAGGGGGACATGAGAGTCTGGAAACTCATATTATTCTGCCATGCACCTGAACCAAGAGCACAATCTAATTATTCTTAAATGGCTGATATACAGCTCAAAGTTTCCTGTTTATTCCATTTACACAGCTGGACTTGAGCACGATTTTCTCATTTTTTTCACCCACAATCCCACTACAAAACTTCTATTATGTGAGATCTGTCTGACACCACAATCATGTGATGAAGCTACCAAGCCAATGGCTCACCAAAGCCTGAAAGAGGGTTATTTTAAGTGCTTAATTCATGCATTGTTTCCCCAGGATTAACAACAGGGGCCCGGACATCGCCTGCCACTGCCATACGATCACTCTGGCCTTGCCCCTCTTACCTGAAAGTCTCGGATGTAGGTGAGGAAGAAGCTGATAAAGGAGAATGCCAAGGACCACTCAGAGATGGTGCTGACGATGTGAGGAGTATAGCCCTGTCAGTGAGAGAGAGGGGGCTGCTACTGATGCAGGAACAGATGTACACTCATACACATTGCCACAAAGGTTCTGGCACTAGATTAAAAAGTAGACGAGGCTGCACTACAAGAGACATTATACACCCGACAGAGACTAGTGTGGCCTGCAGCTCTACCAGAGAGAAATTCCATACCTTAGCCAAAGTAAATACAGTATAAATTATTTATAGAGAAAACAATGAGCTGTACACAGCAGCAAGCACACGCACATACACTCACCGTTTCCCCTGGAATCCAGTGTAGCTTCTTCTCGACATCCACTCCAGGCAAACTGCTGTACATGATGACCGATGATACGAACACTGGCAAAGGTCAGAGGTCAAGGACCACAGCAACATTGAACCTGTCTGTCTCGCCTCCATACCCCCCACCAGTTTGACTCATCACATGGCACATTGCTGCAGATACTGCTGATGATGCTGGTGAAGGTCCAGATCCCCAGTACCAGCCGCACCCAGAAGATGCCCTTGCCGTGCAGCCGTGGCTGCATGCGGTATGACAGCAGCGTCTGCACCAGGATGTAGAGCGCCCCAATGCCAAAGGTCAACACTGCCCCCACCAAGTGCATGGAAAACAAAGTGGTTTTCTGTAATCAACAGAGAGAGGAGAGGAGAGCAATGTCGCTGGGAAGCAGTGTGGAGAGCAGACACATTCAACGAATTATACTAATGAACAAAATAAGCAAGCCAGTTAAATCATAAAAGCAATGTTGACAGGCAGAGATAGTGTCCCATATTTACATAAAATGGGGCGGGGCATAACCAGTGATGTCACAAGAAGAGAGGCATGAATGACAGGAAGGGTGGAACATGCCTGAAAGTTAGCGACGACGCACATCCCGAAAGAGCTGAGCCAGCCCAGAACCAGGCCGACCTGGTTGAGAATATGCAGTGTGGGCTCCTCGTGGTCCACCAGGGCCTGCACCTGCTTGTACCGGACATAAATGGTGGCGATGCCTACAGAAGCGTTGGAAAAGGGGAAGGGCAGCAAGTGGGGCATGATTGGCACCGGACTGGCTACAGGAATGACTTTTATAGATTCTTATGGTACATCGGTCAGACGTGTTTTCCAGTTACATCATTCTCACTGTCACACACACTGCCATACAGTGAAACAGTCATGTTTGGGTGAATTCATTAATATGTAAGCATTTAACCACTGCTCTTATTACAGTCGTCCCTCGCCATTTCGCGCTTCGACTTTCGCGGCTTCACTTTATCGCGTTTTTTTCAAATACATTTATTCATCAAAAAGTTGATAGACAGTGAAAATGATACGGCACGCGCTCGGTTGTCTGAGTCAATTATACACCACTGTATTACAATTAAAATTCAAATTACTGTACGTATGGACTGTATACCTATGTATTTGAGCACCCCCGCAAATCCTTCAACGCCAGGTGCAGCCGAATAATAAAGAAATAAAGAATCCTACTTCGCGTAAATTCATTTAACGCGGTAGAGTCTGGAACGGATTAACCGCGATAAACGAGGGACGACTGTATAGGAAACTACTACAGACACTCCCTGGGTTACAATGGTTCATGTTACGATATTTCGACTTTACGATGCGTATTCCAGTTCCATTATGTTTTTCACTTTTAGTACATTATTCAAAAAATTACATGAGATATTCAACACTTTATTATCAGGCTTTGTGTTAATGATTTTGCCCAGCTGTAGGGTAATGTAAGAGTTTGAAGCATATTTAAGGCAGTCTGTAGGCTAACGCAAGTGTTCTAAGAATTTTTACGGTAGGCTAGGCTAGGCTATGATGTTTGTTAGGTTAGGTGTACTGTATTAAAATGCATTTTCGCCTTACGATAGGTTTATCAGAACGTAACCCCATCATAACCCAGGGAGTGTCTGTACATTAATTCATACAGCAACAAGGAATACTTCACACCCATGAAGCCTTGACATTTTTTTAAGGTTAATGAGAAAGAGCACACAGTTTATAAGCAAGCTACGAGTGTAAATATGCAGTCATTTCAGCTTGTCTGCATCTTTAAGAGCAAGGCTTTCTACAGCTTAAACTGGAGTGGATGAGCACTGATCCACTAATCAGGCATCTATGTAGCACCAGGTGAGCTTATATGCCAGAACATCGGCCTTGCTGAGGGTAATGAGACATGGGGAAGGGCTGAGGTCCCCAGCAACCCCAGCCGTATGCTATCATAGGTCAGCAGGAGAGGACAGGCTGACATACCGAGGAAGGAGGAGATGTCCAGCATTATTCCAAACACGCAGCGCTCAGGAGCCACTGTCCCCGTGTCACTGAGAACCAGGAAGGATGGCCACTCGTCAAAGAACACATTACTGTCCCATCTACACCCCTGTGCCTACCCCTACCTTGGCAAAGGTATCAACTCCTTCAGAACATATACTGTCAGAAAAAATAGAGTACCAATCTGTACCTCAAGGGTCTGAAAATTGTATACTCGCTGTAGGTAAATGTCCCATTCTAATTTAGGGTACAGAAATGGACTCTGAGGAAGATCCCCAAGGTACAAACAATAATAATGTACCCCGAGGGTATAAAAAAGTCCATTTCTATAAAGTCCATTTCTGTACCATAAGAGCTACAATTACCTACAGTTAAGGGAACAATTAGCAAACTCTTGGGGGTACAGCCCCAATGACAAGTAAAGGTACAAATTTGTACTCTTTCTTCTGACAGTGTAGATCTTACATAATTTTACACATTCCACTTAAACAATACCTTTTACTCTAATGCAGGAACCCACCATATTTTAGCTGTAATGAACCTTTCGGTGGAAAGTAACACTGCTTGTTATTTGCAGGTGAAAGTTAATCAGTGGCTTGGAAATAGCACCACGTACCTGATGTATGGTACCAGTGGGTCCACGTGATTAAGCACCACAGCTGTGATGTAGGCAAAGATGAATGTCGCAGACGTCCACAGCACCAGAGCTGTGGGCAAGGCACACATGCCTTGCTGGAACCACCACATACTCATCTGTGGGGGGGGGGGCACTATCTCTAACAAGGGCGGAGGAGAGGAGCAGTGGTCTTCTTCAGTGGCTGTCTCTGGGGGGCAACAGATTCGGTGGAAATTTTCCTGCACGATCCATGAAAAAAAAAAAACAGGATTAACTGAAATGTGACCTGGCAGCTGAGAAGTTGGTTTAGTGAATTTTTTTCAGCCATACTTCCTAAATGAGCATTTTCAAAGTCACTTTCATTTTCAGTTCCTCCTTATTCAAGGAGCATCTGAGTAAAACTTGTCCCGTGATCATCAAAAGGGGGAAAAAGCATTCTCTCCAGAGGTTCCGTTATGCAAGTCAGATATTTTTCGTATTAGCGATTTCCATATTACACCCTTATGCTATTCTCCAAGATCTCATATGTGACAATACATCAGGCCATACACAAGAATAAGTGTGTTCACAGATTACTTTCAGAGGCAGACCTTCGACATTACCGCGAGCCAGAAGTGTTAGTACAACTAGCAGAAGACAGTGAGACACACGGGGGGAAACATACGGGATTTATTTTTGGAGCAATCTGCCGGAATTTTATCTTTTAATGTAAGTTAACAAAATAACTGAGATTACCTGGCCGAGATAACACTTTTGCTATTCATTTAAATAATATTCACAAAGTGACGACTGCGCAAAAAATTACAATTAAATCAGATAGAATATGGCCAAGCAGTAAATAATAGAACTAATCAATAAATAAGTTCGTACTGTCGCTGAGTGACACATACTACGTCACACTTAGTCTCCGCGTTAATCCGTTAGGCGTGTTTATTCACACTGGTTAATTACAATTCATATGTGATTCATTAACAGTTATTTTAATATTGAACCAGACATAAAACTACAAACGAAACAAAACACCTTCAAAAGGCACTATGGCGAAAGTACTTTTGTGCAAGTAAATCGCTGTCAGCTTGTCAGGGCAGGTAAGTGAGAAGCACCGCATCGTGACAGAACACTTACAGAAGACTCAGAAAAGAAACCACATACCTTATAACTTTTACAAAATGTCAATGGACACGAAACGCAAAAGAATGGGCAACGGGTAAAACGATGTGGACGTGCCGCGGCTATATACGAATGAAAATTAAATATTAATGTACAATAAAAACACATTTCACCTTTGCGTGGCGAAGGCCGTTTCAGGCTACCATGACTTCACGATGGAGGGTGAGGGCGCAGCTCCAGGCGGCCCGGCTGCCTTTGGTATCCCGGCCGTCGCTTCGCGCTCGGGCAAACTGGCATAAACTCCGAGGGGACGCGGGTCCGGTTCGTCGCTTCCTCAAACTTTACCCGGCATGCTCTGCGCCGCGCTATTTCCATACGTGCATTAGGGACAGAGTTCGCAGCAAAGCAACGGGTCCTACAGCCGGTGTTTTGTCGAGTTGAGCTACTTTGTCGAGTTAGGCTACCGTTGTGCTAATCGATAGCCCTAACCCCCCAAAAAACCCTAAAACCTTTACTTTAACCCTAATCCCTAAAACCTAACCCTAACTTGAAAACGGTGGAACTGCACATGCGCAAAAAGGCTCGATAGCATGTTTCGATAGGTACCTCTACTCGTCAGAGCACCGCCGATGATGGATTTATATTCAGCATATGCCCTCTTTGTTCAACTGTATAAGCTAACAAAACATAAATGTAAGCCACTTACATTTTAAATGTAAACTTGTGCTAAGGAAAATTTCTGTAGCGCTGGTTAAGTCGCCCATATGCTTATTTACGGGGATGTGCAGTTCGGTGGCCTGTACTACGAAGCGGGGTTACTGGCTTACCGGGGTGACATCGAATTTAAGGTACCACAGTTTAATTGGACTTCATATTCGCTCACTTACATTTCTCCCAGACTACCTTAAATCCCGACAAGTTACCCCGATAAGCCAGTAACCCCGCTTTGTAGTACAGGCCCCAGATCTCCCTTGATTAATCAATGTTCCAGATATGGAAAGATTATAAATCTCCCATTTCCTTGTGTGCGGTTTGAAAAGGACCGTTGTCTCAACTGGAAAACGTCACACAAAACCGTGACTACAGTATAAGGACCGGTTCTTATAAAGCTGATAAATAAATAACCTCCGAGAGGCTTAAGCACATATATGGTTTCCATTAAAAGGTTGTTTGTATTTCTAATTGTCTGGTGTGTTTTATTTATTTATGATTTAATGTCAAATATATTGGTGTGACTAAAGGGAAACAAATTTGCCTTGTGCAATGTGCATTACAAGTCAGGGGGAACGTGAAAATGTCTTATGATTAAAAAAGGCATTTTTTTACTAAACCCCGGTTAAATAAACACTATGATTTACATTAAAAGTATGTTAAAGCACAGAAGCATGTCAAAACGTAGTTTTACATACAACTTTAATAATTAAATGTTTCTAAATAGAAAGTTTACACTAAAATTTAAAAACGTTTTCAAAACCGTACACAGAAACAGTTTTAGAAGATAAAAGCAAGAAAAAATATGCATTTTTTTCCCCAAATGACGTTTTACGTCTGCAGTCAGAGGAACCAAAACCAGCTGTTATTTTTTTGCCGCACGTTAAGTACGTTTAATATATTTCCTCAGTATATTATGCACACAAACGCGAAATGGTAGAACATTCATACGTTATGTCATTGGAAACATGTTCTCATTGCATTGTACGTTAACAAAATATTTTAACAGCTTTCCAAAGACAAAAAATGGTAGATGGAGTTGAAGCAGAAGTTTGTGCAAAATAACGAGTATTCATCATTCTTGTAATGTCAAAGCACGTTTCCGGCTGTGAATTTAAGGATGAGCGAGACAGACAAATTAATTACACCCTGAATGACAATTAGTTGTTCTTATTACTCAAAATAATAAAATAACTGTGGAAACCAAAGCCAAGGTAGAAGGGAGTATGTATCTTACAATAAACTAGTTTGTGCCAAAACGCGGCCTTCAGCCGTTCTGTCAGTGAACATTTCTGTAAACACATGCAAAAGGTAGTACAACTGTGGTATTAAACAAGATTTCAAATTCAGTATCAACGTTAAGGCAGTTTTCTTGTAGAAAAACTACTGGACAGTAACAGCTGACTCGAAAAAGGTAATTTAACATTAACACAGCAACACTTTACGTTAGATTCAACAAATAACCAGTTCATTTTCCATGAAAAGGCATTTAAGACGAGCCTTCAATTTTAAACCGGATTAGATGTCTTGTTAACATCAGAAACACATAAGGACAAAACGTATTTGGGTAGTGTTAAAACACTGAAAACTTAAGTGGGTCTCGAGCTGTTAATACTGATCATCAATAGGCTATATTCGGCAAACCTGCTCACGGAAATCAACAGTGAATCACCTTCCATAAGGAAACTTCACATACAACAGATTCAAATTGGTTCTCACGTATCCTGAAGCTGGTTGTTTGAAGTAAAACACATCTAGCAACATCGGTATTGACACTAATTGAAACTGAGTACCATTTTACATGCCTTTCTTGTGCAGGTCCTTGAGTTTGTCTTGGCGAAAAGGTTTACTGAGGTTTTGGTCCAGAAGGTTTTCTACCCAGGTAAGACACACAAAGCATATTCTTGTACAAACTGACAAACTAAGCTACCCATATTGAACTGTCGCTGGTGTGTCAGTTCTTTGTGTGTGTGTGTGTGTGTGTGTGTGTGTGTATGTGGGGGGCGGGGGGCGGTTATTTCCCTAAAATTCAGTAACCCTGATGGAAAGACACCTAAACAGACAGGAATCTAAAATTAACTGTATTTTAATACCCAAATAAATGAGAAACAACCTTGAAAGTCATGACTTGTGTTTTTAAGACCTTGTTCAAACCACCTACTGTATTTAGGTGTTTGGAGACGCGTTTAATGTGTGTCATGCAAAACATGCACCAGTGCATAAGACATGAGAAACTGATATTTGGAATGGATTTTGCACTGGTGCTTGACTGTATGGCTACATAAAAAAAATACAACTGGTCAGACGAGCTAAAGCAACATGATATTCATCTGCTGACTTTTGCTGTGGAAGTCGGGACTTCCTCCAGTAATACCTCTGTACTGGTTTTCTTCTCCCTGGAAATAAGAGAGTTTGCCCCTGATGGGGGGCAGGGGAAGGTTACAGTCACGAACGGGAAGCAGCGATCAGCTGTGAGCACTGAGGGGTCCGGGGCCTAATCCTGAACACAGAAATGTTCAGGTGGGATGCGATCTGATTGCAGACACTGACGCAGTACCGTGCCAGATCAAAGCCTGAGAGGACCTGCAGAAGAGGAAAATTTTATTCGCATTAATGTCATGCACATCATGATATCAGAATCACTGTAATTAAGGCATCATACATGACTGTCACTGTAACCATTTGTAATCTAAAGCATGACAATATCGAAATTACTCTTTACAGTCATAATGCAGCTATAATGCTTGAATTTCCAGCTATTCAATTCAGAAAATATCTGGTCGATTTCAACAGATCACTGGCTCGGTACTCAGATTGACCTATATTAAACACATTCATTGTGTCATGTGAAAGGGTACATTACAGTGATCCTGCACGTTTGCATCTAAGGATAGTGCTTTGACATACTGTTTAACTGCCTTAAATCAATAACTGAAAGAAAACCTATAATTATGAATTGAATGAAATGTACGATCACGTTTTAGCGACTAGGTTTCACCCTTAATTACCCAAGCCTGCCTGAAGGGTTCCCACAGAAATGGAAGCTGGCTCACCAGAGCAACCCAAAGGACCAAATATTCGTCAATGAAACTGCTGAAGTACTGATCCAGGAAGAGCAGGCCCGGACCCAGCAGAGCCACGTCATGGAGATGCATCTCGCTCTTAGTCATGTGGGCCACCTGCAGATAGGACACTGGTTGGTTTGCAAACTCGTATCTCAGTGCAGTTGCGCTGCTGGCCATTGCCCTGACCACATAGCTATACATGTTCAACAAGTCAAATAACTCTCCTTAACCATTCGAGGAGGAAAAAGAGATCAACAATTGGGGCTCAGGTGACATCATATCGTGGAAAGAGACGGGAAGTGTATGGGGTCTTCAGCTACAAGTAAGCGGCTCTTGATCATTGAACACAGAGAACAAAGAAAGTCCCTGAAGAATGGAAGCCAGCAAACTCACCACCAGCTTGTTTGTGATCTTGGCAGATGCAAAGCCAAACGCCAGCACGTACAGACAGGGGTGCTTCTCAAACAGTCGGACCGACGATTTCTTATGGATCATCACAGCCAGCATGATGACGGAGCCAATGTGAAGGATCGGGGAAAGGACACTCGTGCCCTGTAGTAAAAAAACAGTCAAATACAAAGGAAAAACAACACGCTCAAGGATCAACAACAGTATTTAGTACACAATTCCTGTCCCTAGCTCAGCTATCTAAGCCTCCTACTCACCATTCAATCATAATCCAAACCACACTTTGCCACCACATTTTGTGATTCCTTAAAGTCGTGATCAGACTTTTTAGGTGTACTAACTAGAGATGCACCAATCCGATATCGGATCAGTATCGGCACCAATTCAGACCTATTAGACGGACTGAGCAGCAGCCATATATGACCGATCCTCGTCCGATACTTATTTAGTTCTCGTCAGTCTGTAAAAAGATAAACTCCTGTTTCTTGTTAAATCAATTTGTACGATCAATGGCAAGGCAGCTCTCCCCATTTTAGATGCGTCTGCCCCTCAGTGGGTGTGAGCGCACTGACTTGCGCCCGCTGTGACGTCATGCACGTACCCTTGCAGTACGAAATCAAATAAGAGATTGACGATCGGGAAGTATTTCACGCTTTTAACAACAACTAGTAGCACAGCAATGATTAATCTTTGTAAAAACAAAGGTTTGCGAGGTGGGAGTAGTGTTTAGTGAAAAATCCCCCTAAACAAAGTGCACATGCACGTGTCCGTCGCATCACAGATGTCATGTCCGAGTTCCGTGCTCGGGTGCAGTTAGTGATGCATACCGTACCCGAGTCCAACTAAAGCATGCCCAGGCCTGCTTGAAGCCAGGGCACAGTACAGAGCGAACACACAAGTCAAACGAACTACACTTCGGGGGTCAAACGTGCTCAGGCACGGTACAGATCGCCTAGTGCGAGTACACCCAAACCGGCAAGGCTCTCGCTTCTTTATAGCTGCACTCACTGCAATAGTGGAGCCATTTTTCCCAACGCCGCCGGTGAAGATGACGCGAAAATAGCTTGCGCAGGTGAGGATGGAGCCCGCCACGGTGCAGAGGGCCGGCACGATCTTCATTGGGATGTTTACCACGGGAATCTGTACCAAAAGAGGGAATGCAGGCCCAACCACAGTGGGGCTTTCAATAAAACAAACCACACTTGTGAGAACCGCAATAATGTAATCGCTGTGATTGATTCTGAGGCACTGCTGAACATTTTATGCTGGGTCACTTGCAGCTACAGCACATCGAAATATGCAGCTCTTAATAAGGGAAATAAATTCATTATACAGATGTTTAACGTGGTGATCATTTCACTGCTCCATGAACAACACTATAGTTTGAATGTATCTTCAAGTTATATAAATCACCAGGAGAGAACCTTTTGAATTCAAGTTTTAACTAAGATTAAGATGGACTTTACTGATCCCAGGGGAAAAGGTATGACTGGGTTAATGCATGTGGATTTTGCCCATTCAAACTGAGCTACATACAGATCAAAATCAACATTTAACAAATAATGACTTTACAGTCCATGCACAGAGATTGAGCGAGTGCTCGATTAAATTTTGGATAGTCGACATCACCGATGAGTGAGTAAAGAAAGGCAAGGATGTAATCACCGGAGCTTGCCAGAAAGCATGTCCACCAATCGCAGCCAGAAGGTGCATGACAATGATGAGGACCTGCACCTCAGTCACGTCAATTCTGTGAGGGGGACAGAGCAGGGACACCAATAAGCACCTCCCACTGCTGTCCTGTCACCTGGGCATTCTGGAGAAGAAACATGCTCAGGAATTCTGGGATACGTAGTCCTCCTCAGTTTCTCTGGCCATTTGAAATACACGTTGAACATCACCTGACCTCACCGCAACCACCCCTGCAGGTTACTCACAGGCCAAAGCGCAGGACCCCAGAGACATAGGTCTGCCAGTGGGCACAGTAGAAGAGGAACATGCCAGCAAAGCAACAGAAGAACATCCAGTCCGGGTGGGTCCCCAGTCGGAGAGCGAGACAGGTGCCAAGGACCACAAACACTACAGGAGAGAAATGCACAAGGAATCATCAGAGGCACACAGTCCAGTGGCGTCCAGTCTGACCCTCAAAGGGCTGGAAAGGATTCTATTCACACTCCACAAACTCTAATAGGAACAGACAAACTGGAATACAAGTGCTAATATTTACTCTCCTGGAAGAAAACACAGGCAGACCATAATGATTCACCAAAGCAATGCTAGACACACTATTTACAGAACGATTATTGTGATTATTGGTCAAACAAGAAACACATCCCTTCCCTTCCACTGAACATACTGGTTATCCACTGACTGCTTTACGGAGTGCATAAATAATACATTATATATTAAACCCTTTACAATTATAATGTACAGTTATATGACCACATACATCTCAGTGCCAATTGCCCTAATCATAAACATTTCCTTCTTTCCTCAATCTTTACACTAACCACATGGATCTCAGCTATAAAGCGTATGTGATGAGCTTTTGAATTTCAGTTAACTCTGTCTGTACAGACATCCAAATTCTTCATTTTTTTTTAAACTGTACAAGCTCATTTTGCCAATGCACAGCAGATACATTCTGCTGTCACAACTGTTTGCCCATCAAAAGACAACTGCTCTCAATACACACACTACTTCCTGTACTTGGTATAATTTCAAAACCAAGTTCCAGTAACAGACATATGTGTAGCTAGAAAATCTAGTAAACAAATTACAGATTTCTCACAGAGACTGGAAACTCATTTTGAAGCACACCACAAGGTTCAGATGATGTTACTTGCTTTAATATCTTAGTTAATTACTGGGACACAAGCAAAACATGCACTAATTTATTTTAAGTTGTATTCCCTCAGTCAAGCCCATGGAGTTCCGGCTGTGGAGATGAGTATGTTGACCAATTAAAACACGTCTGCCATTGTGATTGGTGGAGAAGCGTTGAGACTACCTGTGGACAGGGAGTCACAGCCATGGTCAAAGAGCTCCCCCAGTGGAGAGCTGCTGCCAGTACGCCGGGCCTGCTTCCCATCAATGGCGTCCAACGATTGGTAGATGAAAAGGCCCCCTGCACATAATAAGTATGTCCACTGAGGTGCCTGAGGGGAAAAAGGAGAAAAAAAAACACAAGGACCACAGTTTAACAGAATACAGATCTCTAAAAAAAAAAACACATAACTAGTATCATCAATGTGCATCATTTTTTATTACGCTGCCTGTCACTTCCTTAATGAAACAGGCATCTCAAAATGTCATCAAGTACCTCTCAGAATGGTGTCCCTGTTCCATAGCCTGAGGAAAAACTAGCCGTCCTGCAGTTGGGCTCCCTACCTGCTCAGTGGCAGTGGGACAGTAGCAGACCAGGACCAGGGTGGTGGCGATGTTGGTGAGCAGGCCCACGATGGTGATGAGGTTGGGGGCGACCCATGCAGGGACCCGGCCCACCAGCCACTCCCAGTAGTGCTGCATGAGGGGCTCCAGCAGGGAGTGCCCCGCACTGCTGTACCGGTGCTCCTCCAGCCTCTTCAGCTGGGCACGGGACAGGGGCGGGGCCGGCAGCCGGGTTAGCTTGCCCAGGAGCCAGGAACCACCCCTGGGGTCCGGTCCCCATCCCCCAGCCCAGCCTGCCCGGGCACTGGGGCCACGGTGGCTGGTCATCGGGAGCCTACCCTCCGGCAGGGCACTGGGAATCCACCGTGAGGCCGTGCTCAGTCCTGCAGAACCGGGATTAAAAAATATGGCTCTGAGGAATAGGGATTTGTGCCCACGTCCAGAGGGTTGTGGGTTTGGTTCCCATGCCCAACGCAATAATACAGCTAGGCCCTTAATCCCAACTACACCAGGGGCACGAGATCTTTCCTCACAAATGAAAGCAGTGTTTTCTCACCTGTACGATGCTTTCAATGAAAGAGTCCATCAACAAAGTGGTCTGACAGCCAGTAAAGTTAAATGGAATGGAGCAGGGTAGGAGGACTGGCAGGAGGTGTGTTGTGGAAGGGGGTGGTGAGTTCTGACACTACTGGGGGGGGGAGTTGCATGTCACCATGGTAACCAGCTCTCAATATTGGCACATAGTTCTAACCTCTAATAAGACACATTCAGGCCTGGGCTGTAGGTCAAAGCAAAATTACATTGGCCAAGCTGAACCTGAAGCAGCACGAGAAGGCATTTTTCTCCAAAAGGAAGGATTTAAGCTTAATTGACTATCACTTTTATGTTGGTTTGCAACAAAACAGGAATATTTCCAAGTGATGCTTCAAAAAAGCCACTTCAAATTCCATGCCCTGCAAGCACATCAATATGCCTTTCAGTACGAACAAAGCAAACCACATAAAAATCAATAAACATGTATACTGACGACTGGGCCCTCCATGTCACACCAAGGCAGAAGTGTAAAAGGAGGATGTGACGATTCTCAAAATGCTCCTCTGCACTTTCATTTCTGAATTCAGGCAACCTGTAAATGTACCGTGAAAAGACACACTGAACCCGTTCAACCAATACATCTGCCATATCCTAATGGCAACAGTTTAACAGCCTCCATCGATGAGCTGCTGAAACATAGCAACACATACGCTGCCTATGAAAGATAATTAAAAACTGTGGTTCAAAAAGTGAAGTTAACACCTAGGCTAGATGCCCAAGCTGCAGTTAATAATAATAATACTAAAAACAACAGTTTGGTGTTGCAGGGAAAGCAAACGCGAAGCCATTCAACACTCAACTGCGGCTGCAAGTGTAAATAAAATGAATGTTCATTGCGCAGGTGATGTCCCTGTGGCATCCGGTTTTCCTTACCTTCTGCTTAGGAAACAGGCCACAGGGCTGATCGCCCGCGTCTCTCCGTAGCCGGTACAGAGCAGCCGAGCCGAGCCGAGCTTGGAAGAGGGGATCAGCGGGAGATGCACGGGTGCCAGCCAAGCAGGCAGCCGCGTCTGGGCCGGTGGCTCAAAAGGGGAGCGGTCTCGGCCGAGATAGCAGCCCCGAGACTCGCAGCGCAACCGCGCACTGCAGCCCCAACCCCATACACTACCAGGGGAGGGGGAGAAGAGAGGAAAAAGCCCCGCAGCCGCTTCCGTCTCTCGCGACGACTCGGGGAACGACACTCGCCTGAGTCGGTTCTGCAAATTCACCACTTAGTCGGCATCAATGGCATGACAGCAAAAAAAGAAAACGTATTAATAGCCAAGAGCTGAGACTGCATGCAACAAAACCTCTAACGCATTCCGAGGACGTCCCGCTCCCATCCCCCTTGAAGCGACTTGCAGCTACTTGGGGAGGAGGGGAGAAGTATTGCGGCTCGGGAACTTCAGGGATCCAACAGAGGCGGCTTAGGGGGACATGCTTGTAGAACCGGTCCGCCAAGGTCCGCTCCAGATAGAGGTTACATGATACCAGTACAGTGACGAGAACGGGCGACAAACCGCTTTCTAACAGCGGATGGGATGCACATTCTGAAAAGACTGTCATAAATAACGAACACCTCCTTGCCAGTTACCAAGGAAGGAATAATACGCATCACACAGTATGGATACGAACGGATTTTTTCAAAATATAACAATTGTCTCTTTTCGACTTGGTTTAGTCTGAATACATCATTTCCTATTTTAGGACAGTTATTTGTAAAGCACTGATGCTCCAGCAACACGCTGACGCAGGCACAGTGCTTCTTGGGATATGTAGTCTGGCGTTCACAGACTTGTCCATAGAATAACTTAATTGATTTTTCTGGCATTTCAGAATTAGGTGTTAAAGGTGCTCAGTCATGGTGTAAGAATTTACACGTCTTGGATTGTTAGTCATATTAAACCCTTCAGTGTCCCACCTCGCACTTTGTAAAGAGCTGGAAGATCTCTGTAGATCAGAGATACGCAGCTCTCCATCTCCTCGTGCAGATGTTTACCAGCTTACCAGTTGCCTCTTGTCTTTGTGTACTAAATCGCAGATGTTCTTTTTATGACCGGCGAAGTTTTTAACCGCAAAGCACAACTCGTAAACGTAGGATTACACGCTGGTCAGATGCTAAGACTTCTAGAAACATTTAACAAAGAGCCGCTTATGCAGAACTTGGCTCCGTTGTCTTTCTCTGCAGTCTGAAAACAGACGCACAAAGAATTTTATTGTAAAGGTACAGCATGATGCATAATTTACATGTCATTAAAAGCGCCTAGTTATGAATTCCTTGCGCATACATTTATCGTCCTCTTTACTTGCTGGTGGTGTGAAGTACTGATCTGGTTCTTCAAGTTAACTATAAGCTAGAAGATGAGCTCATTAGACTGTATTCATTTTTCAGATATAGTTAATTGTAAATGTAGTCATTGGTCAGAAAACCTGCTAATGTGTTATTAACACATTTGTTTAGAATTACCATTGTATATATGTAATCATTTTTGAGGTTGAAATATTGAAACATATAAACACATACATACTAGCCATCCAAAGTTTTGTTGGCATTTTTTAATAAAAAAAAAATATATAATTTATGTATAGATATTTTATATAAATTATACAAATTCACTGTTTTAATGACAGTAGTCTGCTGGTGCATTCCTGGCTGGTTCTGTTTGCAGCTATATATCAGTCATATTTTGGTCATTCAGGGTTTACGGAGGTTAATTTTTATGTTACATCATTCCCATTCAGTTTTCAATGATAGTGAAGGCTAGAGTGAAAACCTGTATGAACAGTGTGGTATATCTCAGCACCATCACAGACTAGTTACAATGACACAGCACATGCATGCTATTTGCTTCAGGCACAAACATTCTCTCACAATCTCTCTCATACAGGACGATTAATCTTATAGCAAAAAAGGCTCTCTGTCTATCACAGTGTGATTGCATGCATGCAGTTGCAATGGATTCCTCCGCTGCAGGTTCTGCATAATGTGTTTGTTGTCCTACCCCCCATGATCTGTAGTCCCAACTAAAATGCCAACCTTCTTCTCCCAGCCTGTAGCTACTAGTCAAACAGCACAGATGTGACGTTTGACCCTCAGCCCTCAAGCTAAGGGCACTGATTGGCTCGACTCAGTGGAGCGCTTGTCTTATTGCACACCTAGCACGCTAAGACATGTAGTTCCACAATAAATGCAAATGTATTGTGGTTTTTTGTTTCTTTAAGCTCCTAGTTATCTCATTTTGACTAATATCTTTTGTCATCTATTTCTGTTGACTTTCTTGTAGACTAAAAGCTGTAACTGTTATGTAATTTTATTCACTGGGGTATATTATCTGGAATCCATCAAGGAGAAATTGAGAGCAACTCAAAATTTAGCTTAAATATTTTTTATTGCGTTGCTGGTGTGTCTTCAGTTTAGCAGGTTTTTGTCAATTTTCCAAATCACCGCCCCTGGCTGCTGATTGGCTATTATCCTTGATTGACACTTGTCAGCATGTACCCCAGCAGAATCCATCCTTGCTTCCATCTACATATCCCAGGGTGGGTTAGGGTGTGCCCTTTGTTGCTGATCCCAACCTGGATGGGATGCCAGTAAACCACCGGGCACACACTTTCACACTATATGCAAATTATAGGCATCTTTTAATAGCATAGCTTCAGATTTCAGGTGAAAATCAGAGTATCAAGAAGAAACGCACACAACAGTAGGAGAACATGCAAACTCCACACACACAGAGCCACCCTTCCAATATTTACTGAAAGGGATATTTACATATTTCCATCATAGGTTATTGGCTAGTTAGTCTGTGGGTTGGTCTAGCATCCATAAGACAGCAGAGAGAAGAGTTTTCTAAGGTGTCAGTATAGAGAAAACAGGTTTCTGGCAAAATATCTTTATTGTCTTTCCCCCAAACCCTGATGATAACAACACTCATACACGTAAATGTGACAATGTCTGCAGGAATGAGAAACTGGCCAAAATACCACATATTACACAAGAAACAGGGCTGCAAATGCGGCCTGAGATTTCTGAACTGCAACACAACCACCCGTTAGAACAAGCAATATAATCAATGCTTAAAGAATGTGTTTCTGTCTTTTTTTTGTGGGGGGGGGGGGAGACAAGATTTGTTGCATATCTTTAAGACCAACACAGCAATAAGATGGGAAGATCAGTGGAACCAGACATCATACAGCCCTCTGTCTCCATGGTCTGTTCACAAACCATGGAGGCAGCCACCTATAGCAGCACCCAGGGAGCTGGGGGTTAAGGGTCTTGCTCAAGGAGCCACAGACATGCTGAGGCTGGGTTTGAACCGACGACCAACTGATTACAGGCACATGGGCTTAGCCCAATGAGTCACATGCTCCTGTTCCTCAAGATAAAACATCTTAAAGAAATTTAAGCTTGACTTGCATCAAATTTCTCACCTGTAGGCAAATTAGAAGGAATTGTGCTACGGTAAACATGCATGACACTTTGGCTCAAAGTACATGGACACCAGCTTGTCCAACATCTCATTTTGAAACCATGGGTAGTGATATGAAGTTGGTCACCCCATTGATGCAACGATATCTACTCTTCTGGGAAGGCTTTCCAGTAGATGTTGGAACATTGCTGGTGGGATTTGCTGCCTTTCAGGTTGGGGTATTGATGTTCGCCGGTCAGGTCCCTTTCTGTGAGTTTGTCTTTCTACCACTTCACAACTGAACTCGCTCCCAGATGTTTCCATTTCACAATTGCTTCACTTGCAGCTGACCAGGGTATCTCCAGCATGTCAGAAAAGCGCCAAACTGACTTGTTGGACGGCATCCTATAAGGGTGCCAAGTGCAAAGTCACTAATCTGCTCTGCACAACCACCTATTCCGCTGCCAGTGTTTGTTGTGTCACCAGTGGGTACGGCTTAATTAGACAATTACTGTCATTAATAGGGTTGTCCACATATTATTTGGCCATAGTTACTACTCTGTGGGTGTCTATGTCAGGCCCAATAGGGACCCCCTGTACTGCTAAGAGTTGGATGAGGGACCCTTCAGTCCGCAGAGGAAAATGCAATAGGTCATAACAAAAGGCCAGACCATCCCTTCTTTTGTCTAATACAACAGTCTGGATACTGGCCAGTTTGGGAGGAGTTTGGCCATCTTTGACCTGGCCAATAATTCCCTTCTGGGAAGGATTCAGTTTTATTATCAGTTTGGAGGGGAAAGTAAGAGGAGGAAGTAGCCAGAAGTACCAAACAACCGCAATAGGAGTAAAGCTAAGTCAGCTAGTTTTATGGACGATGTACACAAAAGGGACATTCCTAAAGACAGAAGTTACCGGAACAAAGATAACGTTTTAGTTTGTTCTGAATTCACTGATCTCCAGGATTCAGATTCAAAACAAGCTCACACACAGAGACACGTTTTATATACAGGAATACTATTCAATTATCGTTATGGCATTTACAAATAAAAATAAAATTCCTCAAAGTTACCTTTAGTGTAGGTCATTGGAGAAAAAGCCAGTAAGTCAACATGATGGGAATGAGAGAGCTGAAGAGGGCAGAGTAGCTGCCACGGTACGACACGGCACTGTGCCGGCCTCTATAGCGCTGTACGCTAACAGCAGTGGGGACGGGTTTGGGAAGGAACTGGCAGAATGGCCAAACAGAGTCCTGCCGGGTATATTTACGTACAGAAAATCTGCATGAACGCTGCTAACTCAGCAACGTTTCCAGTGCAGAGAGAGGGTTTTGTGCTATCTGGTGCAGAGGTGGATAGTCCAGGTCCAGAAAGTAAAAATCCAGACCATGATATTGCTTTAACCAACCAGTTGAGTACTCTGTGGCTGTTCTCTATACTGAACTGGTTGGTTGAAAACAAAATCATGGCCTGGATTTTTACTTTCTGGACCTGGACTATCCACCTCTGATCTGGAGCCCAAGGTGTCATGACCTTTCCTGCTCCAGTGCCCGAGACCATTTCAGCCTAATGTAGCATTAGCTGTTTCTGGGCGTGGTCTTGGCCAGCTCAGTGTAGTGTTACTCTCATCTACACTTGGCATGGCTATTCTCCAGGCTGATCCTGAGATGGGTGGGGCTAAGGTCACTCTTAGCTTCTGACAGGTATCACCATGGTTACCCTTAGCCTTTGGTCTTAGGTTACGTTCACACTGCTACGTTTTTGTCTAAAGTTTTCCAACGTAATCCACACAGGCGTTTTCAAAATGTTTATAAAAGTATTTCCGTCCACACTGAAATGAGCAAAAACGTATATGTTGTAGCTATTAGCCTATATTGGGCATGCATGCTTCAACAACCAGTAAATTTGTTTCTTTTGTTTGTTGCAAGTTAGAATACTGTTTACATCTGTGTAGGGTGACCAGCAGCTGACCAGTCAGACAAAGAGTGTAACAAGCGGGACCAAATCATTGATGGGCCATTTGATGAGACCAATTAGGGTGCTCCTAAGGTCTGTGTTTTCAAGTCTTTGTTTTCATCCACACTGCAACGCTAAAATGGAATTTTCAGAAGTATATGGCTCTGTGAGTGTTGTCAAAAGTCTCTGTTTTTAGGGTCTGAAAACTCCAGGGTAGTCTGGACAAAAGGCAAAAACGGAGACTAATGTCCCCATATAATGTAAACAAAATCGTAGAAGTGTGAACGTAGACTTAGTCTCAGATAAGCATGACTGTGTCCAGCTCAGCGCAGACTCTGCTGGCCACAGTGTCTGATGAAGACCCCACAGTGATGACATGAACCTCAAGCTGACCCCATATGCACCATGAGCTTCCTCTGAATCTCTTATAATAGCAAAAGTCAGAAGAACCTCAAACCTCCAATGCAGACAGAGTGACGGAGAATGTGTGAGCTTTGTGTTTTTTTTGCCATTCCTGCACTACATGAAATCTATTGTTATCTCCTCCCTATACTCTCAGAAAAAAAGGGCAAGAGTTTGTACCTTTGCTTGTCACTGGGGCTGTACCCTCAAGGGTCTGCCAGTTGTACCCTTAGCTGTAGGTAACTGTACCTTTTATGGTATAAAAATGGATGATGAGAAACACTTCAGTACCACTGACGGTACAGTAATGCTTTTTGTACCTTTGGGATGTTCCTCAGAGGCCATTTCTGTACCTTAAACAGAATAATTACAAGGGTACAGTCCCAGTGACAAGCAAAGGTACAAAATTGGACCATTTTTTCTGAGAGCGTATGTTCTTCCTATATTTATACATAAAAATTCAGGTTGATTATTATGTCACATAGATTGACTGAGGATGATGCATTTCGGAGACTAAGGGCCATTCTACTAGTTTAAAGTAACACTGGGCAGGACCTTCCTTGCTTCAAGGAAGCAGGAGCAGCTCTGCTTCACAGCTCATGTTAGCACAAGCTAAGTACCAATTACAGAACCAAAAACACCTTCATGCGAGGAGCTGGACAAACAAAATCCGAGAAACGACAGACAGAAAAACAATGTTATCTCCTTGGTGATGAATATCTCTAGTCACCACACCCTGAAGGGCTATCAACGGGAAGGAAGCCTAGCAGGCATGAGGGGGGTGGGGACGTAGGGGAGGGGCCACAACAGGTTGGACACATGCAGTTCTGCTGAGGAGGTGCTCCAATCAAATTGAAGAGCGATGACCATGTGATCATTCATTGGCTAGGTATTCCTCGGCGTCGCCACCAAACTGGATCACGCCCCAGCAGAGCGACACTGGGTAGGGTGGAGGGACATGGACTAGGCGGTTCTGGCGGTCCCCTTAAAGATGGCGGCTAGGGTCAATCCAAGGCCACCGTGGCCTTTGCAATAGGCACTCTGCGGAAGAAGAAACTGGAGCCTCGGAACAGCTGCCCCTAGTGGAGAGAAATGCTTGTGCAGAAATTCTCAGAGGAACAATACACAGGCACAAGTACGGATGGACACAAACCCACCTGTGCGCTCAGGTGTTTCCAGCAGTGGATCCAGGACCTGAAGATGGGCAGGTTAGGGGGTAGGCCAGCTGCCAGGCTGCAGAGAAGCAGACGGTTACAGTGTCACCTGAGAGCCAAGCTCACAGCCCTGTGTGTCTGCATGGCTGCTCATCCTCCCCACAACCACTAGAGGGTGACATTTTACCCTGAGTGAGTGACAACCACTGGCCGTCAACTGTGTTCTGCATCTACCCAGTGACAATTATGAATAAATGCACCCAGCTGAAGTACTCCAATAAATTTTTTATTTGGCTAAATAAAATAACTGGGTGTTCGCCAAAGATATTCTCCTGAAGCATATTTCTCAAAGTCAGCCCCTCCAAGGCAATGGAATATCAAACTGCCCCGGTAAGCAGTTTGGTTTAAGGGCCCCCTGCTGGCCACCAGAGGTAATAGGTGGCTGTTAACTCACCCGCAGTTGTTGATAGCCATCAGGTCAGCCACCAGCATGAAGGGGTAGGTCAGTACGCTGACGGCGATCTTCAAAACAATACCAAAATTCCAAAAAGAGAAATTATTAGCGGATATGAGAATGAGTTGTGTGTTAATTCCACAATCTTCCAGAATACCTAAACCAGAATGGATCTAATCAAGAGAAAGTGTGCCTGATCTCGTACAGAAAACAAGCAAGAAAACACAGCCAGTCTCACCCAGAACAAGCTGCCCACATACAGGAAACAGTTATGAAATCACAGCTAAACTCACCCAGTCAATTACACCTACATTCATCGCATTGCAAACTCTCCAAATACGGGAAATAGCTATGAAATCAGAGCTAAACTCACCCCCATTACAAACTTGGTGTAGCTGCGGACCGCAGGCGCTTGGCTGAACTGCAGCAGGGAGCAGGAGAAGGACAAGAGAGCATTGGAAAGGGATCAAATCAGCATTTCACAGTACAGTCCATCCATGCAGCCTGGAGCTACAACCTTAGAGGTGTGAGACCAGAACATTACCCAGCAAGCCAACAGGATTCTCACGTAACAAACATACTATTGAGGAACCAAAAGCGCTCAGGGGACCAACAAAAACATGCAAACATTACACTTGCGACAGCCACCAGAGAGCATCAGAGAAGCTCAAGGGAAGCTAAAGAAGCAGGGTGAGTGAGAGACTGAAGCTGCTGACTGAAGCTCCAACAGAGAGGGTCCTGGGTCTTACATTGTCATCCACAGCGTAGGTGTTGATGAAGTGCGCCAGCAGGTTACAGCACCACAGGAAAATGACCTCACCCAGGATGTGAGGCACCAGACCTCTGGACAGAGAGCACAAGGTTCAGGTCAGCCAGGGACGAGGCCCATTTACCAGTTTAATACCTCATCCTTTAACACCAGTACTTTGCAACCCAATCCTCAGGGTCCCCAGACAGACGACATTTTTGCTCCTTGCACACCTCCTTGCACACCTGAATGAAACAACCAAGGACACCAAATACATGGTATTTACTGAGAGGAAGCAAAAACGTGGGCTGTCTGGGGACCCTGAAGACTGGGCTAAGGAACTTTGCTTGAGACTCTGGCTCCATTAGACATGCCAGGACCAGACCCATAAAGGACCTGAGGGTGAAACGTGCCGAGACATGACCAAGGCTTCAGAGGAGGAGTCTGCAGGCCAGAACTGTTCCTCATGCTGTTTAGGTAACTGTTTCCACTGTTGCAAACACAGGTTTGTGTACACAAAAGAGACGGTCCCACCCTCACTTCGACTCACGTACACAAAAAAGCCAGACACGCCCTCCTCCTGGAAGATCTTGACAATGCAGCTGAACAGGCCTCTGGGAAAGCGAGAGGATAGTCAGGAGAGGACGAATTTTTTTGTCAGAGCAATAATGGGAGACGGCTGTGCTGGTGAATACAGCCTTACCTGTACTTGACCTCCCTGCCCACAAACTGGGCCATGCAACGGACAGAGATGACTGGTAGAAGAATGGAGAGACAGAGTTAGTGTGGAGGCTCTGCAAGACTGTGGCTGCAGAACTGAAAGTTTTGCAAAGCTTCCTAGACAATAGGCTTCCAGCGGAAAGTCCCCGCAGGGGACTCAAACACACAGCCCGCAGGGGACTCAAACACACAGACCGCAGGGGACTCAAACACACAGACCGCAGGGGACTCAAACACACAGACCGCAGGGGACTCAAACACACAGACCGCAGGGGACTCAAACACACAGCCCGCAGGGGACTCAAACACACAGCCCGCAGGGGACTCAAACCTACACCCCGAAGATCATTGACCCCTGACCACCTGAATCATACCATGGAAGGGATGTGTGGCAATCCGGGACAGGCACTGGACCAGCATCTCATGAGAGGTCTGAGGGAGAGAGAGAGAGACAGAGAGAGAGAGAGAGAGAGTCATAGACTTGCCAGTACCCAAACGAGCAAGTCGCTGCTACCTTTCTCAACAACCTCTCACCTCTCTCACAACCTTCCTGAGTGATGTCTTCAGGTCATCTCGGTTGGACACGTGCTCCACATCTTCCCTGGGGACCACCTGGGGTGACAAAAGACACAGACTGGTGGAGCTGTTGCCTTGGTGGCATATATCTTGATTTTCATCACCTTAATATAATGATTTCTGCCTGTTCTTCCGATTAAGTTGTTGCCTGAAAGTATTCTTACAAAGTATTTACTGCTAGACAATGGGCATCATTAGAATGTGGCTATTACATTAAACAGCAGGTCAGGTTGGGGAAAGACAGGAATTTGGTGACGGTCCCTAGTGTCAACTGGCCAACTCACCTGCTTGACCTTGGTACGGACCACAGTGGAGACGGCACTGGACACGAGTCGGGGGGGCAGGCCACGGAAAAGCCCCCGCCTGCCATCCACCTTCACTATATGGCGCACTGCAGGGCAGATACACCACATTAGAGAGCTACACTAAATTATCAAGGAAATTTGCATAATTTCACTGACATCCTACATTAGCAATGACGGACAGGTCCATGTATATTATTTTATCCCTGTGCTGCAATTCATGACTCAAGGTAACCTTCAGTGAATCATTTTCATTGTCCTCCCCCCTTAAATATTCCAGTGAAATTCCTGCCAAGGGTCAAAACCAGTTCCTCACATTAAAGCCTTACTTGCCCTGAAAGCATGTTAAAAATTAAGTACGGTGGATTTAATTATAAAGAAACCAAGTTACACTTAAATTTGATCTTAGAAGTACTGTCCAGGAGCATCAGTGAAAAGGAAATTCAATTATTATCTGCAACATAAAATTAAAAACAAGGAGCAATCAAAAGTTTAAAAATGCAGTGTGAACACCAAGAACAACTATTATTAATAGCTTACCTTCAGGCATGCTATTATTCTTAATGCATAATATCCCGTATTTAAATTAATGGCAATTAAAGGACAATCAGCTACTTGAGTTTGAAGGGTAACAATGGAGAAATGGACGTGCGACCCAGATGACCAGGACGGCCAACAACAGCACAGACGGAAGTTAGTGGTGGGAGACAGAATCGGGGTGGAGCAGAGCAACTAACCATAAGAGAAGAAGCCAGGTAGGTAGAGGACTTTTCTCCCAAACATGGTGGTCCCCGGCGTGGGAGCCAGGGGCTCATGTCCAACCTGGGGCCAGACGGAGAAACACAGAGGTGTTCGAGAAACTTTCTGTAGCAGCCTGTTCTCAGGCAAAAGCAAGTGCCCTAATTATCAGATCAGGACCTGTAACATTTATTCAACACTGCTGGAGAAGTAGCTTAGGAAAGTCTACCAGGATGCATCTGGTGTGCTTGTTTCAGAAGCTGTGTCCCTGGCCCACATTAGATTGGCTGAGTGACTCCTGCTGGGTCTTACTGGCTACTTAAATGCACCAATCAAGACAGTGCTGCATTAGAATGAACCACTCGATCCATGGGGCCTTGCTGCCAGATATTCAGCCTCCTGGGAGGGACCATTACAACTGGCATGACTTATAGACTGCAAGTAAGTCAAACAGTCATGGACTGGTGCCAGAAACCCCCCCCCCCTTTCTACATGGGGGTAGGCTGGAACAAAAAGTCCTGAACTACTTACCTATAGTTAACAATCACACAGTGTGACAACAGCCCCCAAGGAAGTGAAACACAAATTCTGACGGCTGCCATTCTGTCACTAACTGAGAATAACATCAATCCAAACTAAATGGAAACTGCTTCATAACAGCATCATGATATCTGCTCTACGTCAAATGATATCTGCTCTAGGTCCCCTGCCATGACCTATTAATTACTACTACGTTTCTGCCTTATTGACCTATCAGCTGCAGCGGAATCCTTTCTCACTGACCTATCAGCTGCAGCAGAATCCATTCTCACTGACCTATAAGCTCAAGTGAAGTCCTTTCAGTTCCAGCATCCCACTTCCCTTACTAATCATGTCTGCAGCATGGAACAGGTAAACTATTGTCTAATTGTGCTATAATTGTCATCAACAAACACCACATCAATCTCTACCAAATTACTTATTGTTTTAAAATAGTGTTTACATAATGCAAAACAATTATAAAGGCTTGAGGCAAGCATTTTGTCATTATCAAGAAACACATCCATTATTAAATAAGTAACTTTAACAATAACCTTTAAAACTGCATTCATCTAAATTAGCAACGATTTAAATTATTAAACACTGTCTTCAGTTATTCCAAGTTTAACAGTGTAGTACATTGTTGTTGTATAACATAAATATATTCATGCATTTTTCTTTTTAAAAAAATCGGCAAAATTTCTTTTAAAAAATTGGAGTCTATTACAAACAGAAAAAAAAACTTTCAGAGTTCTGGGAGAAAGAATATTCCAAATAATAATTCTAAAACTTTAATGCATTTTTTTTTATTAATGTTAACGTCAACATTTCTATTTGTAATTTCTGTTAATTCTGCTCATTGGGCCAGTGGTAAAATGTATTGTTACATTTAGGTTGTATTAACTAGATTGTGCCTGGGGATTTTTGGCAGAGTGCTGATATACAAGGCTCAGACCAATTTTCCTTGTGTTGTGATGGAAGCCGCACTGTGAGTGATCGTTTTATTGCCCATTTGTTGTATTTCTCGCAAATGACATAGGGAAATGTGCATGTGAATAAACAGTGGATGGTGGAATGATTCCCGCAGCCCATCAAAAAGCAATTAAACAACATAAGTATATGTTATCGTTCTGAACATGCACATGGAGCAAACGTATTAGTTAATCCACGATCACATAAAAATGCATGAAAGCCACGCAGGCTGGTGAGACGATCTTATCTACTGCAACATGTCCAGCGTTTCAGCAGAGCTCCGCGTTTTCAGCGCTGTATGAGCCCCGGACGCGACGCGGCAGTCGCGCTAGACGCAGCCGGCTGCGCCGCAGGAATCACTTTGCATGCACTCCTAATTGCAGCTTAACACTCATGTCAGTGTGCGTGGCTTTTCTCTTGGCCACACCCAGGTTCAAGCACAATTCGCAGGTTTTACAGTCACGTTACCTGAATTAGCAGTTTTACATAAAGTAGGGGATGTGTGATTGCAGTCACCCCGGCTCCGAGCAGCACGATGGCCGTGTCCACATCCACCGAGGTGGCGGTCGCGGCCGGAACGCCATTCCGGTCGAAAAGGGGGGCTCGCTGTCTTCCCCCTTCATCAGTCATGTCTTCAACTGTCACGCCGGTAGCGAACAGGAGCGTAATCCACCTCCGCCGGGGCTTCGCAGTGAGAGACTCCGAGACTCGAGTGTGTAACCACCCCGAGTCACGTGACTGCACCGGGAAGTCAACCAAAACAACTGATGACGTCAGAGCAGAGGTCGGCCCTGAAACCTCGCCGCGTAAACGGCAGGTGGCGCTGCAACTTGGAAAATACGAATCCTCCACGCGTGACACAACCGCCAGGAAAAACTTCTCGTATATTCCTGTTAGTTTGTTTGGCAAATACAAGTGATCTTGAAGTGATGTATAAAATTTGATATTTATTTAATATAATATTCATTCACAAATACAGCGTATTTTTTATTTATAACATTTAAAACACAAGAAAATCTAAACATTTTTTTTAATATGTCAAATATAAAATAATTAGGCCTAACTATGATCAATCGTATGGTGTTTCACAACAAGTTCAAAATATGATTGCATTCTTAGTTACAAAATGATGTGTATTGCAGTTAAAATGTAACCAGGGTGTGACTGTACTTTGGCCATTCCTGAATAAACACAACCAGTAATGTAACTTAACCGGAAGGCATATTTTACTTTGCAGCTCACCAGAGCGATGAGTGGGAATTCAAAAAGCTGTAACAACATTTTGAAAAATAACACAGAATAAAGTAATAAATAATAGTAAAGAATTCATAACATACACATGCATCCCACTGCCCTGCCCAGGATGCTAACTCCTTAGGACAAGAATCAGAAACATAATATAGAGGTTAGCTTAAACCTACAGTACAGACTAAGATATAGTCAGTTTATACTGAGGTCACGATTCTGGATTCTCAGCTTTCAACAGAACTGTATAGTTCTTGGAAGTGCAAATGAGACTCTTCCCCTAACCGCCATATCACTCCTGCTACAGTCCTGAGTCTGAGATCTGGATCTTCACTGTGCACACCAGAAACGTAGTGCCCTTTAAACAGGATTACGACTGAGGATCTCTGCTTTTAGTGAGGTCTAAACCATAGCAGAATTTGGCTCAGGATTGTACACACCGTCCTCATCAGCACCCGATGCACAGGAGTGACTGGCAACGCGAAACCACCATTAATGCTTATAAAATAATTTAAAAAAAGCCCGGATAACAGGCTGTTATCTGCAACTGAAAATAATAATTCAACATTAAGGGAAATAGTTCACAGCAGTATTTTCTTTGATCAATAAACCTGGGATTATAAGAAGGCGTCATTCCTGATTTTTATCAATGACAGTCTCTTTCTAGTGCTTAATTGCAACTATGAAAAACATACTGAAACAGGGTTATCGCCGTCAATGACACTCTAGGCAGACACTCTAGATCTAGCACGCAGGGTGAGCTCACCCATAAAACCACACTATGGTGTGATGTCACAGTAAAAAGTCACATCGTCATGGTGACGGGGCCTACACAAAGCTACAATCTGTGGCTGGCTCTGCTTCAGCAAGGTCAAAGCAGTGGTCACTCTGGCTCTGGAGAAGTGCTCTGGCTGCGGTCTCCATGTCATCCTGCTCGAAGCCCAAGGCCTCTGCCATCTCCTGCTTCACCACTGACACAAACTGGGAGTCCTGAGCCAGAATGCTTAGACCACCACCGTCCAGTACCTGTAGGGCACGACACAAATCCAAGAGAAACTGAAGTCCAAGTCCCTGAGATGATGATGATGATGATGATTATTATTATTATTATTATTATTATTAGCCTAGGACATACAATGTGGCTTATAATTTGCCTAATTATAAATTTTAATGATAATTACACAGTAATGTTAATAACCGCAGCTCCCCTGCTCAGAGTTACTGGAGCAACCTTTTGTAATTTTGTGTTGTTAACTGCTGTTCTACTGATATCTATAGAACTTGATCACCATCCAAAGCTCCCAAATTAACTCCCACTAGTTTCCTTTGTGAACTGTGAATACAGAAGGCTCTACAGAGCTTGTTAGCACTTACCTTCTGGATAAGCTGGTCTATGGCAAACACTGATTGCAGCCCCATGGCATGCTGGGAGTTTGAGTATGCCAACCTGACTGATTGCTGCCCCGTGGCATGCTGGGAGTTTGAGTGTGCCCACCTGTGCTGAATGCAATGGCGTGGGATCTGAGAAACAGGAGGAAACAGTGGAAACATAAATATTATTATGACGTTGTGGGGACATTTTTCCAGTCCCCACAAGGAGAAATTGTATTTTCTAAAAATCTGCGAATGCAATCAAAAAATTAAAAATGCCAAAAGTCTTGTATTTTGTTTAGTTACTTATGGTTAAGTTAGGGCTGGGTTGGGGTTAGGGTTGTCATAGTTAGGGTTATGTGTAGGTGTTACCTCAGAGCTCACGGCCTTTGCGCTGATGCCCTGATGGTTTCCTGCTCTGCTGCGTTCCTGTTCAGGCTCAGACCCTGGGAGACCCACTGCAGAGAACATACATGCACTGTACACCTGACATCTGTGTGAACAGCACACATCACTGTGCCTTTTGGATCAGTCAGTTTTTTCCCTAAATTATTATTAGAACATTCTAGACAATATATTTTGATAATTATTCAATTTTCATTTCTAAGGGCACACATGCAAACAATTGCAATAAATAAAGTTTTTAACTGACTTGAAACTTGTAGTTTATTTTCTTTTAAAAGGCTGTGGGTGTCCTTGATTGGCTGGAACTGTGGCCCCGCCTCCCATTCACAGGGAAACCTAACCCAGGAGATGCATCACTAATTACACCATTTTCCTAGTTCATAATAATAATACATTCTATTTATAGGCGCTTTTCAAGTCACTCAAGCATGCCTTACAAAGACAGTAAAATCAAGCAACACACAATGGCAAACAATCAAGAATATATCACGGTAATAAGAAGACAAGATATAAGACAAGAAGACAAAAGAAGACAAAACATAGTAGCAATCAATTATTAAATCAAGGGTAAATTGTAAATCAAAATTGTGAAACAAACTTAAAAAAACAGCTAAAATATAATTCTTTATGACTGCATGTGTCATTATGATTGCAAGTTACAAAGAAAGACATAGTCATATTGAACACTCAATATAACACACAGTGATGCATCCTTATGAGCACAAAGCTGATCCACCAGACTCACACTGTCCTGTTGTTCATATTGTTGTTGTTGTTGTTGTTGTTGTTGTTGTTGGTGGTGGTGGTGGTGATGGTGGTGGTGGTGGTGTTAGCCTTCTTGGGCATCCTGGGAAAGAACTGGGGGCTGTGCAGGAATACGGTGTCAGGTGACAGATCCCCCTCTTCTAGCCGGTGGTCAGATACTTGCAGGGGCCGATGGCTGGTGACCTGTGTGGGCAGGGGGGTGTTCCTCTCCAGGGTGAAAGGGTCCACATGGTTCCCAAACAGGCCCCCTGATCGCTGAGAAGGGGCAACACAGCCTGTTAAAAACCAAATGAGTATTTTCAATAAGAAAAGTTCATACCGTGCATTTCCACGCACCCTGAAGATTGCATCCTCCATAGATTCATCCAGTCCCTGGTCAGTGTCCTCCCCAGCCATCAGGTCCCCCGAGATTGCACGCTGCAGTTCTGGTAGAGCCTCCTCCTCCATACTGCGAAGACCTGCCTGTCCAGGGAGAGGCGTGGGGGGGGTCACACACAAAAGACAATGAGAAAATGGGTGCCAAAGACAAATAGACTGAGGGGTACAGCAAAGGTTGCCAGCATGGATGGTGAGAGGGAGGAAAATGATTTAGAGGAACACTCATGAAGTATGTGAGGAGCATGTGGTGAGAGGATCTTATTTCAAGGGGGAAGGGCACCTGAATCTCCATGGCGTTCTTCTTCTTGGTGGGCCGATACCCGTAATACTCTTCTCGTCTCTTTATGTACTTGCGGAATTGGTCTTGGATCAGGAACGTGGCATAGAACTTTCCCACGGTCACTTCGTCGTCTGCCAGGGCGGCACAAACGAAAGATGGAAGGTGGATGTCCTGTCCAATGAAGAATGATTTAAGCAGCTCAACACCATGTTGATAAACATCTCACCTCCAACTGAAGGGATAACCTGGTCCAGCAGCTTCATGCTGGTGCGCTTCCAGATCTTCTTGATGATGGCTCGCAACTCCTCGTTGGCCTGCTGAAAGTTACCTGTCCCAGACAGGATGGGAAGAGAAAAAGCTGCTGTTTCAAGGAGGCCGTATGTTTAGCTGTATATGCCAGTGTACTAAAGCCGTCATCTTAATGGTAATGTTTAGCTAGCACTGCATGTGACTTGTGTGACGCACGGCAGTGGTGCACCCACCCTCGGTTTTGATCTTGAGGGCCGTTCTCACCAGGGAAAACAGGGTGGCGTTGAAGGTGACAGTGCCGTCGCTGTTCATCGGCATGTTCATGGAGACCAGGCGCTAAAGCCCCAGACATAAAGCCCGTGTCATTTCCCAACACCTCACGTGTTTCTGCTGGGTCCCAGCACCTACTGAATCTAGAATCTAGAACTACTCAGCTGTTAATAACATGTTGATACTTATGGATGCTTTGTGAAATATGGTGCTTAATGTTCAGCCCGACGTGGCACGGTAGGTTTGCCGCGGTAAGCTGGACTCACCTTGCACGCGACACGGTGAGGGCAGAACTTTCCGAAGCCCAGTGGGGGTTGGATCCTGCGCAGCAGAGTCACCACATCCAGATGCTTGATTCGCCCCCTGCAGGACAGGGAGGCAAACTGAAACCTCTTCAGAATACTGCTATTTATATTCCAAGCCTCAGAAAAACTTAAAAATAAACTAAAAATAAAGCACAGACTGTTAGTTGAGGCATGGCATCATCTGTAATCCAAGAAAAGTTTTCAAAATGGTGGGGTTGTGCTATTAATGCATTTATAGAGAGTTAAGTGAAAATATAGTTCCAAGGCATCCGAGGTGCCAGTTGAGAGAAGCAAACATATACGCACGTGGCTTCAGGGTCATACTCTGCCCAGATTTTCTTAAACTCATCCAGGTGGTGAGGACCGAGGATTGACCAATCGCGTGTCAGATAGTCGAAGTTGTCCATGATGACTGCCACGAATAGGTTGATGATCTGAGCGGTGAAAAAAACAGAAAGGGACAATGTGAGACATATAGTCTGAGGAAAAAGTCATGTGAGCAAGGAAAGCCTGTGTCCAGTATCTGTGCCTGTTTAGTCACAGGCATTTCCCTACCGGCAGAGAGATGTGCTGTGGTTTGCGGTGGCACAGTGTAATGTGATGTGAGTGTGTGGCCGCTCACCAGGAAGGCACAGAGCATGTAGAAGCTCATGAAGTAAACCACGGCAAAGCTGGCCCCGCACGTGTATTCCTCCCCGGGCTGGTAATCTGATTTGGGGTCACACAGCTTGCCGTACATACATGCCAGCATGATCTCCTGCCACGCTTCACCTGTGGCACACCTAGAGCCGTAAACACAATCGAGCCCATTCAGCTTAGGAAAGACACTGCAGCCGTTCCTGGAAGATTGTGGGCAGAAAGGCCAGCGTGACGCTCACCTAAACAGCAACAGCACTGCCTGCGGGAACGTCTGGAAGTTGTTGTTGCGGTTGATTTGTGTGCCGTCCACCAGAGCAATCTTACCAAAAACCTGCAGGACAGGGAGTGACTCAGACGCTATCTTCCATGCCATCTGGCCTCATGAAGAATAGGGGAAAAGGGAGAGAGCAGAAGAGAGAAGAGGAGACCCCCCTACCTGCATCCCAATGACGGCGTAGATGAAAAACAGCATCACAATGAGCAGAGCTACATAGGGAAGGGCCTGCACAACAGAACCAAAGGTCTGAAGGTCAGAAACTGCCTAGTGAGGCTCAGCAGGACTGCTGGAAGGGGGTTAAAAAGGTCCAGGCTAAATAAACCAGCTAATATAGACTGAAAGATAGAATCTAACAGCACTGATAGAGTAAGCAAACAGGCCGCGGGAGTGACTGCCCATGAACACAGCACCTGTCCCGCCTAGCTGGAGAGGAAGTGACATCAGCACTGACCTGGAAGGACTTGATGAAGGTCCACAGCAGGTTGCGGATGCCCTCTGACCGGTTCAGCAGCTTCACCAGGCGCATCACACGAAACAGCCGGAAGAAGGTGATGGAGACCCGGGCATTTTCCGAGTCCTTCATGGAAGCAAAGCATGGGCCTCACAGCGAGAGACCAGCGAGCAAACAAACAGCCATGCTCTCATCCACAGCTACACTGGCCATTGTGGTAAATTGTACACCAGTAAGTACCAGTACAGCACATTCATCTAAATCACACCCATATACATAAACAGACAACATATAACCATAAATACTCACTGCAATAGCTTGCATTGGGTTCACCTCCTAGAAAAATTAAAAGATGCATTAGGTTCAACCTATTGCTACCCCTGAACAAACTCACCTAAGATGTTGATGTGATTTGTGTATTTCATTTATTCTTGAAACAGACTTCCTTTCTCTGAAATTTGCTATTCATTTAAACACTATGCTCTACAACAAAATAGTCTATTCCTTGGCGAAGGCCTTGGTTTGTTCTGTGTAGGACATAGCCTTCGACATAATGGAGGTGAAGATGTGCAGCATTTTTTGTACTCAACAGTTAGACATACGTGAGAACACTGGCTGTTCTGTACAATTTAAGAGCTACAGGGTGGACTAAGAGGTTTTTCTGAATTATCTGTCCCGGTTTTCAGTAATTTTTTTTCCCTAATAATAACATTCTAAGTGGTCTCAGGTTATTGGTGCTGAGTTTGTGCTAAAAAAAAGCAAATGTAACACTTTGGGATAAATGTTTTTTAGATAGGTGAAATATTTTAAAATGTCAAGGCATGTCAGACTACCCCGAAAGTGGCTGAGAGGCCTCAGACCCCAGAGGATTAATGTTCAGAGGAATGCTTTTCACAAGGAATATTATACCAAAATGGACAGCTTCACATAATACTAGGAAGGATTGCAGCAAAGGTAAGACCTGGAAGGAGGTCCACTGGACATGGGTCTGAGTTGGGCCGGTGTAGCACTGCTTACCGCGCAACCATGGAGACAGTAGAGTCCGCCGCTGGATGCAAGGGCAGTCTACTTGAGGAGATGGGCAGAGAGAGACAGCATAAGCCACACAGAAAGAGAAGGAGAAACAAACAGGAAATGGCAGGGTGAGTCTGAGTGGGAGAGATCTGGACAGGAACTTGACTATGAACCAGAAAGACAGAGCCTAACAGGAGAGAGAAACTGGGACTGGGACTGGGAACTTGGTGCTGAGCCTGGGCTCTGTGCTATGAATCATTAGACAAACTTAGTCCTGGTTATTATTTGATAAGGGATAAGCACTGGGATACATTAGAGTGGATTCTGCCTAAATCATGCAAAAGTAAACAATGGGAAAAAAAGAATGGTAGGTAGGCAGCAGGAGGAAACACCCACATCAATCTCACTGAGAATGACGTCCACAACGCTGCCAATGACAATCAGGAAGTCAAACACGTTCCAGGGATCTCCGAAGTATCCCTGCGGAGAAGGATCGTAATGGGTATCCGGGCATAAATGATGGGTTCAGGGTGCAGGTTTCAGAAGAACCCCTCATTCACCTTAGCCTTGAAGGCCAGCAACTTGAGGATCATCTCCGCAGTGAAGAGTACGGTGAAGATCACATTAAGCATGTCTGACAGGTGGGTGATGTGGTCAGACTGGTCACAGTGCTGGTGGGAAAGGTGAAGGATATGGAGGATCAACATGGACCCAGCTCAAGAGACCTAAACAGAAACAGTGTCGACTTCATTGTACGCCCAGGTTTACCTGCATGCCCAAACAGAGGGTGTTCAGCATGATGAGCAGGAACATGAGGTACTCAAAGTAACAGGAAGTCACGATGTACCACACCCAGTACTGGTAGGTGTCCTGGGGGATGTAGCAGCGTAGGGGGCAGGCTTTGAGAGCATACTGGACACATTGGCGCTGCCAAACAAGGGAACAAGCAACAAGGGGAAAGATTTAAGCGGCAATTTGGCCTGCCACACTTAGAACTTGGGATCCAAGCTATATTAAAAAATAGCAAGTACACCTATAAAATGTGGACCCCAGGGATATGAGAAGACAGAAGACTGAATACCTGGATAACTGGCCCATCAAATCACAGTGGAAGAATTATATGGGGTAACAAAGACAGATGAGTAGGTTCCTGGTCTAACTGAGGAAAAGGTAAAATGGTACTGTACCTGATTCTTGTCCAATTCGCAGTTCTTGTACTCCTGCTCACCCTGCTCCTGGAAGGTGACGATGACAAAGCCCACGAAGATATTCATCATGAAGAAGGCGATGAGGATGAGGTAGACAATGAAAAAGATGGATATCTCCACACGGTTGTTGTAGATGGGGCCCATGTTTTCAGCTTGGGAGTCGATGGCCTTGTAGAGCAGTCTGCAGTATGGATGGACATCTGATGCGATTGCCCAGGCACACCTTACAAAGCTCTACAGCACACTGTCCAAAAATAACCAGCCTTCAATTTGACACTTTATGTTGTTCCTTTATCATAAAACTTTTTGAGCTTATTTATGTCTTATTTATATGTAATTGAATCTAATTAGCGATTACACTTTGATCAAACACTATGGTTCTTCAGGAGATCAGCATTCATAGCACTGTGTGATCAACAGTCTCAAAATAAGGATCGGTACTCAAAGAGGAAGAAGAGGGGTTAGGTGGCCCTAAATCTCCCTGAGGTGGGGCCAGCGTTCAGACGCATGGGGCCAACACTCACTTAGGCCATCCCTCAAACGTAGACACGGTGAAGAGCGCCAACATGCCATTCAGCACGCTGTCGAAGTTCAGGTCGCTGTTCATCCACTCTCGCTGCCGCACCTCCATCTCGTGGAGGGCATGTTCCTGGTACTTGATGTAAGTTCCCCTAGGAAACACGTGGGTGTCGACCAAGACAAGGTGGGTGGATACACTGTTTCACACGAGAGAGGTCGAGAGTACGAGTGCCTTTATGACTTACAAGGACCATCCACTTTTTAATTCTTTTAAAGCCACAAATGACAAATGAAATCGGCATTTAATCAAACTTGTGACAAACTTTGGCAGGCAAAGGGTTGAAATGTGGTAAAAAAATATTATACACTTAGAGGTAAGAGAAAAATCTTGCTAACAAAACATAAAGTTCAAATTACTTGCACTCTGCTTCTGTCATTTTGGAGGGGTCTGTGCACCTGTGAAATGTACCCTGGGAGGGAAGGGAAACGTCGATTAGTCTCTTTATGACATCATGATTTCATTGCTTATGTCATAGTTACAACTGAAAATCATGTACGAAGAAACCATCCATATGACATCATTTATATAATTGGATGTTTTGCTGCAGTAATTGGTTAAAAGTCTTGCTTAAACCCTAAATACAACATCCTCTCACTGACACATGACACCTTGTAGCGTATGTAGTTCATTGATGCTTTTCTTAATGCAACGTGGTGCGTCTCCTCAAACGTGCCAAGGTATAGAATACACTTTAGAAAGCCGTGGCACTTTACTGTTGCTTCCAGTGAGTGACAAAGTACCAAGTTTGTGAGTTTGTTCATCAGGTTCTCTGACCTTGAAGAGCTGGACACCGATGCAGGCAAACATAAAGTCCAGCAGCATGGTCACCAGGACAATGTTGCCGATGGTCTTGATGGCCACAAACACACACTGGACCACGTGCTGCAAAATGGAAGCGAAAAGGCACAAACAGAGACTTCAGCAAGGATGCTAGGAACTCAGCATGGGCAGAAAGACAACGAGAGTTATGGATATGACTGAGATGATGGTGGACATGAAGAAGGTGCCGATGAGGACATGGTGAGGGTGCATAGGATGGTAAACATGGGAAAGGTATTGTTGATGGTGGGGATGAACATAGAGATGATGGCAGTAGAGAATCTGGCCTTGGTGGAAGAGGTAAATGATAACATGCGTGTCGTCACCTTGAGGCCCTTGGCTCGATTGATGGCTCTCAGGGGCCTCAGCACCCTCAGCACCCTCAGGATCTTTACTACTGAGATGGCGCTGGACCTGCACACAAAGACAGAAAGTCCCCCAGAATGAAAGTCAGGAAGACCACTCAGGCAGGTTCCAGCGAGCGATGCTACCGGTCACTCACTCCATTCCCATGGAGAGCAGGGACACACCCACAACGATCAGGTCCAGGATGTTGAAGGAGTTCCGGCAAAAGGATCCCTTGTGAAGGATTGCACCGTACGTGGTCATCTGTGGGAAGGGGGGGGGGGGTAAATCAGAGCCGTTGCATGTGTGGTGGGTTGTGAAAGAATCCAGGACGTATGGGGAGGCACCTTGAGCACAATCTCAGCGGTGAACACCGAGGTAAAGACGATGTCAGCATAGGCCAGGACCTACGCAGAAGAGAAGGATTACTGTCACATTCAATTTATATCTGTCTGTCTGTACATCCAGCAAGGACATGGCACCAACATTTAATGCTTTATTCATGTGGTGTTCATCAGCTTCATGGAAACATTGAAATATAAACTAGAGAAATACTCTGTTAATTTACGAAAAATATATACAAATACACTGTATATTGGTAATAAACTGTTTAACTTCTCTCTCCCGATAGGAGCAATTTGCCAGTATTTTTGTGTCCGTATATTAGTCCTAAATGGGAATAATTTGCCGAGTGATTCGTGTTGCCTGGTTTCTGAAGGATTCGGGGTCAATGGGGTCTTCGGCCGCCAAAGAGATGCTGCTGAGGAGGATGAAGAGAAGGATGATATTGGTGAAGGTGGTGGCGTTGATGATCCGGTGGCACAGTTTGCGGAACCTGTAATGAGGCACGACCAACACCTGTGTCAGCTTTTGCCTTTAACATTAGTCAGAGCCTGATCTTCGGCAGCTCCTTCCCAATTTAATCGAAACAAAAAAGCCAGCAAATGCCTTAGCACAGGTATAACTGCTGTGTCTGATGTATGTGTCCCTCTGTGTTACACAATACCATTAATAATCAACGCTTGGCTGCAGTAGCTCCTGCGATGGATTTGACTGTCCATGTCCAAAATATGTACAGTGAAAGAGAACAAAGGTCAGAATCTGGCCCCAGTCTAACCAGTAAGCAAACAAGGAAAGTTTAACTGTTCCTACGACGAAAGAAATAGCATCCGTACATATATATTGAATGAAGAACCTCATTGCAGATAAACCCTCCAAGAATGACCAAACAGGGCTCTGCAGGCTACCAAAAACGATTCTAATGTATTAGCACTAATGAACACCAAAGAATGATGTGTGGAAGGACTTGGCTAAATGCCATTCTGTGGGAGCAAAAACCCATTTAGTCTGAGCAAGAGCTGAAATGTTCTGCTCAGGAACCCATTTAGTCTGACAAAGAACCTGGCCAGGAACCCACTTGTTCTGAGGGCCGAAGATAAAGAAGGAGCTGGCCTCAGGCATGGGTACAGCCTTCTCTTTCAGCTGCAGATCCGCCATGGGCCGGGGTCTGGGGCTCACTGGGATCTCTGGATCTTCCTCCTCATCATCCCCTAATAAACAGGAGTAGGGGGTTACATCTGCTGTGCTGGCAGGAGCGTCGTGTTAGTTGTGTTAGGCACCATTTCAAAATGCCACAGGTGACATGACAATACACATACGCAGGTATTAGTGTTCTGGATAATTTATGTCACTATTATACATTCGAACATGCCCAGCAAATGGTAACTGTTACCAGAAGTGTTACATTTAGCTAGATGACTAGCTAGTTAACGTCAGCCTTTGACAGACCAACTATTATAATAATATAATTGTTGTTTAAGATAATTGTTTGTTTGACATGGACATGGAAAAGGCTGTGTTATGTTGGTGTTTGTGGCTAGCCAGCAAACACTGAAGGATGGTGTCATTTGTACAGGCAAAACTACAAAGTTGGTCTGTCATCAATTGTTTGTTTGACATGGACATGGAAAAGGCTGTGTTATGTTGGTGTTTGTGGCTAGCCAGCAAACACTGAAGGATGGTGTCATTTGTACAGGCAAAACTACAAAGTTGGTCTGTCATCTACCTTTCCGGCTAACGTTAGCTAACTGACATTAACATAAGTTCGTAACACAGCTTCACAGCACATCTCTGTATTAGCACATTGATTACATAGTTAGCCAAGCAGATGTGTGCATGATATATTTTGACAGTTTTAAGCTAATGCAGCATATATCTGTCGGACAACAATACAAAAACAATTCAGATGCCTTCTTATACTTGTAGTAGTACAGTTACTTGGCTAGAAATTGTAAACAGCTAAAGATACCTATCCTTGTTTACTGCTGCTGAGTAATAAACGTTACGATGTGACAACTCGTTGATGATGCTTTGAGCTATCGGTAGAAGACGGGAGTGATGAGGGATGGGGAGGGGATTAAGAGATGTGATCTGACGGAGGAAGATTACCCTGACTGCAAGTTTACTGCAAACTTAATGCCGTTTTATTCACAGTCAATGTAGGCATGTCATTGGTTGACTGAATAATTGGTTCATATGTTACATTTTTACAGAATATTGGGTAGGCATGTGAATACCTAAAATGATTGACACAATGCCACTGTGTGCTGTCTTCTACTGTCAAAATTGTACGTGGAATGTTTCACCCAGGTAGAGAGAGAGCAGTTACTTTACCGGGAAAATCTGCTGGTGGGAATGGGTCCTTGATTTCGTTGACGTTTGACTCAAACTCATCCACTTTTAGCTGAATAAAATAAAAATATGCAGTGAAGATCAGAGGTCAAAATCCAAACAGCCTGGAGAATAGTCACCGAAGTTCTGTTAAAGAAAGCAAATGGCTGGTTCATAGTGCTTGGGAAGCCTGACCTTGGCTGTGGTGGGGATACCGTCTATCTTAGCTCTCTGCTCTGCCAGCTTCTTAGCCATCAAGGTTTTCTCTTCCTCTGCCTTGTCAGGGTTGCTGGCGCTGAATGAAGATAGAATGAGAGAAGAACTCTGGTTCCTGAACCTCTGTGCTACTTGTACCTGAACGTCCAAACCGAGACCCCCCACCTCAGCAACTTCTTGCGCATCTTCTCCTCCGTTTTCTCTTTCTGCGCCAATGTCAGACTCTCTGCCTCAGCCAGGTTGTCCACAGCAATGGCCAGGAACACATTCAGCAATATGTCTAGGCATCAACAATCAAGGAAGGACTCAAGAAGATTTGAAACTAATCACTAATAGTTTACTCTGCATAGCGGATGTTTCTTTGGGGCGTATCATTCTGTTCCTGGCTCCACCCACTATTACATTTCATACCTCTCCATTTCGGTTGGCTGTTTTCTTCTTCCTTACTTTCATCACTTCTGTCATAAGGCCTGTCCAGGCAAGAACGGCAGGCCATTGCTTTGGAATTTGCTTTGTACTTGTTGTGTTGCTGATATTCATTGTGCTTGACCGCTGTTGCTGTTTGACCATTGATTTTGATTAGCCTTTCTTGGATTTGGTTACTTTGGATTTCTGTTTTGTAAATAGCCTGTAAATGTCTGTAAATATTGTGTTCACTGTGAGTAGGTGCGACACCATTTTGGATTGATTACATTTTCTCACTGTTTTGAAGCGGGTTAGGGAGATGGGTAACAGGTAAATGGTTAGGTACAGGAGTATCTTTATTCTAGTTATAGAGGTGTTTTGTTTGTTATTTTGCTGTGGTTGGCTCCTAAAGTGATTCCCTCTGCTAATACATTCACAGGCACAAACAACCTAGTGGTCTCACTCCAGCTTTTTGTTGCGCCTGACCCCTAGGCTGGGGTGTAACAGTGGGCCCATGGATAAAAGATACAGTTGCCGCAGATGAAGAGGATGATGAAGTAGATGCTGACCAGTATTCCAGGGAAGACTGGTCCTCCATAAGACATGATGCCATTGTACATCACAGTGTCCCAGTCCTCGCCTGTGAGGATCTTAGCCCAAGAAAAACAGATACAAGCAATTTTTGATAGATTGGTGTCTATGTTCTTTATGGTTTGGCTTCATTTGTAAGGGGAAGGAGCGCAAAACAAGCATAGTGAAGCTTGAAAAATTCCATTGACATGAACTGGTTGCCTGTGTGGGCCTGAAAGCAGGTTTTAGGTTTTGAAGAAGACTGGCCCACCTGGAAAACACTGATGAGAGCTTGGGGGAAGCTGTCAAAGGTACTACGCTGCACCTCCTGGTCAGGGAAGTTAAACTTGCCCCCAAACACCTGCATGCCCAGCAGGGAGAAGATGACAATGAAGAGGAAAAGCAGCAAGAGCAGGCAGGCGATGGAGCGCACAGAGTTCAGTAGGGAGGCCACAAGGTTGCTGAGGCCTGTCCAGTACCTGAAGAGGAAGGGTGGGTGAACTGTTAGTCATGAGTGATTTTGAGCAACTTTTAGTTGAGCATGGGGGCCTCTAGGTTTCTGAGGCTTGATATTTGAGGACCAGAGGAGTCCAATAAACTGTAGCTGTAACTTGTATTTCAATAATTTAACAGGAACTATCTAGACAATGAATAATGCTCTTCTATCCATGATGATTAACTCCCATGATATCTATTTCCTGCGATGGTCCCAATCCAACAGCCTCCATTTCCCATAATGCCCATGGCACGGCTTATCACATGACATCCCCCATTCTACGCACGGTGCCCACTTACTTTGTGACCTTGAGTAACCGTAGGAGGCGGATGCAGCGCAGCACGGAGATACCAAGCACTGACACCACATCCATCCGCACCAGCACCAGCTCCAGGATGCCCACAGTAACCACAAAGCAATCAAAGCGATTGAACAGAGATATGAAGTACGAGGGCAGCCCCAGGGCATACATCTTCAGGCACATCTCCAGTGCAAACAGCAACAGCAGCACCTTGTTGGCGTTGTCTACAGCCAGAGACAGTAAGTAGGAGAAAGCTTTTGAGCTTCAGGAATGGGGTTGTGTTCTAGCAACCTACTTACCTGGCTTCACCACTATATATTAGTCTGGAGGTTTGAAAATTAAACCTTGTATCTGGGTTGTGTCAAAGGCGGTGTCTGAATTCAGGGGCTGTATCCTTCAAAGGACGCGGTCCAAGACCTTTGTAGACTGCATTCTTTGAAGGTCGAATGAAAAGTCAAATGGGACAGTCTGGCCGTCACCACCTGCTCCTACCCTTACCCATGAGTCACAAAGTGCCGCTTCTATCATCTAGCAGAGACACACCCACTTTACCTCTGTGCAATGAATCCTGGGATATTTTGGCCGGAGATGGACCCATTGGATAGATCCTTCATGACTCAGGAAAAGGAGGATGTATTTCTAAACCGTATTTGAAGGACCCTTCGAGATGGGACAGCCGTTGATGCAGTCAGTCTTCGAATGCAGCTTTGGAAGGATGCAGCCCTTGAATTCGGACACATGCAGCAAAAGTGTCAAAGTGTGAAGGCCATATTGTATTGGAGCATACGTACTGTTCTCTTAATCAACTGAAGCTTAAAGGATTCGATTAAAAGTATCTGAAAAGCAGCTGAACAATCTAGATGATTCAAGCTGAAAACCCAGACTTCTGATGTTTTAGTAGCTCCTTTTTCTAGTTTTTGAATGTTAGTTCCATACATGTAAACCTTCTCAGTTTTGAACAAGCGAGGTACAGATACGTTGCCCAGTGCATGATGCATTTTCCTCAACGTGACAAAGGCCTAAAAACAAAAACATCTTTGAAAAGAAGTAGCCTTGTGCCCTTGGTGGGATGGACCTTGCAGGCTGGTGAGCCCCTCGGGCTGTTGGTGGTGCTCGGTGGCAATGGCCAGAGTGTTGAGGAACACCAGCAGGATCACCACCCAGTAAAACAGCCGAGACTTGACCCAGACACGACATTTCCTCCGGAAGAAGCGGTTCCAGCGGCGCCAGTGACGGCTGAGAAGAGAGTAACGGGCGGTCGGGGACGTGCCTTGAACCTCCTTAGAAGTCGATCATATTTAACCTGTAACCTTCATAAGCATTTCAATTACATGGTCTCATAGTGTGTTAGATATACCTAAGAGTTCATGTCGATGATGTTACTGGATTTTCACAGTTATCTCCTGTCAAGAGCCAATCTCTCCCCTGTACTCACAAGTAGAAGCGTAGACGGTTCAGACCCTCTATGTCATACAAGCTCTCAGTATCTGAACCACCTTCATCCAGAGGCAGGAGTCCTGGACAGAGGGATTAGCCTAAGTGAAGCCTGACTTACATTGCCGAATAAGGCTTGGGGTCCAGTCTGAATTGTGGGTTAAACCAAGCAGTGCCAAGAGCTAATCTGATGGACATCAGGTAGATTAAGATGAGAACATCCTGAGTCTAGCCTGAAGGGGAATTAGTGTTTGGTTACCCTTGGGTTTAGTCTTAGTGCCAGAGGTTCAGAAGTTTAATACACCATATGGGCAGATGTGACAGATTAGCAGAATCAAAGGGCAAGTTGTCTTTCTTGGTGAAAGTCCTTGACTCCATCATAACTGATCTAGTTTCATACACATTCTGCTCCTTACTGGTTCTGTCACTGTCATGGAGAATGTTTATCTACCTTGTCCCTCCTGGTCATTATCAATGACTTCTGCCTGGGTGATCCAGTCCATGTAGCCTTTCAGGTCCTCGTCCAGCTGCTGTTTTTCCCGCAGCTTCTGGAACTCCCCCCTAGACTTCGCCTTCTCCCGCTCCTTTGTGAACTCCCTGAGGGAAGATCGGGGGGGGGGGGAAGGGGAACATAATGAGGACAGAGTTATGAGGTTAAATTAGTATACATAATCTAAAGCTGTAAAATCTTGAAATTCCACAGATATTGCAAATGCTAATACTTTTGCATCTTTAAAATCCATTTCCGAAACTGAGAATCTTATTCACATATTCCTGCATGCAAATGATAACCGACAAAGGTGTTCTGACCCGCTGAGTACGCCCAGAACCAGGTTGAGTATAAAGAAGGAGCCCAGCAGGATAAGGGTGACGAAGTAGATCCAGGGCCATTCATTACCTATGGCATCATTTACCTGTAGGACACCAAAGAAAGAGAAAGGGTCAGTTGAATGGGAACCAGGAAAACCACAGACTTTGCCCTTCATTAGAACTGAGTCAGGTGATAAAAGGCATCGGTCACAGGGACAGCTTTCCCAGTGCACTGCGATTGTGCAGCTCCAGCACTGCGAAGTTGGCATGAGTTTGAGTTTACCCAGTAGAGAACCTCAGTCCAGCCCTCCATGGTGATGCATTGGTACACCGTAAGCATGGCAAACCCCAGGTTGTCGAAGTGCGTGATGCCATTGTTAGGCCCTGGCCAGCCTGCCCGGCACTCAGAGCCATTGATGGTGCAGCGCCGCCCGTTGCCAGCCTGGGCACAGGGTGATGCCAGTTCATCCTCCACTGTGGCAATAATGTCTGCCAGCAAACCAGACAGAAGAGGGAAATTAAATGCCGGCTTACATAATTCTTCTGGATCCCAGCTGCTGTCGACTCCTGAGACAGTTATTGAAGACTATAAGCTAATTTGTTTGCCACCCCCCCCCCCATAGGCCTGGCCAATCTAGCACCATTTACTTGTCCCATTAACCCCTGCCAGCCTGCCAACCTGTGCCAGTGTAGTAGCAGGTCTTGTGCATCTTGCACTTGAAGAGCTCCAGACCAACGATGGCGTAGATGGTGACCATAAAGAACACCAGCAGGGCAATGTGCATCAGAGGTAGCATGGACTTGAGGATGGAGTTCATCACCACCTGCAGGCCTGAAGAGGGACAGCAACTTCATTTTTTTCATTGTTCCAGCAGTTCATGAATTGTGCCGCCGCAAAAAGGGAACGACGATCAACTATAAGGTCTGACAACCAGCACCGCTTCTGAAGAGTTAAAACTGACCACCGAAAGATCATGATTTCCAGTCACACACAGGGGGACTTAAAATTAGATAAAGCTGCAGGTACTGCACTGCTTGGCCTCCGACCCTGGGGCCTCCTGGTATTGGCTCCAGGCTCCCCCATGACCCTGCACTGCAGAAGCCATCATAAGACAAATAACTGGATACTTTCTAGTATTTTTAGGATGAAAAAATTTACATGTTTTTATGCAACAACACATTATTCGCTGCTGGCTTTGGTGGTATTTAGCAGTCACTGTCAAGCCCAAGTTTTCACTGCAACTCCCTAATTAGATTGTTAATTAGAAGACTGACTGACTGAAGAGTCCTAACATCTGGGTTTGAAGAGCTGACCTAAAGTTTATCCCAAAAACCTGCATACACACCGGCCCTTTGAATATAAGATCGGGCATCCCTTGATCAAGCCTAATACTACTTATGTGGCATTTAAAAATAATTAAGCCCAGTTGAAAAGAATTAAAGTCCAATGAAGTCTATCCATCTTCCGGCTGTGTAGGCAGTATAGTAATCCCTGGTCTGGAGTGAAACACACTATGGGCAATTTAGAGATGCCAATTAATCTTGCACTTGTAAGAAAACAACACAACAGGGGGAGTTACATGCTGATTCCACAAACACTGGACTACTGTAGGTCTTCTTCTGGACTAGGTCTTCTTCATGATTAACAATATCACCACACATTATGTAATAATGCAGCATTATGTAATAAATTGACAAAATGTAACAAATTTTTGTCACATAATGAGATGTTATTACATACTGCATTGTCACACACCATGTAACAACAAATTATGTAATAACACCACATTATGTAATAGCACCACATTATGTAATAGCACCACATTATGTAATAACACCACGTTATGTAATAGCACCACATTATGTAATAGCACCACATTATGTAATAACACCACGTTATGTAATAACACCACATTATGTAATAGCACCACATTATGTAATAACACCACATTATGTAATAACACCACAATATGTAATATCTTGATCAAATGTTACAAATTTATAGACTACAATATAATTATATATTGCAACATTTCCCTATTATTATTATTATCATCATCATTCAGTTTGTTACATTCTGTCAAGTTATTACATAATGCTGCATTATTACCCACTTTAACAAGTAGTGGCTCATTAATACTGTCATCCAATCATCATACTGCATTGATTAAGCACCTAAAATGTAAATCATCCAAACTATTTTTGCTAAATTAAGCAAGCATCCCAAGATAGTTCAGGCTAGAGACTGGAGTTTCAGTTTTGCTTTACTGTAACAAAGAACTTGACGGAGGGATGTGGTGGATGGTGAAGTGTGGGAATCCTCCCTCTTACCGGAGTGTGATTTTACAGGAGCTTAAAGCTCCTGCCTCATATGGTGTTGGGTGGGGGGTGGGTGTCTTACTGGGGACGCCTGAGACGAGCCGGAGGGGCCTCAGCACACGGAATGCCCTCAAAGCCTTCATATCAAAGCCTCCGCCCTTCTCTCCTACCGGGGCCTCCACACCACTGATGTGGTTGATGGTGTCCAGGATAATGGTGAAGAGCCTGCAGACAGTGCATCAGCAAGTTAATCAATCAAAAAAGCCATTGAATCAATCAATATACAACGGCAAATGTGAAGGAATTGCTGCATGAAACATTTAAATCAATCGAATGATGCACCAGCGCAACAGCAAACAATCAATACAATCCATCCACAGTGATGGAGAGGGGTGAGGTGTTCAGAGACTGCTTATGGCAACCCTCACACGCTCTCCATAATCAGGTTACATCGCCCCCTGCTGGTGAGCTCACCCCATGAATACTATGACAAAATCCAGTATATTCCAGCAGTTGCGCAGATAAGCGTCAGCATGGAACAGCAGGCCGTAGGCGACGATCTTCAAAAAACACTCCAGGGTGAAGATGACCAGGAAAATGTACTCCAGGCTCTCCTGAACACACAGTAGGGGTTAATGCAGAATAATAAAACCTGCTTTCAACTGTCTCATCATTCTCTTTCCAATCATTTCTAATCCCAGTTTTTGTTCACTTTGGTGAAATAAGTTAACATGAAGTTTGAGGTGTACTCTTTGTGCGGATTTTCTCCGGTAGTCCAAAAACATGAAGACAGGTAAATTGGTGCCCCTAAATTGCCCATAGTAAGTCTGAGTGTGTGCTGTAATAGACTGGGACTCCATCCATAGTGTCCCCTGCCTAGTGCCCTGTGCTTCCAAGAACAGGTTCACCGTAACCCTGCACTGGCTATGTGACTGTGGAAAAACGTACAAAGAAATGCAGCTGTAACATCTGGTTTAATTTCTTCACAATCTACTTCTTATTTTAAAACTTATGGGCATTGTACTGATTAAGGAGCAAAAGCAAGCCAGTCCCAAAAATGACTAAGAACTACAGGAGAGTAAACTAACTAACGAATAACAGGGTTGTCAACTTTGGTCAGCAGGCTGGCGTGAGAGTTTCAATTCGAGACAAGTCTGCACACGCATGTACATACACTTACATGTATGTAACCGTTTTGTTATCATGTAAATATTCTGTACAGTTTGCAAACTACCCCAGTGCTTTAAATGGAGCTAATTTTAGGGTTAAAATGGAATAATATAGATTTGCCGACAGATTTCTTGCGCGAGCGTGAGAGTCTGAAAGTGTGAGTGTCACGCCAGAAGTGTGAGAGCTGGCAGCCCTGGAATAAAATAAAATAGACCGACTGCTACATGCTAATTGCATGATTCATACTGCTACTACATGCTATCTGAGTGTTCAGTGCTGTATTCTAAATGGACAAAAAGGTCAAGTTATGTGAATGCAGTAAACAAGAACACCATTTTCCCTCAGGTCCGGTTGCCCCTGACCCAGTGTAAGCAGCCCCTGACCCTGAACGTGTAACCTGCACCGCTTATGTGCCGCTTCCCAGCCCCATAAAGTATTAGCACACTGGGTTTAATGAGATCAGTGCGGCCACAGTGATGGCTATAAATAAGGGTGAGGCTCATGCCAGCACTGCCAGGCACTGGCACCTGTCGCCAGGGTCAAGGGCCCGAGCAGCAGCTGGGCTGTGTGATCAACCCAATGGCATTCCCCACACATGGGCACGCACGCGTGCACACACACAGACATACACACATGCTCCCGCAGACACACAGGCATCGTCCGCCATCTTGGTGCATTCCTCGTCTGGTCAAGGTTCTCATATATACTGTCCTTCCACAAGTTTACAAACCCTGTCGCAGCTCATAGTATCCTCCCTGGCATGGCTTAGGTGGTCACCTTAGTCAGACGTACTGTATGATGCATGCCCTAAATCGCAGTCTTTGCGATTTGCTAATCGCATTATTCCAAATTGCGATTTCGAGAGAAAAACCAAAATATTTGTACAAAAGAAACAACAGACATACACACACTCGCAGCTGCAGACATACATACACACTCGCAGCTGCAGACATACACACAGACTCGCAGCTGCAGACATACACACACTCGCAGCTGCAGACATACACACAGACTCTCCTGGCCTTGTCTTCCTAAACACCCTCAGTGGCACAGAGGTTCACACTGTGTATCCTGTATACCAGATTTCCCATTGCATTGGTACTTGATACTACTTGACTTGATTCTTGTCAAACTATACAAATGCATGCCGTATATTTTCAGGTTTTTTGCAGCTGCAGTTTCTACTTCCAATCAAAAGAGTAGCACAGTTGCATTGAATTAGGGAAATAGTTCAAATATTGGGAAATTAATAACAACTGCTAATTTTAAGAAAATTAATTGAATTGTTGAATTGCTAATGTTTTTATTTTGTTGAAATTGCTCTGGCATACTTATGCTAAATACCTAAAATCATCTGTAAAAGCACAACAAAACTTCTAATTAAAATTATAACTGCATAGACTGTATAGCAATAAAGCATAATGTCTCAAAACTATATTTGTGTCCGACAGAAGCCCTTTAATTCTAAGCCATCCACAGGCAGCAGCGTAGACAGCAAATTACAGTCAGTCTATGATTTAGGTCAAACACCAAGTAGTGTTTGGTTCCCTGTCTCCACACCCCACTAAAAGCTGCTTCCAGGCCCTGGGAATCGCCCTGCCAATTGCAATAGTAAGACAAGAGACTTTGTTCTCTTGATTATGGTGGTACCATCAGAACTTGTTCCATGAGAAAGGCTGCCATAGAAGTTCGTCATGTCCATAAGTAAATCTGAATTAGGTCTTCAAAATCGTCCTGGGGCACAACGTGTGGCACAAAGCCAGGTTGGTTAGGTCAGTGTTTCCCCACCTGGCCCTCAGGGATCATGCTTTTGCTCCTGCCAAGCTCCCTGCCAGACGGTGCACATTTCTGCTCCCTCCTGAAGCAAAAATGTGTGCTGACTGGGGGTCTCATCATGAGCTCACCATGTCAGTGCTGGTATTGCAGATTGAGAGGGAAGGCAGACACATCAGGCTGGATTTGCTAGCTAAGGGGAACTCACCAGGTCGGTGCCGATGTTGTAAGTTGTACGAAACTCACCAGATTGCTGTTGGTGTTATTAGTGTCCTCCTCGGGCATGGGCAGGAACACAGCCAGGGCCACACAGTTGGCAAAGATGGTCAGCAGGATGATGATCTCGAAGGGTCTGGATGTGGGAACTCAGGAAAAGCGCTTGAAAACCAAAGCTAAAAAGTACCTATGACTGAATGGCTGTAAGCCTTTTGTGCGTAACCCATATCTGACAGCGTGAACAGCCAGGGAGATATACGGACCTACCAATGTACAAAAAAGCTCATAAAATGTCTATGAAATTGAACATACACATAGTATTCCGCCCGCGACTGGGACGTTGTGCACGGAATTAAAATTAAAGGCTTTACGGTCTTAAGACTGCACTAAAGGGATAATTATGAAGCCTTTGCTCTGTGCTACTGCTTATGCACTTAAGAATGCATTCTAGGAAGACATAAGAGGGAAAACAGCCATCAGTGTTGGTATCTTTCATCTGCCCTTCCAACAAAACACAGTACAACACAGAACTTCCTTCCGAACAAACAAGGTTCTGCGACCTGCATCCCAGGCAAGGAACCTTCAATTTGAGACGTGGTGGCTGTTCGCAACCAGCGTGTTTTATGTCATTGACATAAAACAGCAGCCAACCTGACCTAATGACTATCTTTAGACCTGATTCAGTGTCAGACGTCAACTGTTGCACTTCAACCTGTAAAAGCTGATGAATTAGTGATATTGATGATTACAGGACAAAATCTCTCGGCTGGCCTGGGAACGCCTCGGTGTCCCCCCCGAGGAGCTGGTGGGGTTAGCTGGGGAGAGGGAGGCCTGGGTGCCTCTACTGAAGCTGCTACCCCCGCGACCCTAACCCCGGACAAGCGGAAGATGATGGATGGATGGATGGATGGATGGATGGAGGACAAAATCGAGTTTTTAATTTAGATCGATATTCCTCATTTTTATCTTTAAAGAAATGCTTTTCCAGTGATGACGTCATTATGTCCTCTAAACATAGTGTCCTTCTGAACATGCCTCTGCAGTAACGAATCAGTCGCACATTTGGATTGTCCAAAAGCGGCCTCCTGGAAGGTCGGCCGCAGTGACATGAGCAGCGGTGCCTGTGAGGATCATGCGGCATTGAGGCCAGTGGCACACATGACCTACGGTAATACAAACTGACTTGTCCCATTACTTTATATTCAGTTTCGCCATGCATACATGGAATCCAGCCTGCTGCTACTGTCGGAGCGCATTGTCAATGTCTGCCACCGGGTGGCTCTCTTCAGAAATTACTCAGGCTTAGCGGCTCTGTTTTTAGGCTCTGGCATGAATAGACAGCTGTTTGCCCAGAATATCTGAAAGAACCGAAGTTCTGTCGACAGGTACAGTAGTTTATGACTCAATGTGTTGCCCTGGCCAACATGGGAACGAGGCTTACGTGGCATTTTTCACAGCTTTAGACTTAAGCATTTGTCATGTCGCTTAGTGACAACATGCTGATTTAATTTTTTGAATGTATGATTAATATGCCTTCATAACTATACCACACTGTCACTTAAAGAATGGCCATCTACATTACGTAAAAGATGAATCATGCATCATTTATAAAGACGTTTCTTCCTCTTATAAATGAAATGACAAGAAACATCTGAAGCGTTATTTTTTAACGTTGGCTTTGTTCACACCAATATCTAAAAACAAAAGATTGCTCTGAATTAAATGCCTTCCTTGAATCTGTGAATTTCAGCCCAGCTAACATGGCTAAACAATACAATTTTAGATCAGTCGAGCATGCAGACTTAAACCAGAGAATCTTTAAAACAGAAATATATAATTAAAGCAACATAACGTCCAGTAGAAGTGCTGACTTTGTTCTCCTGGGAAGAGTAGCTGAACCATCCATGGATTTTGCATCAAAACCATTCAAAATGGCCGCTTTCACAAGTTCCTTCTCTTATGCTTTTATCCTGCGTCCCACTGTGTCTATGCGTGACGTTTTGTTCCATTTATAACTTCCTTGAATCTGTTTTTAAATTGTGAGCATATATTCAAAAACACAGGATAAAATTATAGAAAAATCCCCTGTCCCCACCATGCACTGCATACTGACATTTTCTATGTCTTCCGCTGTCTCCTTTCTTATGGATTGTTTGTTGGTACATAGTAGCCAACCTGTGTCCATGTGCTGAAAACAATGTTGACATGTGTAAATCAGGGGCGGTTCTGGGGGGGGGCAGTGCCCCCGTGACAACATGCATGCCCCCCCCCCCGGTGGGTGGTCTGAAATAAAAGTATTATTATTAATACTATTGTTATTTACATTTCTATATGTGGACTAAAAGTTAACGACACAAAATCCAATAATCAAGCTAATGGAAGGAAAACTGTCTAAACAAGAAATCAGAGTGAGTTACATATTTGCAAAACTGTAAAATGTAACTGCAAAGCTTTGCATAAATAACGATTTTCAGAACTGCCTTTTGCTTCTTAATGCTAGCAATCTAGTGTAAGTAATGCTTGGAGGACATTAAGGTCAAATTCATCTGGCCCCCCCTAACAGAACAACTGGCCCCCCAGTTGAGATGGTCTAGAACCACCACTGGTGTGAATATACTGCTGTTCACTTTTGGACACTTGCTCATCATCTGTCAGCGTGTGTTCAGAGGTGGGTAGTTCAGGCCAGAGAGTAAAAGTCCAGACCAAGATTATGTTTCAGTCAACCAGTTCAATACTCTGTGACTGTGACTCTTTATGCTCAGCTGGTTGGTTGAAGCAAAATCTTGGTCTGGACTTTTACTCTTTGGACCTGAATAACCCATCTCTGCTTAAGCTGCACAACACATGTATGTAAGTGATGACAGAAAGCGTCGGCCCCACAAAGCTATGTATGTCTAAAGGATACTTCCACTCCACGATGCTGATGCAGGCCTTGCGGAAGGGGTTCTTCAGCGTGAGGAAGAACAGCGAGCGTGCAGGGCGGGGATTCCCGCCCGTGGCCTGGAGCTTCTTCAGCTTCTCCCGCTGCTTCCTCTTCAGCGTCTCCTCGTCCATGATGTAGGAGACCAGGGCCGCCCCATCGCCACCCTCCATGTCGGACAGTATCTGGGAGCACTATCACGCCCCTGCTGAACTCCTCCACGGTCCTTACCGTCTCTTGTCGGACCACCTCTCCTGATTGCCCGCCTCCCTGGGCCTCCTCTGTCGCCGTCCTTCTCTCGCGGTGAGAGATCTATAGTCGTTCTGCCTGCCGAATGACACCACACCAAACAGATCGAGGTGGTAAGCAGGAGTGGCAGTTGGCTCTGGCTTGGGGTAATTTTAGAGATGGCTTTGGTAGATATAGATGGGGGGGAGGGGGGAAACAATAGCAGGGGCCCTCTAAGGGTGTCCACTTCACACGACCGGTCGCTGACACCGCTGGGCATTGCTCATACAGCGCCATAGGCTGCCCTCATAAATACACTAGTAAAGTGACCACCTATCCAGATTTAATCTGGACAGTCCGGTTTTCCAGCCCTCTGTCCAGAATGCTGTTGGGTGTCCTCCTTCTAGCCCCCTTGTCCTCCTTTTCCCCTCCCCCTACCCGCCTCCCTGTCAACAAGTAGAACAACTGTCCCCCACCCCCGGTCGCTCAAAAAACGTGAAACACACACATGCTACAGAAGTCAAGAACGCCAATACTTGCAATGATTTTTTATGTTAATTATCGTGATATACTGTTCTCGGCTTCAGTAATATGTGCATGATATAACCCCTCCCCCCCCCCCCCCCCCCACACTCAAAAACTTTTCATAGGATTCCTCCTTTTTAATCCTTAGTCCTTTTTGGACACAGGTGTCCTACCATTTTAAACTCAAGCCGGTGGTAATCGTAATAGTGACCCAAAACTACTCTTTGGAAAATGTGAGATTTTTGGACCAAGATGATCACACAGGCATTTGATAGTGCTATCATTTCGATGTTTTGTCACAGAGTATGGCATGACAATCTAATAGTTCTCTATCTGATTTATACGACACCCTAAGAGGTACATATGTAAAAATGTAGCGACTTGGTGTATTTGAAGAAAAGGTTCTTTTAGCTCATTATATGCTTACAATGTGGATTATGTTTGTGCTTTGGCATCATAGGAAAAATCACAATGACAAGTTTGTTACATTGCCTCCAGCTTTTAAAATCACCAAGGCCGCCGCCCCACAAAAATCAAGCGGTTCAGTGAATTAATGAACTTTGAAATAATTGGCTCTGTCTCAGTGTTTCTGGAAGTTAATATAAAAACCAAGAAGTCTGTCTTGCTCCTTAACTGTAAAAACCTAACGATTTCAGTTAACCCAGAATCTGAATTTGGCAGTAATTTACTACCATTGAATGTGCATGTAACCTCCTTTTGTTTGACGTTACTGACATTCAGTGATGAAACCCTCCAAATTAAGACACCACACTCTCTATTTTATTTTTTACCAAATATCTTTATTGATCTTTATGGACATCAGTTCTCCTTTTATTTTTCGACGTGCTGGATTCTTAAACCGGAAGCCAATGGCTGTTTTATTTCAGGGTTACATAAAACAGATAGAATTTCCCCAAACTGTCCATCTTGTTGATGTCTTTAAGCATATTTTACGTATTCAGTAATATCAAAAAGCGTAATTAAAATGAAGGTTCACTGAAGCCCTCAGCTCAAATCAGAACTCATGAGGAGGAGACATTGAACCAAAGCCTAAAAATCACACTGAGTGCCTCCTCCCTTCATTTTAACTGGCTTATTTGGAAATAAACACAGAGCGCAGTACCAGTGTCGGCCATGAAGCACTCAGGCCACTATCCCTAACCGGCCTCAAGTCCCACAGTAGCCTCTTAGCTTTGATGCTAAAACCTTGCTGTTGGGTCGTACCCTACTTCCATGTAATCACCAGTGATTCATTCATGTCATAAATAAAGTCTTGAGGAAAAACTAGCCTCAGAAACTTCAGGATCCAAAGTACTGTCCTTGTTTGTGGTTCTCCTTCCCTCAGCCTCTTCCATCTCGTCTCTCTTGTCCTTCAGGCTAACATGGGTCTAGCTCCCGCTTCCTTCTGACTCCTCACAGTAGAGCCTCGGAGAGGAGGAGCCAGACTCCGCATCACTGTGGCCCTGGTCTCCCAGAAGGAGGGACCTGCAGACGGGGTCCTTGCAGGCGGGCTCCCCGGGCGGCAGCTGGCTAACCAGCGCCTGCAGGTGCTTGATGTAGCGGATGGCGGCGCGCAGCGTCTCCACCTTACTGAGCCGCTTGTCGCCGGCGGCCGCGGGCAGGTGGTCACGCAGCTTGGCGTAGCCCTGGTTGACGCACTTCACCCGCTGGCGCTCGCGTTCGTTGCGCTTCTGGATGAATGCGGGCTCAAAAGGACACTCATAAAGCCCCAGGTGTCCACGAAAAGCAGGGAGGTAGGAAAAGAAGGGCGAGGCACCCCCATAGGGGCCCTCATAGAAGCCTGCATCCACACTGGTAGGGTACAGCAGCAGGGGCATGGTGTGGGGAAAGGAGTCGCTAGAGAGGAGGTGTCGATGCTCGGGGTGGCCACTAGAGGGCAGCATTCCATACTGCAACCCACTCCGACTCAGTAGATTGGGCTGCCGCTCCACTAGTGTGTGGGAGAAGCTGTTGCTCATAACGACCCCGGAATGTAGATTCGTATTGCCAATTTGTAAATCAGTTCTCATTTGCAATTACAGCCTTGGGAGTGAGATCAAGCGTTAAATGAAAACAAACCAGGAAAACATTCCCCTAACATTTGTGTTCATATGCACTGTGACAGATGTTTGTCCTACTATGGAAATTTTAAGATCGATTATAACAGGCCATTACATCTTTCTGTCCGAAGGACATGCAACTATCGGGTGTGAGAAGATCCTCCCGTCCTGCTTCAGGATGTGTGCTGTGGCCGTCAGCCAGAATCAGCAGACGCAGGAGACTCAAAGATCATCTTCGTCAAGTCGTCCCAATGCTGTGGAGGAGGAGGGGTACAATCAAAGGAAAACAGGAGATTAGTCCTCTGTACAAGACAAGTTGGTTTCAAAGGCAGGCTTAAGATAATAATGCGACAGTGTTCAGGGTGGGGCATCAATGCGACAGGGTTCAGGGTGGGGCATCAAAGCGACAGGGTTCAGGGTGGGGCATCAATGCGACAGGGTTCAGGGTGGGGCATCAATTCGACAGGGTTCAGGGTGGGGCATCAAAGCAACAGGGTTCAGGGTGGGGCATCAATGCGACAGTGTTCATGGTGGGGCATCAATGTGACAGTGTTCAGGGTGGGGCATCAATGAGACAGTGTTCAGGGTGGGACATCAATGCGACAGTGTTCAGGGTGGGGCATCAAAGCGACAGGGTTCAGGGTGGGGCATCAATGTGACAGTGTTCAGGGTGGGGCATCAATGCGACAGTGTTCAGGGTGGTGCATCAATGCGACAGTGTTCAGGGTGGGACATCAATGCGACAGTGTTCAGGGTGGGGCATCAATGCAACAGTGTTCAGGGTGGGGCATCAATGCGACAGTGTTCAGGGTGGGGCATCAATTCGACAGGGTTCAGGGTGGGGCATCAATGCTAACANTGGGGCATCAAAGCGACAGGGTTCAGGGTGGGGCATCAATGCGACAGGGTTCAGGGTGGGGCATCAATGCGACAGGGTTCAGGGTGGGGCATCAAAGCGACAGGGTTCAGGGTGGGGCATCAATGCGACAGTGTTCAGGGTGGGACATCAATGCGACAGTGTTCAGGGTGGGGCATCAATGCGACAGTGTTCAGGGTGGGGCATCAATGCGACAGTGTTCAGGGTGGGGCATCAATTCGACAGGGTTCAGGGTGGGGCATCAATTCGACAGGGTTCAGGGTGGGGCATCAATGCTAACATTCAACATCAAAGTGCAGCTTTTGAAGCTTGGCTCAATACCCTGATCATAATGAACTGTTTAGCATCGATTAAAACAACATTGTGCTAAAAAGCTGATATGAATCGACTATTCAACCCTCAGCTGTGAACATTCTGTCAATCTAGTGGTAGAACGTACTTAAGCCTTTTTTCTGTAAAGTGATGTATTTAAAAACATCGGGTGTGGTGTGATAGTTCAGTAGGTAGCTGTATTGCTATACATCTCCATGGACGTGGCTCAAGTCCCTCCTCTGTTCTGTGTGTATGGAGATATGCATGTTTCCCTTGTGCCAAAAATATGCTTAAATTATCTGTGCAGCTACCTACTGAACTATCACACCACAGTGTGAGTGTGTTTCCCGGCATGGTCCTCTCAGACCCTCAGACAGCCCATGGGAAGCTTGGAGGGAGTAAAAATGTCTGGGGGGGTCCCTGAGGATCAGGCTGGGTGACCCCGACAAGGATATGCCATTAGAGAACGGATGGAGGTGTAGACTTTTCTCTCAGTACCGAGCTTGTCAGCCATTTTTTCAAGAAGGTGGGTGGACCTCCAGGACCAACAACTTGCAAGGTGTGAAGAATCAGACTTCACAGCCTTTCAGGATCTGCCACCACTCATCAGTGTGTTTCGGAGCTCTAAAGGCAGGTGGGAGATCAGAGCGGAATTCCCCGTCTCTGTAGGTGGGTATTGGGTATCCCAAAGCGAGTGCGGAGTCGCCGCCAAAAGCCATTTCAGCGTTTAAAGGCAGAGTGACGCGATTCGCAGCTGTCCATCACCCCGGCGTGCTCCAGCATTCCCGATGGAGAGCCAAACAGGAGCAAGACCCTAGCTTGCTGAGGGAAACACCGCAGCTGCAAGACCTGAAAGACTATGGGAAATTCTCCAGTAGGACTGGAAAAATGCTGGAGGCCCAACCGGGAATAGGTTTGGAGTAAAGCAGGACTGCTTGAGAGGAACTCAGGTGGGAACAGAAAATCCCACCAATAAAATGTGCTTGTAGCCACAGTAAAAGCTACGGCACTTTCAACACTGATATGTGATAGAAATAGCTTGAAAATGCTATATTTTTATATAAAAAGCTATATGCTGTCATTATATGGTAATGTCTGGACACATGGTAAGCCCACCCACAATGCATTTCAAAGCTTTATTCCTCCCATGGCCAGACTGACTGCTGTGGTGTACTAGTTATCAGTTATACCTTTTCAGTTATATGGTGTCAGTTGGGTGGTTTCAGTTATATGGTTTCAGTTGGATGGTTTTAGTTATATGGTTTTAGTAGGATGGTTTCAGTTGAATGTTTCTGTGGCTGATGTGAGGCCAACACTGTTACCCCTATTTCTCTAATGACTTTTGAGTGATGATCCCAGTGACACTCCTGCTCCCAGGAGCGTGGGTCAGAGCAGCACAGTATTTCTGATGCTCTTGTGGCAGAAGTACAAGAAAGTGAAGCTGAGACTAAGCAGCTTGTAAAGTTAGAGTAGAGGCGGAGCAGATTGTGTGTGAGCGGAGCCCTTTGGCTTTTTCCACTGTTCCCCCTCCCAGTCACGTTGCCGCTTGCCTGTCCACCTTTCTAATGTTTTCATACTTCCATAAATTTCCTATCGTAACCAGATGACATCAAAAGTAATAATCTATTTCATCATCTTCAGAAAAGCATGCATACAGAAACCTATAAATTACATTTGATGTGAAGCTGAGATGACATTGGATTTTAAGATGCGGGTTCTGAACCCATGAAGGGACAACTGCAATCATCGCCTATAGTTTTACTAGTTTTAATTATATTCAGTAAATCTCCATTTGCATTAAACATTGATTGTGAAGCTTTGCACAATAATAGTGACGTTCACCCCACCCTCTGGGGCAAATTTTGTGCCCCAAAATGCCACACTCCTTCAAGCGCCACTCTACGTGTGTGTGTGTGTGTGTGTGTGTGTGTGTGTATAGTACTGTCCAAAGAAAATGATGTTTAAATGATCTTCATGTTCGTACAAAACTATGCTATTATACCTGTCAAAGTGCTTAACCATTTCAAAAAATCTCCCAAAGTCATCTTAATATTTGCAGCAACCATCCAATACACCTATGTATGTTTTGACTTGACCACAAGTACATCTTATATAGCTAATCAATACCTCATTGACTTTTCTAACTAATTAAATTAATTACTTAAGTGAGCTGGTGGTGAAATTTAATATGGAATAGCTGAGGTGCCCCTGAGGAGAGGTTTGGGAACTGAAGCCGTGTTCATCTAGCCGTCCAACAAGTCATCAGTAAGTTTTTGGAGAGCAGAAGAAATTCTTGCTAGTTTTTGTTGTGTTACTCTTAATTTTCACAAGTTCCAGTGCTAAATAGTATTTTTTTGCTCTGAGCAGAAGTACACTTACTACCCAGATAAATAACCTTAAACACAAGACTTTTGCACAGTACTGTGCGTGTGTGTTATTATATATGCATATATATACGTATATGTATATATATGTGTGTGTGTGTGCGTGTGTGTGTGCGTGTGTGTGTCTGTACATATGTAAATGGCTGTCTTTTGATTGAATAGTCCCTTTAGGTTCTTGCTGTGTTGATGATGCATTGTATAGCTCTTACTCTGATACTGCTTACTCTCGTTACCGGTCATTCCTCAGAAGCTCAGCCTAGCTGCACTGACGCCGAGCTGCACTGACGCCGAGCTGCACTGACGCCTAGCTGCACTGACGCCGAGCTGCACTGACGCCGAGCTGCACTGACGCCTAGCTGCACTGACGCCGAGCTGCACTGACGCCTAGCTGACTCCTTGACAGCTGCATGTTTGTAACGTGCTATCGGCCCTCACATTGCATGTCACTTTGGACAAATAAAGCATCTGCCAAAATATAAGTAATCGTTACATCAGAGACGGAGATGAGAAACCCACTTAACGTCTATGCGGGTGAGTTATTCCATGGTGAAGCTGTCAGGGTGGCGGCCCCTGTGGCTGGCTGTACCCCCCTGGGCCCAGCCCTTACCTGCAGAGCTGACGATATGCCAGGCTGTGATTCCGGCTCAGACAGACGCCCTCTGAGTTGGCAGGCTGCTCCCTCGCTGTGCTCCTCAGGGCTCCTTCCATCGAGTGCACGCAGACTGGTGGGAGGTGGGGTCGACTCAGGTCTTTACCTGCCCCACCTCACCATATTCCGCCCAAAAAGGGGGTGGGGCTTGTGCTGTACCTCGTGAGGGGGGGGGGGATTGTAGCCCTGGGGCCCCTCTAGCGTCACAATCAATGAGGCACAATTAACACTCTAAAGCAGTGATATGTTAACCAGAAAGCCACAAAGAAAAGGAGTGTAACGTCAACAACCAACCTCTATGAATAACTGTCATATGCAAGCTGACAGGCGTAATACCTACCCGTTACCCTTTTAACAAAACGGAAAATGGCTGTCAGTGTTTCTCTGATTTTACAAAAGAGATATTACATGATTTTTGCACTTAAAAAATGAAACATAACCCCAAGCATTACTGATCATCTGAAGACAGGAGGGAGCAAAAATGCAGACTGTCTGGCAGGGAGCTCGGAGGGAGCAAAAACATGGACCGTCTGTGGGTCCCGGACGACCGGACTGGGAAACTGTGTTATATAAAAATCTTTTTCCCTCGGAGGATGAGGATCCCATGCTGGACTGGCATAGTAGCGACACTACAGTTTGCAAAGCTGAGTCAGATCCATGTTCCTGCTGCCTGGAGGAACCCATAAGTACAGAGGAAAAAACTCAAGGCACACAAGTTCAACACTAGAGCAATTACAGTTGACTAATTACATAATTTATTGGCCACAGCATGCAGACACGGATGCCCCCAAGTCAAATCTGGGGGAAGAATCACACACAATTCGCAGCCAGTATAAACCAGCTCTTAGGAATGAAGCGGCGAGTGGTGATGGAGAGAGAACTACACCAGTAAACCAGTACATGAGAGTTCATGGTGGAGTAAATAAATAATTGTATTTTTTTCTCAGATTTATAAACTCATCTAACCCAGGGCTTGGTGGGGGGGGGGGCATCACAAGAGGGAGTGAAACTATGCCTGAGATCCTGAGATCAACTCATGTGAAGTTGGACAGGAGATAAAAGTATCTTAAGGGCCTTTTTATCATAGTCCCTGGATTTAGAAGTGTTGGTTTAACAGGGATTTCAGTCTGATGGTTTGACTGAGCACATTCTTTTCATGTAGAAGAGGAAGGTACCTTCACGACATCGGCCAAACCGAAACACGCGGGTAATGGTTCACGTTTAGACTGGGACTCTTCAAAATATTCCATCAACTATAGAGAACATCAATAAATGATTAATCCGCATGATGCCAATAAAACACTAACTGCCTCACAATCACATGTCCAGATAGGCTATTCAAACTGCTGTTTAGCCGATGACATTTATTGCAATCGTCTAGTTCAGACTCACAAATCCGCCGTTAAACTACCTGCTTGAAGTTATATTTGTGCTGCTTTCGGGTTAATCCCCCATTTCCAACGCTAATTAAACAGTCTGGCTCTTTGCACCCCTTCCCCAGATCCGTGACCGGCAATTAGCTGCGGTACAGTAAACTGAAATTTAGTCTCGCGAACAATGCGAAGCAAGCTGCGGCACGCTCGCGCGCTTTGAACTCGGATGCAGTGGGGACGCTGCCGCCGCACTGGGGAGGGTTAGTAGAGGGGTAGGGGCTGCACCCACAGCTCCGATCCGGATCGGGTTGCAGCCGCAGCCGTCTTCAGCGCACATCAAACGCGCGAAGCGGCTTTTGAAGCCTCAGTCGTCACCCTGTGTCGCGGCGAGCAGCTTTCCGAAGAGAATGAACGTGTTGAATCTTCCTGACATAGATGTTCCAAATGAGAATCGTTATCCGAAATTTGAAGACCTCCTTACAGTCTTTTCGGAAGTCTTTATTAAGTGTCTCTTTGGATGAATATCCTTATAGGTTATGCATTGAGGAGCTGACCAATGGGAAGACCAAAATCTATTATATATGAATGAATGAATAAATGAATGAATCAATCAATCAATCAACGAATGACTGTATACATGCATTGTCATTGTAGAAGGTACAACGAAATTGGGAGACTATCCTTGTCGATGCCAGAAAGGATACAAATACAGAAAAAATAAGTAAACAATATAAACAGAAAATAGAATGTAAATAAGTAAATAGAATATAACATTGAATATAAAAGGAGAGTAAACATGTAAACAGTGTAAAAACAAATAGAAAAATGACAAAAACTAGATGTTTAAATAAAATAAGTTTTATGGATATTCCTGTCTTTGTGATTCAGTTTCACAATAAATATGAAAATATTGCACATTTCAGCAGTGTAACTATGAATACGCTTTTAGGTAGTAATTTAGGTAATTTACGTATATTGTGAACTTAAGCAAAGCACAACCAGCATTAGATACTGGCAACACAGTGAAAGATCAAATGCTACTTCAATGCAACCAGCAAGATAAGGTAAATATCCATAAAATTCCATAATTTAATTCAAATGGTTAAAATTCAAACTGGGTAATTTTTTTAGCGCTCCTTTGACTCCTGTTGCTTGTGTGGCACAGAAGAAGCCATAGCATAAGTCACCTGACCATGGGAGCTGTCTTCAGCTATAGGATTTGGCTCAGACCTACATTTTTATTCCTATTGTGAATAGAAATCAGCATTGATCAGGGCACAGGTCCACAGCAGGATAGGAAAAAATGTGTATTTTCATGTTGGGAATCAAACGGACTGATTGGGGAATAGGAACTGAAGACACAATATATACATCAAAAAGCTCAGAATAAGCCATCTGATGGAGTAAAAGGGACAAACAAAATGAGTTTATAGATGTAATAGTTGTACTTACTCCTTCAACATAAGATAAAACTTTATTGAAATTCCACTGCATACAGCAAGGTATGTAAGTTTACTCATTTACTAAGTTTACTCATTTACGGATTTTACTTATTTACTGATGTTCCTCATTAGTCTGATGCTGTCACCAAATCTGACTGACAGTAGAAGGAAGGGTTGCTGTTTATGTGCTTCATGTGCACACAAACAAACATATAGTGCAAAACAAGACGCCGGGCAAAGGCAGCACGCATAGTGCAGACAAATAAACAGCGCAAAACGAAGCGGGGGCTGATGGTGAAGGAAATACGCAGTAAACACAGAGCACCACGGCAACGCCAGCCACCTCCTGCACAACAGACGCCCATAACCCAGCCACAGCCCCCCCCCCCACTGCACACACACAAAGCTGCCAGAAACTCGCAGGGAGAGATGGGCACAGTCTCTGTCATCGGCCTTCGGATGCAAAAGTGCCAAACCATCAACTAAAGGAAGAAAAAAATGCAAAATAAAATACAAATCTGCCAGAAATCTCTAGCCTGAAGCAGCTCACATCTTTCAACCTGAAGTGCTTTGAGTAAAGAAGAAAGATGAAGACCTCCCCCCCCCCATGCTCCCGCCCACCCTTAGGATGACATCCAGCGATGAAATCCTGGGAGGAAGTGAATGAGGTCAGGATGGCCTGGAGGCCTGATGTCAGGCGTCCTCTGTGGCTGAGGAGAGAGAGAAACTCGCTGACAGGTTCTGCATAACATACACATCTATCCACACACACACCTTTGTATTCACATCTTTGTGGGGACCGTCCACTCATTTCTCTAGGAAAAACTCTAATCCCAACTGTGATTACCTTACCCCCTACCCAGCCCTAACCTTAACCATAAATAAGAAGAACAAAACACAAGACTTTTGGCACTTTCAGTTTTCGATTGCAGTCATAGATTTTAATAAAATTCAGTTTCCCTTTGGGTTGACCGAAAAATGGATCCCCAAAGTCAAAATAGCAGGTCTTATCACATTATGGGGACATTTGGTCCCCACAATGTAATACATATGTAACTCATTCACACACACACACACACACAATGAGTACACACGGACGCACACTTCAAACATAAGCTTCACAATAATAGCTACATGTAACACTGATTTCTCCTGCCACACCGGGAGAGCTATGTGCTTAGTGTTTTGGACAGTTGCCGGTTTCAAATTTTCGATCTGCATGTTTCTGTAGGAATATAACAACCTCAGACCTGAAACATGCACTGCTTGACCAGACCATTTAAAAAAAAAAAAAGTTGCACGTCTCGAATGTCATCTCACTTGACCGATTGCCTCTGATTGGACGAGGCAGACCCATGTGACCCTTCCACACTGCTGCAGATAAAATGATGTCTCAGGCCCCATGTAGCGCAGGTAGGCTGCATTCGCCCAGGATGTTTCTGCCGCTGTCAGACGATGCGGGGGTGCTGACGACAGCTCGTCTGTGTAAACGGTGTGGCCCGCGGGTGTCTGGGCCGGAGGCCAATCCTTACATCTTTCATGTTCAGTCACACTCTTTCATGCTCAGATACATGCATATCTATAGACATACATGTGTATTTATATATAAACCACCTTCAGCAGGCTTTAATGGCTATTTGGGGAGAATGGGTGCGTGTGAGTACCGGACCAACACATGGGTGGATTAAGGCTTGGGCTTGGGCCCACTGAACCAGGGCCCAGGGTCTGTGGACCTTGTGTGTGTGTGGGGGGGGGGCATATGCAAGGTCCACCAGTCCATGGCAATGTCTAGATTATGTCGTCCTGTTACTATGCCAGTGCTAGTCTTAGATACCACACCGATTTTGGCCAACAGTGGTTTTTGGGGCCAAAGGCTTCTTCAGTTATGTAAAGGGATTTCTTAATTAGCCCATGAGCCCCTACCAGAAAATAAATTTTGTGGGGGTGTGACCCCACCCCCAGTCAATTCTGGTGATTGGAGTCCTAAAGCGAATTTAGAAGGGGGTGGACTTCAAACTCATCATGTTAGTTCCTGGCTAAGTCCCTGATTGGTAACAAAATAATTTCAGATGAGTTCAAACACAATATCCTTTAGGCAAATTTGCAAATTTAATTTTGTTTATTCAGCATCCCACACCCCAGCCTTGTACCCCCTACTGACTGGCATAGGCATATAAACATATAAAGAACCTATTAATGTATTAATAAGAACGACCATGACTCTATACCAGAAAAGTGGTGATGTAAGATGGATAAATGACATGGTCATACAGTCTTATTCACACGGCCAATGAGCAGAAACTTGCCCAGTTTACTACCTAATCATAAGGAAGCTGGTTTGTTACTGGTATGTCATGGGTGAAAGTGTTTTTGTACTACGATTCTCCCACATGACTAGAGTTTCTAAGTGACTATTGGTGACTGTCAGGTGTGCATCACATTCAGTTCTCAGCTGGCAATAAATGAGGGCCTCAAATTGTCATGGTTGCTGTGAGTTTAGAATATGTCACCTTTTAGAGCCTGGTTTGCTTTCGAAGTGTTTAAAGTGTGAATTATAATGCGTAAGTGCTGCTTGTTTTAGCTGCGGTATTGGATGTCAGCTGTCTATCATTTATTTGTATTTAGTTAACAATGGTTGGATGCAGATACATGCCTATATGCACTCGTCGCACACTCAGGCACTGAATTGGGGTTACTTCAGTTTGGTATAAACAATGTAATCCCAAGCCTGTAGGACTGTCAGGAGAACAATGCAACGGAACTCCCACTTTCTTAGGTCAAAGCACAGAAGCGGTGGCCCTGATTCACCAGCTGCAGGGAAAAGCAGGCGATTAAATGCACTGCCACCTAAAGTCATTCTGGCTGATAGCAGCGGTCAGTCTCATTATTGCTGCACAGTCAAGCAGTCGTGTAAAAGCCCAGATAGTCTCATTACTCAAAGTCTATCTCAGCATATTCAGTTCTATATTTCTATTTTTCTTTATTGTTTCAGAAAACATACTGACCATGGCCTGCATGAAATGTACCAGGTACGTAGTCAACTTTCATGTAATTACCAGTTTTAAATAATGGTTTCTGCCATTCCAATTCCCTCCAGTAGGTGGCAACCAAGGTATTGCAGCTGGTTACATGATTGATTTTGAAATTATGTATTGGCAGCATCACAAACACTTAAACCACAAACCAAGCACAATAGATTGATTCTACAAGGAGCCACTAGATGGCGTCAAAATAACAACAAATAGCTGATGCTGAGCTAAAGGCAGGTTAATCTTTCGTTGGTCAGATGATAATCTTGTCCAGTTTGTTCAAACATAGTTATAGCTCTTATTTTTACTGTCTGACCTTCTGACAGCTGGATTCTAATTAATCAAACAGGCATTAGGGGTTAATTTTCGGTAAATACTGAATTATTTGTGCTGACTTTGTGCCATAACGTCTGTCCCTGAAAGGCCACGCCTGTACATCTTACCTTTAGTAGAATAACATGCAATTACATTAGACCATAATAACATAATTCTAAAAAAGGAAACATGTTCTTATAGATTGAATTGTTACTCTTCAGCTTATAGCATAAGCAAAAAAACAAAAAACAAAACAGAATACAAATCACGAAACACAGGAACTACAAATACAAATGAAACACTAGGGAAACAAAATCTACAAAATACAAAAACCAAGAACAGTAAACGGTAAAATACAGCAATGCTACAACTTAATTCAGAGTCGGTTCTGAATTAATTAAGGATTATATCTCTGTTTATGTTATCGTGTTCTGTGTTGGGGGTGCAAGTACACAAAACAGGTCCTTGAGGAGACGTGAGTAAATATCAGCTACAGTATACATACACACAATTTTTGGCTCATCCCCGATCTGCTTTCACATTTGTCCATTAGTGAAAGAACTTCTGAAATGGGAGCCAGCCGCTCATTAAAATTTAAATCAATTTGCACAACGGCAGATTAATTCTGAAGGCAAGCGAGGCAGAATTTATACATGTGATACATTCTACACGACTCTGCCGTTTGTTTGTATGCACGATTCTCTCTCTCTCTTTCTGCTTCACACATGTGCAAATTCCCTACTGTTGCAGATGGCAGAGTTTAATGGTTGCTCCAGTACCAACCCAAAACCCAGCATACATGGGTTCATGGAAGGTGGTTTGGTACCTATGGAGCAGAGTCATGGTGTCGGAGATGCTGTAGAAGGACAGAATCCCGGCCCTGTGATCCAGGTACACTCCCACCCGGGGACTGTAAGGTACCCTGATATCAATGCGCTTGAAATTGTGGCAGGCAGAGTAAACGCTGTTGATGCAGTCTAAGCTCCAGGACTGATCGTTGCCCCCGAAGGAAGCGCGGCCAGTGGTCCCCTTCCTGCTGATGCCTTTGTATGTGACCGCCACCTCCGCCTTGCTCCCCTCCAGCTCAACTTCCCAGTAAAAACGGCCACCGGACAGGACCTCCCGGCACAGGAGCTGGCTCTTAGAGACGAACCTCTCTGGGAAGTTAGGGTAGTACTGTTTGCTCCCCCGTGTGACCTCTCGCCCGTCTGCAGACAGGGTTAGCTCACGGTTGGCCGTGTTTTGGTCAAAAGTCAGGTTGAAGGCATCTGAGCGGAGACATCAGAAGTTGACGGTGTAAAGCACCTTTCTGTCCATGAGCTTACCTACAACAGTGCTCAGGAAAAGCACAGTAAATTATCGAAATAGTGTGTCTTGCACAGCATACTTACATTTTAAGAATTCTGGTCTGGAGCTCGGTTCTGGATCAGATTGTTCTGGATCAGACTGTCGCTCTGGAAGAGCACTGGGCCCAGGAGCAGAACTGGGATTATCTACTGTACAGAAAGTCAATGTATATAAGTAAAATGCATAGGACCAGGGTTCACCAGATAAACATCACTGTAATACGTAACAATTAAGCCCTTATGTGAAAGAACCTGCTTATTTGTATGAGAAATATCAAGATTTGCAAAATAACCTGAATGAAAAAAACAAAAATGACAAGGCTTTCAGACGAACCTGTGTTTGAAATCCTCATCACCTGAGCATCACACATATCCCCTATCTGCCGCTTCAGGTCAGACAGAGCTGCCTTCATCACCTCAAAGGGAAGCTGCAGGTCTACAGCCAGGTTTTGGAGAGCATCAGGTTCTGCTGGGAGGCACGGTAAAGGCCACCTCTGCTGTACATGGGAGAGAGGTGAAGGAGGGTTCTGAACATACTACGGTCGACCCTTCCACATCACAGGGGTTAGGGGCACAGAACCCCCGTGATCAGGAAAAAAAACACCACATTTTTTGGTCCTCTAAGCAAGCGGAGCATAGTGAAGCAAAAAGATACAAGAAACACCAGGTACAAAGATCACTGCAAGATCACTGCAAGATTACTGCAAGACATCACTTGAGAGACTGCCGTAAACATGCATGGCGTCCTCCAAACCAGCACTGTACATATGTTTTATGCATTGAGTTACGGTACATTTTGTGTGTCGTCTACTGGCCTTTGCGGCTTTCACAAAACTCCCAAAAACTACAATTTAATTACTAATGCCAACCACACAATGTATCAAAACCACAATGGAGAAAATCATGATGCAGGTGAGTGGACTGTAGCGATGGGAAGCCACTTTGCCAACAGAAAACACCATCAATCTTGACCTTTAAGGTGACCTTTATGGCAGGAATTTGAACCCAAGTTGGTGGAGGCAGAAGGAAGTCTAGGGGATAAATTTCCAAGCGATTGAACATAGAACAGGGACAAATATGTGTGTACGTCGTAGGCAGCCTATGGAACTGTGCAACATGAACGCAATGGATGAAATTCACTATAATAATCATTGAAATGGGTGCTGTGGGAAAATATACTCATTGCACCATTTTAAAATTTCAAGATAACATAATTACATACACTACATACACAAAAAAAGTCTCTCTATCTTGTGGAATGACAGCATCCTTAAAACATATTACCCGAATAATATTTAACTTTTAACTAATAATAGATTTAACTTTGGGATGCCACTTTTGAGTGTTACTTTCTAAATGCAAATTAAAGGCCAGACTAACAGGACTCATTTCTACTCCTGACCGGCAGATAGTCCGAAAAACATGGATGTTACCTGTAAGAAATGGACAGGATTCTTTGTGTGTGAAATCTTCTCCAGCTCAGAGTCTCTTTTCTTCATCTCATCAATCTCCTGGTCCATTTGCTGATGCAGCGTTTTGGCTTCATCCACTGCAGCCTTCTCCTGCTTCCTGATCTCATCTATCACCTCAGAGCACCTTCCCTTAATTATCTGGATCAGCTCAGTAGAGATTCTCTCAGCGTCCTCTTCTGCTTTCCTTGCAGAGGCCTAGTAGAGACAGATGGGAGGAGGAGTGGTCTTACTGGTTACCATATCCTAGGGCAGGGCTATTAAAATCACGTTCCTCAAGAGCCGAGCACTGCTGTTTTTCCTTCTATCCTTTACCTGAGAGCCAGTTGTGAAGCCTCTGGCCAATTAGAGCCAGAAATTATTTAGCTAACTACCTGGGAGATTTGAAAACAAGGCCTGGATTTGGAATCGAGGGCCAGATTTGAACAGGGGGCGCCTAGGGTGTTTGTCAATATGCGTACTTGACCGTATTTGTGTTCTCGTGTACCCGTTTCGTTTAGTTCAAATACTCAAGAACACAAGAACGGAGAACAATAAAAATACCTAGATATTATTCTTGCCACATCCCAAATATCAAAAATGCATCGGTTGCACCCTCAAGTTCGTTCTTGGGAGGCAAGTTAGCAAGAACACAAGTACGATCTTCACGTTCTTGGTACTGGGAAACATCTGAAGTCTCCCTCAGCCACTTCCACCCCAGTATAGAGGAAGATTGCATTGACAGACAGATTAAAGGACCCCTTATGGCCTTAGCAGCCCAAAAAGCCAAGCCTCCCACTTTCTCTGTCGTCCATGCCCACCATGAAGGACTCCAAAGTCATCCTGTTCTCCAGCAACTGTCTCTCCCTCTCCTGGAGCTTCTTCTGGAACCTGTTTCTCTCCATCGCCAGCTGTTCCTGTACACAAAATAATTCCATTTAGTCACATCCCACATCAACACCACATCCCTCCATTCATCCACATCAACACCACATCCCTCCATTCATCCACATCAACACCACATCCCTCCGTTCACCTAAACTGTAAAACTGCACTGTAAAATCTAACTGTGAGAAACTGTTATAAGGGCAGGGCTGGAACGTACAGAGAGGCTCTGTGGGACCATGTGAGTTCTGTGACAGTGGGTCAGGGACCGATATTTGTACAGTATCAACCATACCTATGACCCCAGTTCACCAATCCTGATCCTGTATCCAGGAATCTCATATCTATTACCAGGAGCATTTCAAGCTACTGAAAAGATCAGGGGCTACATCAAATTGCTTGACTTTTTTTCTGTAAGAAGATTGGCATCGGGGCTACAAAACTCGGCGCTACAAAACTCGGCGCTATAGCCCCGAGTCATCAGACCTAACAACGCCCATGTCTATAACCATCACGTCTTAACACAAGCTGGGAATTTCACGTAAAAGCAGACATGGTCCTGTATGCATATTTATAAATGAGTGACATGATTAATACCCTTAGATAGAAATGTTGGTTTAGTAACTGGAAGAAATTGCAATTTTATAATGTAAATAGAAACCTAGAGCTATAGTTCCAGTGTACTGGTGCCGGTACAGTTTGAACTGCATCTGGGCCTTACCTGTCTCTTCGTCTTTTCAGTGACCACAGAGACTTTGTCGTGGCACTGGTGCATCTCCAACACACACCGAGAGCAGATGCAGCTTTGGTCCGTACGGCAGTAAACATCCAGCGGCCTATGGTGCAAAGAACAGACCATGTCTTTCTGCTTCCCAGACGCGCGCACCCACCACGGCAGGGCTGGGGAGTCCGGGGCCTTCCGTTTGTTCCCAGCAGAGTTGCTAGACACTGTCACTCCAGTTTGGGACCTTTTCATCTCCTCGATCTTCTTATTCAGAAAGACATTTCTGCTCAGAACTGGCCGAGGGCTGAAGTTCTTGAAACACCAGGGACACTTGTAGATGCCAGTGACATCATTCCGATTCCATATGCTCTTAATGCAGTCCATACAGTAATTGTGTCCGCAAGGGATTGTCACTGGGACTTCCAGTAAATGCAGACAGATCAGACATTTGAACTGGTCTTGGTCCGCAGTGAAGCTTGATAAGGACATTTTTACTATTCATGCCAAAAGGAAACAAAAAAAAATATAATAAACCGTCTCGTTTTCAAAAACTTCCCGTCTTAGTTTTATTTCGCAGACTAGGTGTGTCAATCTTCCGCCTAATTTGAATCCGCAGGGGGCGTGGCCCTTCGCTTTTCGGACCGGTACGGAGAATTTCGGACGTCGTTTGTAAGTTCTGTGTTAAAAGATAAAACTTCCGAACGACGGAGCGTTAAGGCGGCTTCGGGAATCTGGGCCTGCATGGGTCTGGAAATAAGTGGCTGACTTATCAAAAGCATAAAAGTCACTTAAATGACTTGTGTTCCGGTTGTTTAGGTTTCGTTTCAGTACTGTGATGTCATGTTGCACGTTATTTTTTCCCGGTCGTAGGATCCAAAAAATCTTTCTGACCTAAACTTAGATCCGTGTTACCTTCAAATTGACTTGAGTCTGACTGTGAAAATAAGCTACGCTAATACCGGGGCTAAATTTATTTTATACAAGAATCTTGCTTTTTAGCTGGTGTGTGTCTGTGTGTACTTATAGAGTTGTCTTTTGGAGACACTCGAAACCGCTTGGATAGTATCGGAGGGACATTTACGGGATTCGTGTTGTTTTGGATAGCTCTTTAAACGTAATTTAAAGGTGAAAAAGACTTTGTATCATCTTTTAAAATCGTGTAAAACGTAAACATGGCTACACGTCCAGGATGGAGGAAATTCTGTTCTGTACAATCCTGTTGTATATTGATGCATATGGCATGTATGACAAGCATTTAAAATGACGAACGCAAAAAAAAAAAAGTGGAAGTGCCGAAATAATAATTACAGTCATGGGCGTAAGTCATACGGGAGATGGGGGAGGGGGGGGTTGTAACGCCCCCAGTAATCAAAATCAGCCAATACAACCCCCTGGACCCCTTTGCACGGGTGGAGACCTCACCCCCCCAGTGCTCAACCCAAAGTTATGCACTTGCTTTCAGTACAAGTGTGAGTGATATGAAAGTCCCATGTGAGGCACATTGGAGTAGTTTTGCACAGACAAGAATTGAGGTTCAGTGGAGTAATTTTGCACGGACAGGCATTGAGGTGCAGTCACAATAAGGCATGGCTACTACGATATTCTGGGAAGAGACTGGTTTCAGAGAGCATGTATTGAAGAAACATGCTTATCTATTGGCCCATGATGATGATTCAGTCAATTTCCTACAAGATTATATCTAAAACATCCCTCATCCCTTCGGTGTCCAAGTGACAATCCAAACAAAATACACCTTATCGGTCAGGTATCCCAAAACCTTCCCAGGAAGCACAAGGCAGGAACACAATGAAGACTATGCCAGTCCATCAGAGGGCACATATTCACACACCACGGCAAATGCAGAGGCATTTATAGATTACGGATTAATGTGTTAGCTATCCTACATAATATCCAATAGGGTACCAGCAAAAATCAGGGCCCCACCCCACCTTCGGAAAAAATGTAACGGTTAGGTTCAACCTGTGCCGAGACACAGAGCTTGGGGCAGGAATTGGATCCAGAGCCCTGGAGGTGAGTCCATAGTGTTACCTGCTGAGCTGCTACGCCTCCCCTGCCGCCCCCAGGGCTGGTTTCTCAGGGCGCCACAAAGATAATTTTGGGATTAACTCCAAAGCACCGTTGCCTGTAGCTCCAGGCTCCAAACATGAGGCCCAGACCACATGACCAGCAGATAACACAGCATTCCTTATATGTGAGGCAACACCTGTGAACATTAACCTGAACAGAGAGACCACAAGCAGCAGCACACGTCAGAGAAATTTATTAATATCGTTGCTTACAGAGAGTGTCGCAGCAAACTGTACAAAAACAGATTATATTAAAACATGATCTATAAGGAAAGCTGCAAGGACCCCTGACATGGGGCCCCTTCCAACAGGACGCTTCCCTGCCTGCCTGTCAAATCGGGGCCCCCTGTGGAAATCCATCTGAAAGGTTGGCTTCCCCCTTCATTTTCCACAGCCATGGCGTTGCAGTCATAAACACAGCAAGACTGGCAACCAATGGCTGGACTCCCAGAAATGGTGGGGGGGGGGGGGGCATTCCCCTGGCCTTTATGCAGGTATTACATACATACCTGCCTTAGCGTAGCGCACAGCTGAGATTAAATGGCAAGATGTATGCAATGCAGAAGTAATATTTTAAAAGAAAAAAGCAAAAAAAAATATAAAATACACCTTATCGTCCCAGACCAAAATCACCAGCTTCCAGCATATTACACCATGGGAGCATCACTCAGGAAACAGAACATCTGGTCCACAGGAAAACAAGAAGGGAGCGATGTGAAGGTACAGCCCCCCCACCACCCCCATGCCCACAAACCCACACATCTGCCTATACAAATAAACACATACCTATAAGCAAAGCTCCTTATACACAAAAAAATACATAACAGAAATCATTCATAACATACGGATTCTAAGATGCCCCCAGGAGAGGACAGTAGTGTAAGGTTGAGGAGGTAAAAGGTCCAAAGGGGGCTGGATCCCCTTTCGGTAGGCGGACAGTGGCCACTGCAGCAGGTTGTAGGTTCAAACATGAACCGGCAGATTTGGTGCGGTCCTGCTATCGTAGGGTACTAAATTACAGTTAGGGGTATAGTTTGGCCCAGACCGGATGAAGAGCACAGAGGCTTTTGTGTGTGTGTGTGTGTGTGTGTGTGTGTGTGTGTGTGTGTAGGGGGGGGCAATCAAAAGAAGCAGTAAGGATGCAGATGCAGTGCTTCTGGCACCTGTGAGCAGGGACCACTGCCGTGATGGTTCTGATTTCAGACCACAGAGTGACAAGCTGGCCACGGCGCTGGGTGGTCCTGACAAGGTGCTTGGGACAAGGCTCCGTTTCCCTTGAGAGCACAGCTGAGGGAGGAACCGGGTTCTGCCGGGTCCCGCCAGGACTCCGTCTGACCGCATCTGGGCCTCACTGCAACAGCTCCTCCCAGGAGATGGGTTTGGAGAAGACCTCCCGCTCTAGCCAGAGGTCATAGTTCATTTGAAATTCCTCGGGCAGCTCTACCCGCTGGCCCAGCACGCTCTGCAGGCAGTTGTCCACGGGCAGGAAGTCCGGGTTGCCCTGGCTCTTGTCGTAGCGACGGGCATTGAAGCGCTCTATGTTGGCCCTCAGTGCGCACTCCTCAGCCTGAAAGTCCCAGGGCCGTGCATCCAGATCTACTACCGAGAAATGGGGGCAGTTACCACAACTGGGGCACTGACTGCTAGGGACTAGCACTTGTACCAAAAGGGGATAGTACCTCTGGAAATGTGTGATTCAAACTGCCATTGTCTGCAGCACTAAGAATGGAAACCTGCTTATTGAGGTCATATTCGTCATCAATTAAGAACATCTCAATAGAGCAGTGGTCAGAAGCCCTTCTCCTGGAGATTCACCCACCCCCCGCAGAGCTTATCTGCAGCCCTAATTTAACACACCTGATACAGAAAATCAGGATCTTCAGTAGCATCTCAATATTAGAACCAGCTAAGTTTAAGCCAAGCTGGCTTGATTATCTGTATCAGGTGAGTTAAATGTCTAGGAGCAGGGTTGGTGACCACTGCAATAGAGACTGTGGTAACCATCCACAGGCTGAAAGTTCTGGGGCAGTCCCACAGCCAGGGGAATTCATGGATGGAGGGGGGCATTGAGCAGACGTAAGCTGAGTGGGCGGGGCGATGGCGGACTTACCGTTTCCGTAGGCCCAGTCATCATTGAGGCGATGCCGCACCTTCTGGTAGATGGCCGACATTGTTTTCATGTTACTTTTCCTCCATTGTCGCCCTAAGTACTTAGTCTGGACCTTCAACAGCTTTAACACGTATAGCTGCATCATGGCCTGCTTGACCTTGAGCGCCCTCTTGAGGATAGGAGCTGACTTAAATACAACCAGCATCTGCAGCAAATGGAAGTGGAAAAAAAAAATCTGTATATTTATATATGCCTGCAGGCACAAATAATCAAATAAATGTACATAAAAAAACATTCACATTTACCTAAATCAACTTTACTTTTATGTAGCAGGTTGTTTTAGGTCCAGAGAGGCCAACCTCATCCACAAAGGGCCGGTGTGTATGCAGGATTTTGGGATAACCTTTAGGTCAGCTGATCAAACCCAGGTGTGAAGACCCTTCAGCCAATCAGTGCTCCACTTAGCAATCTAATTAGGGAGTAGCAGTGAAAACCTGCTATTTCAGGATAATATTGGCCACCCCTGTTTTAGGTATAACTAGTTGGCTGACTTTGTGGCCGGAAGGGTCCCAAAAACGTCCTGGTCATGAAACTGCATCATTAACTGCATCATTCATGTATGTAGGGCTGTCGTGATGACGTCGAGATGTAATCGTGATTATATAGTGCATGAGCGATAATCACCAGGGCCTTAGATGAAGAACGTTTGTCGAGACGCAGGCTTCTCACTATTTAACAGTTTTAATTGCGGCCGCAATTTGGTAAGCAGGTTAGTGGTGTGCCTGAAATATTACCAAGATGTGATGCCTGTGATGTGTATTGTGATGCCCAACAGTCAGTAGTCTGTATAAATTGAGTGTATCCTTCTGTTTATTACATTCGCCGCATGTCACTGTTTTGATAAATAATGGAGGCGATAAGCACTGAAGTGGTGGTGAAGAAAGGTACGGATCAGCAGCCAGATGATCTTTTGAAAAAGGAATCTTGCTGATAAGTTTAAAAAGATGTTGGTGTCATGGTACATTTTGCAGCTGTACGTTTATTAAGTGTAAGGATACTCAGAATTTATACAGATCACTAACATGAGCAAATGAGCAAAGACAGATGGAAAGATATGTGTCACATACAGAAAGACAGGTAAGTAGGTGAAGAGAAGCGTAGATGGAGCTACAGACAAAGAATAATGGGCTCCCCACCATGGTTCTGGAGTGCTTCCACTTGGTGAGCTTGTTGAGGATTCTCAGCAGGTTGATGCAAGAGAAAAGGTTCCTCCAGCAGAACTGGTTGTTGTCACCAGCCTCCTGTGAACCAGAAACACACAGCGAGCCTGATGAGACCCAACGCCACAACGTCTGACTGCTCCTCAACGTCTGACTGCTCCTGGTGCCTTCTGATATCGGCCTCAAGCACGGAGGAGGAGAATCTTGGAATTGGACAAGGTGTCTAAGATGTTAAGTACTGAGTTTGAGGAAACTGGTATTTACACGGGACTCTAGGATCAGACAACATTGCATTACATTAACAGAGAGGACCCACATATTTCCCCATAATCCTCTATTTTTCCCAGCAGGCATTGTGCCTTACCAGGCTCTCTGCAGTCAGCTCAGGCAGCTCATGCACCACACAGTGGGGGAAGTCCAGCACGGAGATGCTGGAAACGAAGATGCACAATGTCACTAGGCTTCAAAATCTGGCCACGCCAACACATCAGGCTATGTTGCAATGACCCAGACTGACCTGTTCTTAGCTGTGATGTAGGACATTATGTTCTGGTTGAAGAACTTCAGGATGAGCGGAATGCAGTTAGCAAAGACCAGGTGTTGGGCCATATACTCAAACTAAGGAAGAAGGATAATTGGACGCTGAATTGGACTGCAGGAGTTCTGCATCAGTTATGGGTTATAGGGATGGTACAGCAGGTGCATGGTGACTGGTACCTGGTAGATGTGGTTGAGTTTGAAGTGTTTGAGCAGCAGCAGCAAGATGGCAGAGATGGCCTTCACGATGATCTCCTTATGCCGATTCACATCCACACCCAGCTTCATGCTCTGCAGAACTGTGGTCCTGGATGAAAGGAGATGAGATCATTCGCTCTCACACATCCACACACAGGGCAGCAACACAGGGGGGGACGTACGGCATCTCTTCGGGCAGGACGTCAGCCAGGATGTTGATGGAGTCGGTTTTGGCCTTGGAGGTGGGAGCTGCAGCCAGCAGGATCTTCAGCAGTGCAATCTGGAGTGGAGAGATGTGGGCAGCGAGAGACGAAGAGGGAGAGATCTTTCAACTGCATATTCTTCAGAATATTGATACGAAATAGACTCCACACTTAGGAATCTTGGTAGGTATTTGCAAACTCACCATATACTGTGGCAGGTTGGGGAGGATTCCCTGGTACAGCAGCTCAATGGAACACATCTCTACTTCCTCTTCCCCCTGTCACACAACAATGACATCACCTGACTGGGGCTCACTGTACACAGAGCGTCTCTGCCTGGATGGACTGGGCAGCAGGCCTACTCACCCCTGACAGCGGGGTCTTCTGGAACTCCTCCTCTTTGGCAATCTGAATTTCGGCGATGGACACATACTTGTGCTGCAACAGAGAGCACCGTGAACCTTATTCTCACACTCCGGGGGAATCGTGGTAGGAAAGGCGCTGCATAAAGTCCCGTTAAACCGTTAGCACCGTTATGAACTTTGGGACTGGACCCTACAGAGGGGGAACTGTGATCTGCGTTCAGGGTATCCCTGCACTGCTATAGCCTGAGAAATGGTACCTGCTTCAGGGTCCTGATGCTCTCGTGGATGGGAGTAGGCAGGCCCACAACGGTGTCTGTGTCGCTGCAACACACAGCTCAGCATGTCAGACTCACAGTACGTACCTGGCGCTGCTCCAAGAACTGCCTGTCATTCCTGTATCTAGCCAAGGACGCTACACTGGAAAAAGCAGCTTCTCTACTGGCCAAAAACCCCCCTTTCTCTGGAGAGTCTGCTACGGATTCCTTGATAATAAGTTTGTTACGATCTTAAATGGTTAATAATTACATAACAATCTAACAACCCAACAACCCCACCTTACCTTCCTAAAGTGTATCCAATAAATTTGCTTCTGCTAGACTCCAAGAAGTGTTCGATGTCCTTCTCCCTGGAAAAACAGGTGCCCAGATTTAACGTAAACGATGGGTCCTCATTCATGTTGGAGGGCAGAGCACACAGATCTGACAAACTAACTGGTTCTGCAAGGACACTTACCGGACCTTGGGGGCCCAAGGCAGGCCCTTGGGGAAAGACACCCTCTCGCAGGGCGGGTGTGGGATCGGCGGGGGCATAACCTCATCCCGCTCTAAGGGAAAGGTCTCCGGTTCCAGGCTATTGTCATTGTCATCGCTGTCATCTTCATCCTCACGAGTATCATCCGCTTTGTAGGGGTCCTTTTCATTGAAGGCATCCAGGTTGTCCTGCTTGATGAGAGCCTGTGAAGGGGAGACAGGAAGAGCTTAATGCCAACTGGAGGCCTGACTCATTGCCGAGACGGAATTAAGTTACGTTGTTGCTTGGCAACAATCTCAGATTTTATATATTTTTTTGTCGTGGCACCAGAAGCTCCAGCTGGCAAATAGACCCTCACTGACTCAAACCGTCGACCGAGTGAGTACGTGTGCCCCCCGAAGACAACATGCCGACTGACGGCAGCAATTACAGGACTGTGGCTGGCTGGGCCGAAGCTCGCAGGACGGCGAGGGGGGGGGTACCTTGTGCTCGCGGCGAGCACGTTTTTGCTGTTGCTCTATGAGGTCGGATGCGGAGGCGGGGGGGGAGGCGGCCCGCATGGTGAGCACCACCCGGATGCTGTCCTCCGGCAGGGGGGGCAAAGCCAGATCCTCCCGCTTCCGCACCTTGATTTGCTGGAGCTGCTCGAAACCACCCAGTGTGAACTGGAAATATATGGGGGGGGGTTGACATTATTTGCATGACATTGCAGCTTACACAATGACAAACTAGCACTGTACCCAGATGGCTGTTGATTTAAATCCCACTAAGGGCCTGGCTGCTATGCCTATGGAAACTACTCTTAACCCATATTTGAAAAAAACAGGCAAAGCTATCATTGTACCAATGGTTTAAAAATGAAGCTAATCCTTAGGTTACCATGGCAACAAGCATCAACAACAATCATATAATAAACAGTCTTCCTCACCAGGATGGTCTTCCACAGCAGAAGCAAAACCTTCTTCATGGGGAAGTGGGGGGCGTGGCCGCTGCAGAACTTGGTCACCATGCCGAACAGCATGACGGAGATGGGCTCGTTGTTGTACAGCGGAGAGCCTGCAGGTCACACATTCATTCACTGAGCTGCCGTACGGACCCACAGCCCCGACAGGAGGAGCTTTTCAACTGACATTCAGGAACCAACCCATACCCGAGCCTTACTGTGAAGAAAGTCTAGTTACAGAACGGTTCCAGCTCACTCCGGCTTTCCACTGCAGAAGGGTCGGCTCAGTAAAGGTGCCGGTTTGGAGAGCGACAGTGATATATAACCGAAGAGACGCTTATTTACTGTTCACACGGTGTGACTACATGATTTACAAGTATTATTTTTACTGTGCGCTAATACCTGCTAGCACGTCTGTGGGAAACGCTGTCTTCAGTTAGCATCAAACGCTAGCAGAAATTTGCATTACGAATCCATTCCGTTCAGCCGTTCTATAATACTATTTTAAGGAGGTGGTTGGAAATTCTCAAGTTATCAGGAATGCATCACTACATCACACATCACTATTACTATTAATAATAAATAACATATAGAATATGCCTTTTTTTTCCTTCAGATAATCCATGCGTATCAACGCAAAATGCCGGTATTTTTGTGCATTTTGACCAATCGGCTTGGTTTGGTCACTTTCCACGGGGCCATTTCAGCTCCGACTACGACTCACATACTTTACAATGGAAAACCGCGAGCCGGCTGTACGGCTCGGGCCTTGGCACCAGTGGAAAAGCGACTGGAGATTACGGTGCGGACTTCTGCGATCTCCCCAACAGAGCCGCGATTCTGGCCCAGTGTGCTCCGCCCCACCGTACCCAGCTCGGTCCTGAAGGTGTCCCGGGCGGTCCTCCACTCCGGGCTGTCAGCAAGGACCTCCTGCTGAATGGTCTCCACCATCAGGTACATGATGTTCAGCAGCACCCTGTTCAAGTGCAGCAAGTCAGATGCAGGGGCAGTGGGGGGGAATGGGTGACGTTCGAGGGGGGGGTGGTGCTTGAGGTCTGTTACCTGAGGTCTGTGCTATCAGCCAAGGAGATGGCAGGCTTCCTGACGGCACTAGTGCAGGCAGCACTGTTACTGCAGGCGGTAGAGACAGGAAACAAGACAGAAGCCGATGAGAGACGGACAGCTTTCACACTTCCCACATCCTCACCACCGATCACCTGCAACATGATTGGCCACGGTGGTTTAGGTTCCACCAATAGTCTGTGAGATAACTGGGCCCCACCCCCTCACCTTATTAGTTACATACTCAGGAATATGCATACATATAACCCTGCTTATCTTGCACTATCCTGTGTTTTTGGAATTTTAAACATTATTGTGAATCTCTCTTTTTATTGACTTTATGTCCAACTGTGGCCCTGGAGGGAAGATCATCTCCTGCCACTGTATGCTTGTATATGGACAGTATGCCAATAAAGTCCATGTGTCCTGAGACCCAGCCCCGCCCCTCTTACTCGATCTCCATGTTCAGCAGCTCCACCAGGGCCGAGAAGGTGCCGACCTCCAGCAGGAGAAAGACGTTGTACCTCATCCAGTGCTGCACCTCCGCCTCCGATTCACACTCCCCGAAGGTACCTGTGCAGACCGGCTATGAGCACTGGGACCCACCCCGAATCCCAAACGAACACCACACAGCTAAAGGATTAAGCAGCCCATTAAGCTACCATAGACATCGGCCCAATCATGTGGAATTATCTGTATTTACCCAAAGCAGTAAAACAACAGAGATCAGAAACTAAAGACAGTAAAAACGTTATGCATATAACGACTAACAAAAATGTGGATATTCGTACTAAAGGAGTTAAAGAAATAAAAAACACGCCATGTAAAGGAAGGAAGGACTTAAGAGAGAGAGATGGAGGGACGTCCCACCTTGAGCCATGTAGAGAATGGCTCTGGCCACCTTCAGCCTCCTCTCGCGGGCCGTCACCTCCAGGCTGTCCAGCAGCCGCATGGCGTGGGCGCGGTGCTCAGCCAGGCTCAGCTCTGTCCACTTCTTATCAGCCACTGGGAGGACCGGCACAGGGAGGGCAGACTGTATGTGCTCCATCTTGGCAAGGTGCTATTCACATGACTCACACAAACAACATCTGGATGCCTATTTACGGTCATTGCTGGGAAAAACAGCAGCACACACAGCGGACTACCAAGACCAAAACAACCACGAAAGAAAGGAATTAATCCTTCAGGTCATCATTACTTGTTTTAGGTTTTGATAATAACAGTATAGTCACAAGTTAGAACACTATTAAAATGACTGTTTTGATCTGATTATTTCTTTCCTGGTTAAACGTGTTGCATAAACGATGCACATGTGTGACACATGGCACCTACACGCTGTTACAAAGTATGATTATTGAACCTGTGGAGACATCCACACAGACACAGCAGCTTAAAGCAGGGGTTGGGGAACCGGTTCCATAGAGGGCCGGTGCGGGTTTTTGGGATGACCTCTCAATCAGCCAATAACAGTGGGTCCCCAGGACTGGAGTTGCAAACCACTGTTTTATTATTGGCTGATTGAGAGGTCATCCCAAAAACCCGCACCGGCCCTCCATGGATCAGGTTCGCCAGCCCTGGCTTAAAGGGATTCTGCAGCAGCATGAGCCCCACGCTGCCCTGCCACCTCACAAACACTGCAACGCCTGTGGGGAATTAGGGAAAACGTCAGAGCCAGTACCATGAATCCTGAAGTCCTCTGTGAAGCATTTCCTATTGAGGAGGAACTCCGGCCCCTCAGTGTAGCTGTACAGCTCTGAGGAGACAGTAAGAGGGACGTGTCAGCCCTCTGCAGTGGGAGCGCTGATGACCGCGAGCGCGGGGGGGGAGTGAAGCTGCGACATCCCACAAGCACCTCCCTCACCTGACAGCTCTGCCGCCCACTTCTCCGCGTCGCCGTATTCGAACTCCAGATCCGGAGCCTCGGAAAACCCCTGGAACCGAATGAAAGGTTAACAAAAAAAAAGTCATGCTCTGACATGTAGCCCTACGAAAGCAAGATGGGACAGAGGGATACCTCCCACATAATATGGAAAGAGGGTCAGGATGGCAAGAGATGCATGTAGTATCAGAATTTAATTAAAACTGTAGATATCACTGCTTTTTAAATCAAATTCCTGTTACATGAGGCACCTAATTAAGCTACTTGTGTATATCAATGAATCCATTTTACATTAGCTCAAATGTATAGGAAACACAAACCTCATTAAGGCAGATAACTTTATGTATCTTAGTCAAAACAGGAAATGCAGCCTTATTGACCATTTCATAGATCTTTGGAGCTACCTTGAGGCTATCTAACTTAGTAGCATAGAGTCAAATGTAGCTCTGTTTTAAATAGAGCATTTCGTCCAGTGTAGCCAAAATATATGTAGCTTATGTGTACTGCTGTCTTAAAATCACCCTAAAATATATTAAATCCACAAGGCAAGCCTCCAGATGCTGACTTGCAATAATTGATTTTAAGCACATATTAAGAGTAAAGCATACGCTCTTGTGCAGAGCTGACAAAGACAAGGTGTTGCTATAAAAAGCATTGGTACCCCCTAGTGCTCAGACGGAAGGAGGAAAAAAAAACAAGGGGGGTTATTGGGGCTTTAGCGCCTCCCCCGGTAAAGAAACTTCAAACCTTAAGTGATAAACACGAACTTATCTCAAGAAATCGGACAAGATGGCACAATACAACCGGCAGCACACTATTTTAGTTACTTCACACAATAAGTAACATAAAACTGTTCACTAAAATGAGTAGTACTGGCTGCCAACACAGCTACAGGTTTCCTACACGTTAGCACAGCTGCCAAACAAATAAAAAAATTCTTTCAAAATATCTTCATATTATACAAAAAATAAACCGAATCGTTGCTATCGCCATCTAAGGCTGCTACCATAAACATTTATCCAAAAATGCCCAATGCCATTACTATCAGACTGATCATACATTGTATCCTGTGTAAAATGGCTTGTGATCCCAAGACGACAGCGCTTTACTAAATAAAAGCTGCGTGGCAGTTAAAGTTTTAGGTTGTTTTGAGATTTGACATTTAACTGCACATTGCCGTAATCCTGACAGGCACCGCATCGGTAAGGGACAACCGCTTAGCTTGGTAGCTAAAAGCTAGCAAGTACCGAAAAAATATACGACGTTTTCTTTAGGTGAGATGCGCGACGTATCTATTTACGACTTTCCATTCCTTACCTCCGAGTCTTTTCTTTGGTTGCGGGTAAATTCACCCCTGCTTTTGTTGGGTATCATAGCTCTCTGCTTGTTATTGGCGATCAACCCACCACCACCGCCTCCTCCTCCTCCTACGACGTCCATCTTTGACATGGAAACGGTGGCACTCTCCGCACATCTCGCGAGATTACGCCAGAGGTGACGAATTCGCATCGCAGTGAGTGGGCGCCGAGTCTGGGCTTGCAGGAAGATCCCAGTACTCTGCTGTTTTTAAAACGTGGTCATGTAGTCCATATATACATATTTATATTTCCTCAGAATTTTTCAGATAGATCATCCTTTTGCGGATGTCATTTTCTTACCAATATTGCCAAACAGGAAGACATATTTCCTCGTTTTTGTCCACCTTATGAAATAAATCCTTTCCGTCAGTTTCTTCCTTGCGCCAGTTTCCCGTTGTTGAATTTGGCCAAAGTTAAATCCCTCTTTAATTCACTCCTTGTCAGTCTCTTTACCTGTTTTTTTTGCATTCTTTAAAAAAACATACTGCAGTTACCCATCCTCTGGAGTCAAGTTATCCAGTTTACTCAAATGCACTCCAGAGAGCATTATTAGAATTGGAGTATTAGGTAAATTAGTGTTATTTTTTTTCGTGGTTATTATATATTAAAACCATTCACAGGTGTTGATTTTTTCATTGTGGGTTTACACTGAAGATTTCCTCAATAACGAAAGTGTTTGCATGTATTGAAACTTTACAGATATTAAAAGTTGTGCATAAGAATATAAATAAGTAACGAGACGCTAACTTCCTCGCTGCTACAGTTTCCCTCTACCATGATTAGCCTTAATTGCTAATCGAATAAAACGGTAATAAATGCTGACAACTCATCTATACCATTCCGCGTGATGTATTCTGTTCAGATTTACTCTATAATAACCCTTCCTATTCTTTAATAAATCACTGAAACGTTTAACATTTTAAAGGTTTATTTAAAGAATTCCAGCAGGTGGCGACAAATCAAAAGGAATGGCAAAAGGAACCGGGCTTGGCGAAACAAGTTAGGAATCACATTTATCTATGCGAGGCTGCCTGATACATGGATAGATATTGTCAAATGATGCGTGCAAATATTCAAGGGAACAAAAAACGTTGCATTACAATTACGATAAGAAGGTATTCTCTATTAATTCATACCACAGATATCTTAAAGGGAAATTAGTTAAGTATAACAGACATGGGCAGCGTCATGTTCTACTTCACAGTGATCGCTTCTACTGGACCGTAAGCTGGGTCCAGTGATGGCCGCGGTGTTCTGGCGCTTCACATCCCCATCCTGAGTCACACATTTTGGAACATGGACTATAACCCCTTGGTTTACTGTCCTTTCCCCTTAATATGGACAGTTATACGTACGGATTAAAAGCGACGGAGCGTTAAAATTAATGCACAGGCTGGGGACGGACATAGAGCGGTCGTGGTAAAACAAAAAATGCGGTCTTTATTGCACTACATCAATTACACAGGGCACATATTAAGAGATATATGGCTTCCCTTTAAGCATAAACGTATACCGTTTTCTAAATGTAAGTGTAAATAGTGCAATTTAGAAAGATCCGAATGATTTAGTCTACACATAATAGCGTGATAAACTTGATTTTAAAATCTTTATGACTGCAGAAGCACGCAATACGTCGGACTACACGCCGTGAAACTGAGTATATGTATTTTTTATTTTGTAACCACGTGTTGTCCCTCATCGTAAAGTGCGTAAGTGTACACGTCAGTTATCGCAAAAAGTAAATGCAAGGAGCAGTTGCAAAATGCCGAAAGCAGCGCGTGTGCGTACTCATCTCATCTCGGGTTAAAAATTTACCTTTGGTCCGCTGGCACACTAAAAAGTACATCTCAGTTTTATTTACTAAAATATATATTTAATCTTTAAAAGCTTCTGTATGTATATGTACGCAACCTCCCTATGGATATTGTGACAGAAAATAGCAACAACGTTATGAAAATTATGAAAGAAAATCTTAAAAACATTCAGGGTGAAGTCCACAAAGTAACATAATCCTGATTCCAAGATCATGACCTGTCAAAAACAAATTAGTATGAGAAAATCTTGGGCCAATGTCAAAAAGTGTGGTCCCCTCACCTCCGTCCCCCCAATTCCAACATCACTTGCACAAAGAGGCAGATTGTGCAAAAATCAGTCTAGAGCCACAAATTGCCACAAGCTCAACTCAGAGTTTAGGGGAAAAAAACAGATCAGACCGAAAAAGACAGAGGTAATATCAGCTCAAAATGGATTTTGGAGGTGATGTGGATCAGGCCACTGGCACCAAAATAGGGAACAAGCATGTCTTCTGTCATTTGGCACTGGTTTAAAATTCTTGGTAAATATATTATTAACTGATCATCGAACATGAGCCAACACTCCGTTTGTTGTAGTAAATTCACTATTCAAAAGTGCTTGTTATGTTCTATAGCCGTGATTGTGCGCTGCAGCATCTGTAGGTTTAGTTTCAGTTACAGCTATTAAACATAACCAGCGACCATCCTTTGTTAAGGGGCGGGCCCAGGCTGGTCTGCACACAGACTCCCAACAGACCAGCAGGGTATTGGTTGTCCTTAATGAGAGAGAAATCTCTCCTCCAATCACAGCTGGTACTTCATGTGACTCGTAGCATGGAAATACACCAATCAGCCTGGGCAAACATTAGGTAAACTGATTTGCATGGGTGTGGAAGGTTTTGCCGGGAGCCAGGATAAACACTGTTCTGGAAGACAACTTAAATATAGAACAATTTTCTTATAGATCTGGGGCTGGGGGGTAAAAACCTACTGTCCGGAATTCTTGATATTTAGTAGACGGATATGCAAATTAAAGTTTGTTGGATGGCCCAAAGATTGCTGTCCGATATCATTCATCATAATATAGTAGGAATCATAAGAGCTGAATAAAAGCCTATTGAACAGTATTGTGTTTTGCTTTAAGGAAGTAGCTTTTTCAGGATGATTTTTTTCTCTGTAAAGTAACATCTAAAAAAACAAACAAAAAACCATGAAATGAATCTGGCTTGTCTTCCTGGGCAGCAGGACATCGCTGTGGTTCATCCTCATACTTCAATATCTGTGAAGGGACAGAGAGAGATTTGCGTGAAATCTCACACTCTGTCACTGGTGTAGCAGTGCAACTGGGACGGCTGATCTGGGGTCAGTGAAGCCAGATGGCTGACTGTGGGTATGGCAGATTAAGTAACTGTCGTAATAGGAGAGACTCCTGTACAGAAGAGGTGTACTTGGAAGGGAACAGTGTTGGCAATCCTACAGAAAATATCTGCCTTATTATCCTGAGAGTGATGTACACTCTCCTACAGAAACTGTTCATCCTATGTAGTCTTGAGGGTGCTACATGCTTTTCCACTGGCATACAGGAACCAGGCGTCGCCGAGTTTGGAGAGCGACAGTGACGTAAAATCTAAGAGAAGCTTGTTTACTGTTCACATGCTGTACATCATGATTTACTGTGCGTTAATTTCTTCTAGCATGCCTGTGAGAATTATTATGTTATGTTAGTATCAAATACTAGTGGAATTAGCCTTAGCGCGAGTAAATTAGCATTATGAATCCATTCTGTTTAGCTGTTCTATAATAGTTTTTCATGTAGGAGGTTGGAAATTTTCAAGTCTGGTGGCGGTGATGCAACGTGCTCGGTTTACTCGTACATACTGCTGGTAAGCACAGGTATGGGCTGGGTACGACTTGCACGATTTTCAATGGAAAACCGTCTCTTTGCTGTTCGGCACGGTTCTTGGTGGCAGTGGAAAAGCACCAATAGACTGAGTTCTGATGAAGATGGGGAGACTCCCCTACAGGAGAGTCCCAGAGCAAACGCAGAGAATCCCAGAGAGACAGCATTTGGTCGATACCTGTAGTAGTTGGGCTTGAAGGGGCCGTTCTTGTTCAGCCCCAGATACTTGGCCTGCTCATCTGACAGCTCCGTCAGGTGGGCGTCGAAGGTTGGCAGGTGCAAGCTGGCGACATATTCATCTGCAGCACACACACACGTGCAACTGACGCAAATACAAATAATCTTTCAAATTTTATGCACGTGTTCCCTTTTGTTTTGTGCCTCACTACAAAAACCCTGGAGAATTACCCAGATATTCTCTGTCTTACCCATCTTCTTAGGCAACAGGTAGACGTCCTGTTTGTAGCGTCCCTCCGGTGCGTTGTAGAGCTCGATGAGCGCCAGCGCCTGGACGGAAACCAGAAGAGTCTGAATCACTGGTTGTGCGATCCCAGCACTAGAACCTGCAACCATCTGGTCACTATCCAGAAATCCATGTGTCAGACATACAACATGAAAAACATCACGGGGCTTGAGAGAGAGAAACCAACTTCAGGTATTGGCCAGCATCTCCTCCCCCTGCATGAGACTCTGCACGGCCTCAATATGCCTCCCTCATGGCGTTTTCATTAATAGAATCTCTGCTTTTTTAGGTCAAGGACAGTTTCTCTCTAAAACTGAGAGGAAAATCATTGGGATTCTATTTCCTATAGAAAGGTTACCTCATACCTACACTAACAGTGTCCAGGTACATATTTGTAGCCTCCTGTTATTATGAAACCCAAATCATTACCTAGAGGCTGTTGTTCTGAGTCCAGCAAATAAAAAAAAAAAAACAAAAAATGTACTACAGCTCTAAGCTGAATGACTTACAATACAGCGCTCACAGAAAGTTTTGGGATGCTTGCTTAATTCAGTAAACATATTGCAAATTTATTGATTTTATAACAAAAATCATTACTTTATTCATCTGTTTACAAAAATATACACCACATTAGAAACAACCAGTAGTTTTAAGTAAAACATTTTCATTTCAAGTAGTAATAAATTGAAACCCAAATTATAAAAAGCTCATTTATGAGCATCATTGGGTGCTTTTCAATTAGTGACACCTTTGCAATAATATAAAACAGCAGACATTTGTGTTTAGTGTCCCTTTGGCAGCCAATGACTACAACTGCAATTAATAGCAAAATGGCAAGAACAGAACTGAATGAGTCAATCAGAAAAATTATGACAATAAAAATGTCCATGGGGATGATATGTGCAGATACGTTAAGCATTGCTTGTCAATGGACTTTTGTTATGAAACCAATAAATCTACAACATTGTTACTGAATTAAGTAAGAGTTTCTGTGAGCACTATATATGCAACAAGGCGTGAGTACAAAGAGTGACAGCTACCATAGCCATTATGAATCACAGAATCTGCTATAATTAAATGCTATGGTGCGGCAGTGGATGCACACAGAAATCGGCTTACCTGGGTAGTGGCTGTGATTGACAGGACGAATGTGGGGACAGTGGAACAGCTCAAGTTCAGAAGGCGACCCTAAGAAGGACAAAACACCCAATCAAACACTCAGATAAAATCTCCACATAGCTTTTAGCGCAATGCTGTCAATGTAGCTCAGTGTAGCTACAGTATATGCCCCACATCTTCCAACCTCGATGCATGTACTATCAAACAACATCTCTCAATGTAACTAAACTCAGTGACAAAAAAAGTTAAGCACCCAGAAGTAATGGTCCAATTTGGATGTAATTCGGTACACGTGCAGACCAGCCATGGGTATGTCAATGATTCGATTTGCAAGGAGCTGGCACGTCTAGTCACCAGACACAGAGGATGCCCCGTAGATGCATTAGACAGCATTATCAGCACTTGATGGAGTTTGATAGGGGTCGTATGCATGAGGTAGGGTGGTCGTATCGTGCAATTGCCCGGCGTGTGGGGCATACAGATGTCACAGTCGCCCGATGTTGGAACCAATGGGTACGTCGCCCAAGGTCCCGGTCGTCCAAGACACACCACAATGTCGTCCGTTTGATCCGGGTGCTTAACTTTTTTTGTCACCGAGTGTATAACCAGACGATGGCAATAGATATAGAATTACAGGAGCCTTTGGGTAATCAGAAAGCTTGGCCACATCCAGCCTCACCTCCGCCAGCAGAACTACCCTCCTGCCATCAGGCCAGATGATGTGGTCCACCTGCGAACGGACTTTCTCCCATGTGAGCTCGGGGGTCCTCAGACTGGCCTGGAGTGTTGCAAAAGTGAGCATGTCAAGCACACACGAAGGCCTGAATATTCTACCATAGACTCTGACAATGGAAAGTCATCTCACCACGTCAATCTCGGTGTTGGAGTGGCCCATGTTGCACACAACGCAGCCGTTCTTCATACGGTCAAGCTGGTCCCTGGTCACCACATTCTTATTCCCTACAGAGCAACTGGGTTAACCAACTTCCGCTTGGCACGTCGAACGCTGGGCGCAAAGCTGGGCGCACATACCCGTGCAGGTGATCACCATATCCACCAGGCGAATGACCTCGTTCAGCTTGACCACGCGGAAACCGTCCATGCTGCAGGAGTGCAGAGAAGGATGAGTGGAGACAGAAGAGGAGTATTACAGCACAGGCCGGGATTAAAGCCAACTAGGCAGCAAGCCATGATATATAGTGGCTTGTCTTACAAATACAAATTGGCTCTAACACATGAGCTTTGTCTTCCTGGCACAATCTGGATGTATCCTCTCCTTACAGCCTCTTGACAGTTTCAGTATTTTCTGAGGTTCTTCTAACTAGGGTCCTCACTTCAAGTGCACAATATGAGATCGTCCGCTGTTCTGCATCATTAACTCGACGCTCTAATGTTGTCATTCCTACTGAGAACTAATGACACTCATGCTGACACGATTAAAGAGTAAGTCATCATCAACAATATTGTTTTGTTTTGGGAATATTGATGATTTAGTAAGACTCAGTCTGAGTACTGATTTATCGACAACTCATATGAGAACCCATGCAATCGGTATCTTTTCTAACCCTAACCCTCTTTGCTTCTTACCAGGCCTGCAATGCACAGATGGGGTCGATCTCCGTGACGTAGACGATGGCTCCCAAAGCCTTCAGAGCCGCACAGCAGCCTTTCCCAACCTGGGCGGCAGACCAGAGCAAACCCAGCAACTCAACAGAAACTTGCTACAGATTCAGTCCCGACTTATATGACACACGTTCAAGACACATACCAGAGATGAGAAGCAGACCCAATACAGACGCCACACCGAGTTAGCAAGAGGATTTAGGGAGCAGATATGAAGGCCTCACCTCTCCATACCCGCACACCACCACCTGCTTCCCGCCAAACATCACGTCCGTGGTTCTCTTTAAACTATAATCAAAAATAAAATGTCATGTCATTTTTAACATCATCATGATTTCACTGCCCAAAAAAGGGCATCAGTGTGTTTTTGTCCTCCATCCTGAGTGTCTTCTGTGTCTCTGTGAATAGCAGGCAGAAGTTCAAATAAGGAACGGCATAGATAATAATGAGTATGTTGAATCACTCGTTAATTTATGAATGAGGTCACAAACTACTTTAGTTACAAATCGTTTTGAGAAACACTCATTAATCAACGAATGAATTAACACATGATAATGAACTACTTTTTGACAAAAAGCTTTCAAAAACACCCCCCCTGAAAATTTACCTAAATTTAACTACTTTTATCTAATGAAAATTTGTTACATTTTTTCAAGTTATTATATAATGCAGTGTTATTACATGACGCGTCGTTTGATGGTGTATGACAACACGTTACGTAATAACACCACGTTATGCGACACAAATACGTTTAATTTTAAGTTATTACACAATGCAGCATTATAATGCATTGTTACAAGTCTTTCTGAGACAATAAAACACAATTTAAGTCTTCTGACCTCATACTTTCTGAACTTTGTGACTTCTCACAAAGTTGAAAGTAAGTGCTAGTGAAAAACACATGAGCTACTATGACATTAGCAACTGAAGCTAAACTTTCAGTTTTTGCTTATGCTCATGCCTGTGATGTCGTGTGAGGCGGAGGGGTAACAGGATGCTGCATGGGCAGTGATTGGGTTTGAATCCAAAGCCCATTCAGCCCCTAGGGGAATAAAGAAGACCTAATCCTTACTTACCCGTCCAGGATGGACTCTCTGCAGCAGTACAGATTGTCAAACTTCTGCTTGGTTACCGAGTCATTAACGTTCATGGCGGGGACACACAGCTTACCGGCTTTGGATAGCTGGTACAGCCTGGAACACACAGGGCAGAGTTTTAAGGTCCACCCAGTACTCCCAGGGAGACCAGTCGGCAAGACCCGCAGAGAGGGGTCTTTGTTTTCCAGGCACCTGTGTACTCCAGTGACGCTCTCCTCAACGATGCCACGGATCTTCTTAAAGACACTCGGATACTTCTTATACACCCAATGAGTCAGGTCACCCCCGTCGTCCAGGATCTGCCATTTGCAACAGAGAAACCTCATACAACAGTGATCAGAACATGAAGAGTCACATGACTCAGACTCTTGCCATCTGTTGTTACCGTCCAGTCATTTGTACCATAACAAGACAAATTAGGTTTTAGCAATTTTACGCAAAAACTGCCAGCTCATTTAATGGGCCAGAGCTTAAAACATTACTGTTTGATGCAGATTTTCAATAAATTAAATCAATTTAGTCATATACTGTCACTACAATGTAACTTCTTTTCAGTTAACTATTTCTTTATTTGTTTGGCTTTTCGGCTTTTTTGTCTTTCAAATGTTACTTTAATTTTTTAAACTTAAATGTATCCTTCTGCCTTTGTAAAGCACTTTGAATTGCGTCTGAATTGTGCTATATAAATAAACTGGCCTTGCCTTACCAAAAAGGGGAGAAATGTTTTTGGGCTGTACCATGTGAGGTGCACAGGGGTCAGGTGTGAGTGCCTCAGAAAGTCTGGACCGTACCATGTTGGGCTGCCATCCATCCATGCTAATGCAGCGGTCGATGCACCACCAGAAGTCATCCTCAGACTCTCCCTTCCAGGCGAACACTGACACCCCTGGGGAGGACAAGGCCCATTTGATGAGTGACATTTAAACATCATCGTATATTTACCGAATGTCATATGTATACAATGTGGTGCTTCAGTCATCGTCTGTAAGTAGGCAACAGCAATAGAGCGTCAGAGTCTGGTTCACCTTCTCTCTTTTGGTCCTGTGTGCTTTTCTCCACCTTATCACCTCTCACCTTTCTCCGAAAGGGCGGCGGCCACCTCGTTCTGCGTGGAGTAGATGTTGCAGGCCGCCCAGCGACACTGGGCACCCAGGGCCACCAGAGTCTCAATCAGTACCTGGAAGTGTGGGAATAGAGCATGGGCTGGGCGATAAACAGGGGAATGGACCGGAGAGACACTGAGGCAGTACAGGTATGGGGACGGACTTTACAGGCACGGTAAGGCATGGCACAGACAGCAACGTCAAGAGGATGGACAACGGCGGTGCGATACAGACAGGACAGAGAACCGGGACACAGTTGACGGTACAGAGGGTCAGATATGGTGGACGAGGAGAGCAGATAGAGAGGGACAGACAGCACACGCACCGCTAGTCCTTCAGTATTAACTCATTAATGGGCCCCTACCGCCGTCTGAGCCGTGATGTGGGTGCAGCCCACAATTTTGGCCCCCGCGAGCGGCTTCTCTCCCAACGCTCTCTTCCTGAGGGAGATAAGGGCTGACATGTCTGCATGAAAAAGAACAATAAAAAATTAGAGGGAAGGGGGTTTAATAATTACACTGGATTGGTTTAGCGATCAGTTTCAACCCCTGGTGGGTTTAACACACGTCATATTTATTACTTCCCACTGGGTCAAGTCAGGCAGTGATTGGCTGCATGAGATAACCCCTCCCGCCACGAGTTTCAAAGTGCCGCATCTTCCAGGACCAAAGACCATCATCAAGACCCCCAGGACCACAGAAACCGCCACACCAGGGCCTTTACAGAGGGTCATGTGACCAGCCGCCCACCTTGCTCCGCGATCTCAATCTCGCGGCGGCCGAACTCGGCCTGTTTGATGTTCTTCACGCAGAAGTCGGTGCTGCCCAGCGAGTTCAACTGGGTCTTGTCCCGTGGGGAGGTCTCATCGTCCGAGCTGTCAGTGTAGGACGCAGCTGGTGGGGCGGGGGGGGGTGGGGGTCACACAGGGATACGAGTCACCGCTCTGACACACCCAGCCATGCCGTTTCATCGGACCAGACGTCTTACAGTACATGCGGTACAGCCATGTTGATCTCAAGCGAAGGGGACTGTGGTTTACCTGAGCTGTAGCTGTCCGTAGAGGACTGCGAGATGGACCGCGAGAGGGAACGCCTTCCTGCTTTGGTGGGAAACTTGCTGAACTCCTGCTTATCTTCAGCAAACTGGATCTGCTGTAGAGGTATAAATCAGACGAGACATTTTATATAACATTTTAAAACCCAGACCGATGACAGCATTCAAAGGCCTGCATTTCTAATACTGGGTGTGAATCCCTCACTTTATAGGTTAGATGCACATTCTCACCTGGGCACCATGTTTGTCACATTACATCACCTCAGTCCCTGTCTCCCAGGATACTTTGGTCCTCATTATATTGTGAAAAAGAGAAAGGCAGACATTCCATTTTTACAAAGTGAGAATATCTAGACTCACATTTAAACCTTCATACATAACATCCCATTGTAGTTCCATCATGAAAACTCCAGGCGAAAGAGCGGCGCGTCAGTGGTGCCCAGCAGTGACCTCACACCTCCGGCAAATCTAGCACTTGTAGGTATTAAATACGGTTTTTAAAAAGTAGTATGCTACAGCAGGTTGTGGGTTCGATGCATTGGCTTTGTGAGTCTCCTTGTTCTCCCCATGTTCGCGCTCCAGTTCCCCCCCGCAGCTCTGAGCTGCCCATAGCGTGTGACTGGCTGAGACCCCCCCCGGTGCCCAACATTATCAGGGGCTCACATTTCATTGGTGTTAATATTAAAGCGGGGGGGGGGGGGGGGGGGGGGTACGAACAGCCAAATAAAAACGAAAGAAAAAAAATACAAAGTGTGTTAAATTAGGTCATCATCTGCTTCATAGAGTCTTCTGCCAAAGCTTCCTACCAGTTTTATATTAAGCAAGCAACCCCAGATTCTCGTTATTGTATCAAAAAACATCAACACTTTGAATTGTGTTGCCAAGCAGACAATGCCATCGGATTACTGACAGCTTTCGAACTGATCCCTAAAAATATCTTGTTCTCTTTCAGTGAGGCAAGCGAGCCAATAGTCTCAGACACGTTACGCAACTGCCCTCTGAACAGCTCCGGGAGACTAAAATCATGGGGTGGGGGGACCCAGGGGAAGCCTGACAGGGCAGGGACACATATGCAGGGTAATCCGGCTCACGGTTCTGCTTTCCGGCATGTCGATAATTCTGCTAGATAGACGCCAGTCCGAGGTCAGGGGTCACTCGTGTGTGCACACACTCACACACAGAATCTGTGCCGCACAAAGATTTTGGACATTCTTTAGACCAGTGGTTCTCAAACTTTTTTGCACCGCGACCCAATTTTCACCATGCCAGCTCAGTCGCGACCCAATATTAAGTGTAGGTTTAAATTAACGCTATGATCAAACATGCAATGCATTCTGCAGTTTACGCCAATCAATGTCTATCGCACAAATCTGATTGGATGTGCCAGTGAATTTTGCCCCTTTCAGGCACAAATTTGGGTCACGACCCATGGGGTGTGAACCGCTGCTTTAGGCATTTATGTGGAAAACTGGGCAGTTGATTTTATTATTCTGACTGTTTCACTTTTTTTTTTTTTTAATCAAACCACTTTCAGTTATGAGTCTCGTATCTAACCAATGCAGTACCTTCTTTTCCAGGTTCCTTCACCATTTCCCAACATGCACCTGTCTGCAGGAGGATGAAACATGTCCCATATTTTCTAGAAAACCAATAAAGACCCGCTGTTTCTATGGAGACATAGAACTTACGGACTTTTAGAGGGAAGCAGGCAGAGCTGAAAGCAGGATAACAACAATAGCTGTCTGGCAACTAATATAATCACGGTGTTGTTTGCATTATGCTAACAGTGAAAAGATCATTTATGGGCCTCAGACACCGTTCCATGGCTTCTGGATTAGTCTCCCTCCCACATGCTTTTTAACATTTAACTCCACTAAGCTTTTCCCAGCTAAATCCCCTCCAACTCTGGTATTAAGCTGTTTGTTATGTTTGAACAGAAATGATACGAGTGTCAGACGGTGTCCTTGGCAATAATCCTCAATTCTGAATTTTGACCTTGAGTGGAGCGTAAATGGAGCAAAGTGCTCCCCGTCAGGACCCGTGTCGTGAGCAGGACCTGCAGTCACTCACAGGGTAGGATTTAGAATCCTTGGGTTTTATTTGCTCATATGGCAGAGAAGAAGGAGCCCAGGCCTTTGTTAGACTGATGGTCAAATGGCAAATGCATGCGCTAATAAGCTATGAAAGGCAAAAAATAAGGGTGACTATAGGCTGTCCTATCCTGATGTCTGACTGACTCAAAGGGTTGAGGCCGTCCTTGGACATTATCAAGTCTCGCAGCCACAATCTGTCAGTTTATCAGTTTTCCTTTTTTTGGCTGCTTGATTCTGCTCATTTGTCCACTTGACCTCTGAACACCTGGATCACAAAATTGGGCCTTGGCCTCACCTAGAGCAAAGGAGGCTACAGAAGTCAATCACTGGATTAGCCTTAGAAGATACACACTGACCTACAAGCTGCGGCAGCGAGGAGAATGGGAAAAATGTGAAGAATGTTAAGAAATCGAACCTCCTAAACAGAGCCAGTAGTCTCTGCTGCCACAAAAGTCCTGAAACACCAACCCCCCAAGAATGGGTGTACGATGTGACGATATTAGATCATGGATGATTAAAATGTCTCCACAATCTGCCTTTACGGAGAGATCATTAGTATCACGCTACAGTGGACATTCTATCAGTTGCAGTTCTGTGGCTCACATACATATCTAAAGTCGGTAGTGCCTTGGATTTCTTCCTCTCTCCCTTTCACGCCTATCCCAACATGCAATGTGCAACATGCAACACATTCCGTACTTGCCAACGTAGTGGCATGGATGGCATGAAGGAGTTGGTCCCTAAAAAGAATTTGACATCTGTAATTTGGAACTTTTTTGGATTTTCCAAAACTGACAGCAACAGTTATTTGCAATATTTGCAAAGATAAGGTCTGCATGTCGGAGGGCAGCACGAGGAACCTTATTAACAACCTCAAAGGAAAATCTCCAGAAGAGTGTGCTGAGAATGTTTGTCTTTTTGGTTTTATTGCCTTATAGGGCTGTATTTTTTAAAATAGGGGAATTAGTTTGGTTGTATTGTTAAGTAACTCGCAAAATAGTCACAAAAACATGCGTGAAAAAGAATTGCGATAAGATCGTGGATCGTGATCTTGCCTGAAAAAAATCGTGATATGAAATTTTTGCCGTATCGCCCACCGATACCCCCAAGTTACTCCTTCTGCAGAAGCACACTTTCTACATCCAGATCAGACCAACCCCTGCTTTCCATGACTTCAATCGTGAAAGTCTAAATTCAAGGCAGAAGCAGCACTACGAGCAGTGACTGCTGGGAGCTAAAGCCACAGGGTCGCTTCGAGGAACCGGCCGTCACACACAGGCACTGTTCATAACGGGACCCTAATCCACATCCAGTCTTTTGTCTGCTAATGAACCACAGGAAACACCCAGCCCTTGTTAACTTCCACAACCCTGTGAATGAAGGAACTAGGACTCACAGACGCAGCTACTCCGGGTCGCTGTGCAGAGAGGAACGCTAGCCCATATGCAGTTTGCCGTCCATGGAAAAACCACCGTCCACTCCCCGGTACGTCTCAACCGCATGACCGCCGAAGGACCACAACCAGCCCCCAGGCCCCCATCCAGTTTCCAGCCCCAGGCCCCCAGCCCCAGGCCCCCAGCCAGGCCGGACTCACCCCGCTCTGCCTTTGCGCCATCGTTTCCTGTTTGCAGCTCTCAGCCTCTAGGTTCGTCTGCACTCCTGCCCGGGTATTTTAACATCCAACATGCGTTTTCATGGTAATCTCCTGGCTGGCGGGGACTAGGGAAGACGGGGAGGGGGCGGTACCACCCTCTTTACAAACGGCCACCCCTCCCCTCCCGAGGTGGCTGAAGTCAAACGGCTCATTTTTGGGAAATACAGCCAACCTGATGATTATGACCACAAGAATGGCAGATTAACATCTAATAGAAACCTTGCCCCTTACCTGCCTGGCTGCGTCCCGCCCTGTCCACTACATCTCAGACTTACTCTAATGAGTAAAAGAACACGGGCTATTCAGTATGGTCAATGTCACAGATAGCCTAGATTAATGGTCCTACAGATGGAACTCTATCCATTCATTTTCCATAACTGTTTATCCAGTACAGAGTTACTGTTAGCCAATCCCAGAATGCACAAAACACGATGCATCCGCAATGGGCAGAGAGGTATATATGCATTTCACATATGATACTCTGGCAGCTACGATCCAAAAAGAATACCATTAGCTTACTCAACACCCAGTCTGTTTCTTTACAGGTTTCCAGTGTTCACGGATGTGGAAAACACTCAAGCATGTGTGACGTGCTCAGGAAGAAGCACACTTCGGCAATTTTCAAGCATAAAAAAGCAACTGACACTCTAACACGCATGCAGCTCTGGAACAAATTTAAAAAACACACTATATTTTTTTAAATCTTGTTTTAATCCTGGTTCTACTGGCAGAAGACCACACTGCGAGGCGAACTGCTTCTAGGCGTCGAGTTTCTACAACAGCAGGACACAAGAACATGGTGAAGCAGGAATGCTGGAAATAACCAAAAACCAGTCAGCTAGAGGGCAGAAGCAACTTTCTAATTCCAGAGATGACCATTAACTTATCATAAATCGGAGGATGATCTCAAGTGACCTTCAAAAAGAATGGGAAACATTAACTGGTATGAAGTGCACTGCTAAGACAATTCATAACAGGCCCCTATACTGTCAGAAAAGTACCAATTTGTACCTTTGAGGGTACAATTACTTGTCACTGGGGCTGTACCCTCAAGGGTCTGCCAGTTGTACCCTAGCTGTAGGGTAATGTACCTTTTAAGGTACAGAAATTGACTCTGAGGTACATTTTTTGTACCATTGGGGGTACATTAATGTTGTTTGTACCTTGGACGACAAAACTGTAGCAGGCCTGTACCGATTTTTCCAACAGTGTAGAAGCAGGACTGAAGACCCATAAAGCAAGGAAGAAGCCCTTCATCAATGAGAATTAGGGAAGAGCCCGGCTAGAGTTTGCAAAATCAAATGTATATTTTACACATGAGTGAAACTGAAAATTTTGCTGTGGTCTCATTTTGTTCCAGAGCTGTATATTTGTTTAAATTGTATGTATGAAAAGAATACTTGGAAAAAATCTTAATGTTGCAAAACTCAATGCATTATTGCGTATGTATCGTTTAACAATTCGCACTACTGGTGAAAGAGGATGTATAACAAAGAAAGGAGCCACTGAATAAGGGAGAAAGTGGGCAGTCAGCTCAGGAAATGTCTACATGTCAAGTGGTCCTGCTTCCCGTCCCCAGTTCTGGGGGTGGGGGGTTTGGTGGGGAGGGGTATTGCCCTAAAAAACCCACAGAAGATGCTACAGTCACCGTGGCAACTGTCACCGAGTCGGCTAGGTAATCCACTGAGCAATACGTCTCAAAGATGTTCTGATAAACAGGCTAAGAGATACCAAGCCAGTGCCATTCAAACCAAAGCACCAATTGTTCACAAACACACACACAGACACTAAAGCAGAACATTCAGAGGTAAACAGCAGACAAAATGCCAAGTTGGGAAAAAAAATGTCAACATCAACAATTTATGTTTAAAGCCAAGGACAAAAAAAATGACCCCCTAGCATCCTGACAGGTACAGCATGAGATCCACACTGGCTCTGTTCCTCTTCATGCAGAAAGATCATGTTTACTTGCTCTTAAATCAAGGTCCGGTGGTTTGGAACTCCGATAAGGCAAAGCGATCTCACGACTGCTACATTTGTTGACACAGCACTGAATGACTCTTTTATAAATTGTATATTCTTATTAGGTTGACCAGCTGACCACTGGTCCGTAGAGATCCTTCTCTTCATTATCTCCTCTCGTCCTCTCCTGCTTCATGGTTTGTTACACATCAGGAAGGTCCTCAGGTAATCTCACCTCTTATTTTCAGTGCTAATGGTAGGCATACCTGTCATCTTTAATGTGGTGGACACCATTACCTCAGAACACCCTCTTTTACAAGGCAACGCCTAGATTAAAGGTCATGCAGCAATACACCAATCAATCACCTTCCATAACCACAAATCCACAGAACCACAGCAAACCAGGAGCCCCCACCAAGAAACCCAGGGTACTCAAGACAGAGTGCTAGGTTTAGAAGTGTCGTTATAATACATGACTAAAGTTAAAATGCAACACATTTCAATATACAAAAGATGTACATGGGACTCAATTCTAAAACAGTATTCAAATTTTACTCATTAAAAGGGAAACGTGAAGTAGTTCTTCCTGTGTGTTTTGCTGGACTTTTACCCCTGAGAAGCTCGATGGATAATTCCATGACAGGTCAACATAATAACGTTCAAAACAAAGTTACGTTTATTTCTGATGGCTTACACCACAGGTGTCAGACTCCAGTCCTGGGGGGCCGGAGCCCTGCACATTTTTGGGTTTCCCCTCGTTTAACACACCTGATTCAACTTCTTGTGCTAATTACCACATAGTTGTTGAGCTGAATCATTTGTGGTGGAACAGGGAAAGAACTAAGCTACACAGGGCTGCGGCCCCCCAGGACTGCAGTTTGACACCCCTGGCTTAGACTATACTGTTCAATTCGCTATAGCAGATAACAACACCTGCATGGATTTTTTTAGGAACACTTCATTGACTATATACCGTAAAGAGAGGGATGTTCTGATGATGGTTGCAATCAAAGCTCCAAACAGCAAGCAGGTCAGTATTTTTGCAGGTTGTCTTCGTAAGTGTGGATGCTCTTCAGTCTGCCACACAGGATACCAAACGCTTGAGCTCACATACTGTAGGTTATACCTCTAAGCTGACAACAAGCTGTATAAAAGCTGCCTGACCTGCTGTTCTGTCAGACTCCCTCATCTACTGATTTCCAAGTCCTTGTATTTCCTTATATCGCCACCATTTAGCTTCTCCGCTGCTCCACCACATTATGCACGAGGCACCTAAGCATCCACAATCAGGAGGAAGCTGGAGATAGGCCTTTTTCTCCATGAACCTGGTGAAAAGTAAGGTAATGCTGTATATGCTGTGAGGCACCTTCTCCTGTCTGAATGACTACTGGTCTACCATGCATGTGTGTATGTCTGAAAGGTGACCAAAATTTCTTTCCATTATGTTCTTGAAATGTTTTATTACATACTACTGTCCATCCATACATCCATCCATCCATTATCCATGACCACTTAGCCAATGCAAGCACACGGATGAGCCAGAGATGCCAACTATGGTTAGCTGGCTGGACTGAGATTTTCAAATCGAGACACGTCTGCACACACATTTACATGTATGTTAGAGTTTTATTACCGTGTAAATAGTCTGTAGGGTTTGCAAACTGCCCCAACGCCTTTGATATAGCTTATTTTATGTTTATAACGGAATAATAAGAATTTGCCGTACGATTTATTGCATGAGCATGAGTCTGAAAGCTTGACTGTCACGCCAGATGCGCGAGAGTTGGTGATACTGGGATGGGCGCATATTTATGTGAGGATAATAATTATTCATGAGTACACAACAAGATCCAGACGTGTGCAGGAAATTTACCCCGGACGCCTACAGACGCACCTGCGCACCAAAAGAGGGGTGACAGGGCCAAATCAGCGCACCCCAACGGAGACGGTCACTTATTCGGGGGCGGTAGGCAGGCGCAAGGGTGTCAGTAAAGTAAGTAGTAAACAGATGTCCCAGACAGTTTAACATTTATCAAAAATAAATCCCATTTATTATCAACAACCTGCGATACCGTTTCCAGTTGGCGTAGCACTAGGTGTCATAAGCATTACTAGTTTTTGCCAGCCAGCTTGTAATTCCGCTAGCCGTTTTGCGGAAAGGCAATCATTAATAAAGTTTCACATTGCACAACTTTAGTTTGGTGGAAGCACATTTATTCGGGGGCTTGTAATAAATCTCGCATTGTGCTTGGGATGTCTTCCGTAGCCTTGTGCGCAACGACTACAGATCGTCCAGCGCACGCACTGCAACCGAGTGTCCATGCATCGCGTTTATTTTATCATCATGATAAATTACCATCATGATCTAACAGGGTGTTGGCTCCGCGCGGGTCGCCTTACCTTTTTGACAGGTTTCTGGGGCGTGAACGCGTAGGGCAGCTCGCCCGCGCTCCCGCGCCCAGCCCTCGCTGAGCACTTCTCCGCCGCGTTCTCACTCTCCTTGGCCTCCTTGCTGGCCTGTTTCGGTTCAAGCTTACCGTCGACCACCGATTCCGACATTATAATAAGTGAGGTTTCTCTCTTTGCCCCCTCCCCTTCACAGTTAACCCCTGCCTGCTCCGTACTTTGAAGCTCCTTCCTGATCGCACCCGTTCTTCTCGGGCAAAAAGCGCGCGCCTGAAGCGCAATCTGAATGCGGTAGGTATGCGGTTATGAGCCTGCTCACGTGCGTGCGCGCTTTGAGTTTTCGGGGCTAATATTCTGATGTTAAAACAGTGATGTCTTCATCGCAGCTGTAGGATTGTCCCCTTTTTCAGTCTGCGTAGGACTGCGTAGCTGCTATTCGCAGGCAGCCTTGGTTGCTTCCGTCCCCTGTCACCTTAGCGAGTGGGCGGGCAGGGGGCGGTGTCTGATTGGGCTTTACCGAAGCTTTTGCGGAACTCAACCACAGATAAACCACGCTTGATTTTCTTTTTGACGTCTGTGGCGAGCATAGAAGCTTAAAAAACATTTTGATTTAACAAAGCAGTATTTTAAAATGCGTTGTTGTGGTCGCGGGGTCAATACTTTATTAACACAATTAGTCTGACGGTCTAAGTATATACTACCAGTCTGAGAGACAACATATAAAACGTATAAAATAAAAAAGCTCTTTTAATGGCAGAATGTAGTACACAATCCTGCATTTTATTCTACTAATTCATGCATGGAGGAAAAACCAATACAATATACATTAGAAATGTATGTACATTACCCTACCCACCATGTGACATTATTTTTTTTATTTTTTTTTACAAAGTTCATGCAAAAGCCCTTGCCATATTGCCAATTTACTGAGCAAACACACTACCGCTACCAGTGATTCGGTATGTAGCAAAGTAATTTCAAAGTTCAAAGTAATTTTCTACAACTGCTTCAGACAGATACAGATGAGAGTGGTTAAAAGGTGATAGAAATCCTTGCCAATAGAATCACAGAGTTATTGCTTCTCAGAATGAAAAGGAATAAGCAAACTTGCAAAACATGTGAAACAAATTGGCGTGGTGCTGCTTCTTTGCCCCCAATGGTGTGGGACACAATCCCTAATAACTGACTTTGTTGTGGGACACTTTCATTTACATGCCTGGTGGTTGGGAGGGTGTTATGAGAAATACAAATGAAAGAAGAAAAAAAATCTTATCTACAACTGTTTTTGCTTCCCATCCTACACACAACAGAAGAATGAAACAGACACGTGTGTCTGTCATGTGTCTGTCAGCACTGGGTACTAAGATTTTTAAAAAATTATACAAAAAGGGAGGGCTGTCATGCAAAACCATCAACACAAAACCTCCTGACTAAATAATTTAATGAGGAACTGAAAAATATTCTAATGTTACACAATTATACTTTACAGAGAGAAACTATTCAACACTAAGATTACAAAATAGCCAGTTACTGCAGCTATGCTTTCCTACGACGTAAGCCCCACCTATGAAGAAAGTCGGGATCTCAGACTTCCATCCCAGCCCTGACACAGACTTAATACCACAGGAACACAAGTACAGGACATTTCACTAACACTAGCGTTAAATCTGTAGAATTTCATCACGACCCCGTCACGCATCCCGTGACATACTGAGCATTGTGGTCTTAAGCTTTTCCTCCCTCCCTAAACAGAGAAGCTGAAGAGGCAAAACGTCGAAAATGAAAATCAGATGATTGCTGTTTCTTTGGAAGATCAGACCAAATCATTTGTAAAGTGGGTTGCAAGCTCCTCAATTTCAGGGCAAGTTCTGGATCACTCTGACATAGCAGCCGTACCGATTTTGGGAGCTACAAAAGGGAGGGAGAGGCAAGGGGGGGAAAAAAAAAAAAAAAAAAAAGCTAAAGTGTGCCCACATTTTAAATCAAAAAATAAAAAATATAAGCATTCTGCATTCACTAAAACGGGGGACGTTTCCTTATAACAAATCAGAGTTGCTGTTGAGCGCCCAACATTGGGGGAATCCCCTCATTCTCTCTCTCTCTCTCTCACACACACACACACACACACACAGGCAGGCAGCCTGGTGTTACGACACACGGATGATCTGGTTCACGGTCTCGTCCGCAGCTTGGACTTGATCCTGTTGGCCCTGGAAGGAGGAGGCAGGGGTCAGAGGTCAGACAGACTGCACAGGTGAACACAGCACACCTACGGACAGGTCAGGTGCTAGTGTACATTGTAGTGTAATTAAATTTAGACCCCCAGGCTCCTAGAATTTTCACAACATTGATGTAATCTGGCATACTTGTGTTGTGTTAATACATAAATAGTTACAGGCTTATTTTAGCCCAGTTACAGATATTTATTTCAGTTCAGTTGCAAACATTTTTCAGCTAATATGCGATAGTGCTTCAAACCTTTAGCTCAATGTTAAGCTTTAAACCCCAAAGCTTTAAATATTAAACCTGGAAAGCCACACATACAGGATTCCTGCAGCTTGCCCTCTGATCAGAAGACTGTTTTAATTTTATTAAGTGTTGCAAAAACAGGATTCTGTTATGTTGTACATTGTTGTCCAAGGCCCATACAAGGAGCTCACATATGTTAAGACATTCTTCAGATGGTATTAAAAGTCATTTATTCATATTTAAAAACAGGAAAAGAATATACATGTTTGTATGCCAGACAAGAAAAACAAACACGTGAATACCATCAGGCCAAGCAGAACAGCACATCTTATCTGGATTTAAAATATTAGCATTAGCAAAAGCAACATGCAGACATCACAGTGGGGCATATCTACAGGAAATTCAAACTCCCACTTCCACGAAAAGCAAGCCTACACCAACCCCCCCCCCCCCATGTACCAATCCCACACACTCGCTTAGGAGGTCTCCAACTTCCAGGTGCTGTTGTCCTCCAGGTCACGACCCGGACAGTGGTACAGTACAACCCACCAGACGGGTCTGGGTTGGGCTAGACCCGAAAGCTGGGCTGGAGGCCCAACAGAACAGTTTTGGTGGACAGGTTTATAGCACAGCACAGCACGTGACAAGCAAGGGCTGGAGAAAACTTTACTGGAGCCTGACTACTACTGCCATGCTGGGTTGAGTGATACACAGCAATTCCCCCAAAGAATAAGCAAGAGAACATACAAACAGAATCAAGCTGATGAGACCAACATAACAGAAATGCCAGAGCAGCAAACAGAAACAGGGGCCCAGGGGAGCTATTCAGAGGAGGTCAGTGAAAATGTCACCCCCTAAACTGCCACTTACCCTCCGCCAGAAGTTCACAACTTACAGCTGAGCATATTTAACAAACCATAAAAATAATCTTATCTGAGGTAGCTGGCATAAGACAATGAACAGTAGGTTTCAGACACAAAGAAAACATGGCTCTCATCTTACAGGTAAGGCCTACTGAGTACAAGTGGGATGTCCCACTGTTTACCCGAGGGGGGGGGCAGACATGGATGGCCAATGGGAGTTGAGCTGCAGAGCCCTAAGCACATCCTCCTCCTGCTGCTGGTTTAAGTCCCCCTTTTCCCTCACCTGTAGGGCAAGGGCCATTTCCTCCTTCTCCTTGGGTGAGAAGAAGCGGCCGCCATCACCGCGTTTCCTCTGCATGGCATGCCGGTGTCGTGACTCGTGCAGATATTTCTAAGAGCAGAGACACAAGTCAGCACCAATGCCTAAATGAAACAGTGATTTGTCAAATTGCCCCCTCTAGTGGAAGATATCTGCAGTGACATTTAGAGTGAGTAAGGTCCCATGTAGGGTATATACCCTGATAGATTGAATGCCTAATATTTTGCAATGGCACAATATGTTATTTCTTTATACAAAGAATGTTTGTTATTCTTTATATAGACTAAATAACTAAACTTGCTTATTATTTGTTGTTGGTCGAGAAAGTAACTTGGTTTCAGATTGCCTAATAACGGATTCAAGTGTTTTTCTTTTATCTTCTTTTGTGACAGACTAATGTAACATTTTCTCTAAATAAAATTTACTTGGAGCAAAATAAAATTTTGAAGTAATAGTATTCCAGGAATAGTACTTTGTAATTCGGCACACAGTGTATGAGAGTCACTTGAGTTATTTCACTGGCTAACAGCATACTGCTTACATATTTGCCTTCCGCTAATCAGGTAGCCCCCCCCCCACACACATTGGGATCACTCAGCCGCTTAGCCCACACGCCAGAAATAACTGATACCTTCATGCGGACTGATATCTTCCTGGCTACCACGGATAACTCAGGGCTCCACCGTTAGCGTCGGCGCTAGCTGCACTGCCCTGCCCGCGCCCCAACTCACCCTGCCCCCGTCCCAACTCACCCTGCCCGCGCCCCTGCTCACCCTGCGCTCCTTGGGGATCTTGCCCTCGGCTTCCAGCTTGGCGCGGGCCTGCCGGCGCTTCAGGATGCGGTGGTACTGCTTGGCGTTAACGTAGAGTGGCTCCTCCTCCAGCATCTCGGCGCCAGGCAGCGGGATGCGTTGGATGGAGGGCACGGTGTTGCCGCCGGGCACCATCTGAGACAGAGCGACGGGGGGGGGGCAGGGACATGGCTTAGACCAATCAGCGGCTGAGGCCCGCGGCTGCTCCCCACACTCCCTCAGATTTTATATGCTCACCATCACCATGCCACCGGCATTCACCATGTTGCCGGATACCGGCAGGGTGACTGTCACGGTGCCCTGGCCGCTGGTGCTGGTGTTGGTGTTAGAGCCGGCCTGCACGATCTGGGCCCCTGCCAGGCTCGCCGCGGGGATAGTGATCATTCCTGCAGGGCAGTGAGATGTCAGGAGGCTCCGCCTACCGGGGATGGCTGGCACGTGATTGGTGTACACGTGGAAACGAGGGCAGGGCACTTACCCTGCTGCAGGATGGTGCCGTCAGCGTTGACCGGCTGGTATACAATAGTCTGGCCCTCGGCCGTCTGCGCCACCTGCTGGCCCTGCACCGTGATCTGCTGCTGGCCCTAGAGCACACAGAAGTCCCAGCAGTCATAAGCCAAGAGAACCATGCTGTGTAGAGCTTCCTTAACCTAGTCCTCTAACCAAACTCACATGGGTCGATGGACTCCCCTCGCCCGACGCCCACCAACGCTCACCTGGGTCTGTCCGGCGGTGACGGCCGTCTGGGGCTGTTGGATGATGATCTGCTGGGTGGCACCTTGTTGGCCCTGCACTTGAAGCGCCTGTCCCCCCTGGAGCTGGATCTGCCCCGGCTGGACGAGCTGGATCTGCCCCACAGAAAACAAGAAGTGTGAGGGACTCGAACTTGCGCAACATTTCACATATCGATACCACCCTGGAGAACGACCCCATGCAGCTCCCCCCAAGCCCACGGTCCCGGCCTCACCTGCTGCAGACCCTGCGTCCCTGATACAGGCACCTGCATAATGGTCTGGCCCTGGCTTCCAGGCATGGCCTGCACCATGATCGGCTGCCCCGAGGAAGTGATCAGCTGGCCTCCGCTGACCTGCACCATCAGGGGCTGACCCTGCACCTGGGTGGCAGGAGACACAGTTAATAAGCAGGGTTGCCAAGCTCCGGACCCCAGACCACCAGGGTCAGTAATGGACACCAGGGGGCAGGTGCGAGCATGCGCGTGCAGGCAGACACTCAGCCAGCGAGCCTGGAGACGCCGGGCAGAAACGAGCACCTGGGGACACCGCGGTCCCTTGGCACGATGTCACAGAAACGTCACGAGATCCAGCCGAGCACAAATTGCACAAGACAGGTGCGGTCGGGGAAGGGGAACATCCAAACGACAAGCTGAGACATGCAGGTCTTGCATCACTGGGCCGAGGTGGCGGCGACGGGATCCCACGATGCCAGACAAAGATTCCACTTTCTTACAGTCAGGTTTTACAGACATTTAAATGCTTCAAACAGAAGGAGCATGCAAAGCTCTGATCTGGGGTAACCTGCCCCTGATGTTAATTTTGCATACATACATACATACACAAACATAAATATAGACAATTTTTTGTTAAAAGCACAATGTCTTAACGTTTGAATGACTTAAGATTCACTTAGATAATCTGAGAAATTGCACAAGTTAAATATTAAGCATTATAGGTCTCCAAATAAATTGAAGGGAAAAAAGAAAAAAAAATGGATGAACAACAGTACAGAATAGAATCAAATTAAAATCTTTAAATGTTATGGGGAGAAAAGGTGCGATAAAATTTAGAAGTTTAGAAATCTTATGAAGTATTAGCTCCACTGCTAAATGTTTGTATATTGGTATATTCGTCTTAAATTTCATTAGACTCAAGAGGATGTTCTAAATTTCCCCCCAACTCCGCCCTAAACGCAGATGTGTTTTGGCATTTTATATCTTATCAGCTGGAGCTTTGTAATTGCCGTTCACACATTAAAAAATTAAAAACGGCACAAACCCTAATGTCTCGGGGGGACACTCATGGTGCCACACTCAAGGTGGTGTTCGTACTGCATTCCGAAACGAGATCTTTTCAGGTCAACAGCGATGCCAAAACGTAGCTTTGTGGGGAACCCATATATGGAGCCATCGACTACTCAAGGACTGTCCTACCACCAAGCTGCAGCGAGATGTGCGATACTACAACATCCACAAGTTGAGGGAGGACACACCCACCAGCTACTCAGGGTGGGGTGGGGGGGGGGGCATTCATGCAACCAGCCAGGCCAGTGTGCAAAGGTTCTTCACAGGCAAGCATGGGATATGACACGGTGGGGGGGGGGGGTCATGCAGAGAACTGGGAGCTGGAATTCACACCACTACCTGGAGAGTCTGCACCTGCTGGCCAGAGGCCGGTGCCACTTGGGCCTCAGTCTGCAGCTGCACTGCGGTCACTGTGCCCTGCGACCGAGACAGGGAACCGTTACCAGGGTACGGCCAACGAATCCTTCAGAGCGGGGAAGGGAATTGCTACCGTGGCACAACTGTGCTTACCGCCCAGAGACAGCATGTACTCGCAGGAGCACGACCGCAGCCACTGTCAAAGTCGGCAGGGATCGAAGTTTAACTGCGGCCTACGCGTCCAGGAATTAGGCAGAAAATCGGCACAAGACCGCAAATACTGTGCCAAAGACGGTCATTAACACAGAACTGGGATTAGTGTGGTCAAAGGAGATCACTGACTTGCATATCCCAGGTTGGGGGGGTTCGGGTTTAAAAAATTACATGTAAAAATTATAAAACAAATATCCAGGATTCTCCAGCCAGTTCACTCAATAATGGATTCTGAAATTACTGGGTTTTCATATATTCAAATCTATAAACATTTTCCTGTGTGCAAATCATCCACACAGATGAGAGAAAGTGATTCAGTCTGAAAGGCATGACTTAAGTCGAAAAATGACTTGCCACAAAAAAACCCTAAAAACTATTTAGACCATGCGGCGAAAATCGGCACCAAATACCAGGTAAATAAGACAATTTTTTTTTTCATTTATAAGCTGATATTTGATTTTACACAATATATTATTTTACATATTTTAACATCGCCTGACTGATGTAAAGTTGCGTAAACTGACAGTATTTAACAAAAAACTGACAAAGTTGATTGACGTAACACGAATCAACATGTGACGACGTATTACTGTAATGTGAAATATGCAGATCCTAACTCTCGTCTATTGATCTACACAGAAGTGATATTACACTGAAGTTCTGCAAGGTTCAATTACCTCCACATGAACTAAAATCAATGTCATGCTTTTCCATGAGAAAAGCAACACCACTGTCTTTCTGTGGAAATACATTTGTCCATGACACATAAGGTTTTTCTCAGAGAATCTCACCGCATGATTTTACAACCCCCCCCCCGTAACACACAGCTGTATAGTAGATCACCCTCCCTCGTAGGAGTTAATGGCTGGATAAACATCTGCTTTAGAAGTCTTATCTCCACTGCTAAATATTTGTATATTGGTACATTCCTCTTAAATTTCATTAGAATCAAGAGAATGTTCTAAATTTCCCCCCAACTCCACCCTAAACGCAGATGTGTTTTGGTATTTTATATCTTATCAGCTGGAGCTTTGTAGTAGCCGTTCAGACAGAGCAAAGACATTAAAAAATAAATACAGCACAAACCCTCATGTCTCAAGGGTAAAGCTGTACACACAGCTGTACAGGAGAATCACCCTCCCTCATCGGAGTCAATGGCTGGATAAACATCTGCTGTGGAGAGCTCAGCCATCTCTGTGCCTCTGCCGCTCACCTGCTGCTGGAGCTGCCCGCTGGCTGCCTGGACCACAATCTGCTCCCCGGTGGTGGAGGTGGTGGTGGTGTACTGCTCCATGCCCACGTCACCTCACTCTGCTGCTGCTGACGACGACGACGACAACGATCTGAGGCAGACCGAAAACATGAGTGCGCATCAACAGCAGTGCCGCTGCCTGATCAGGAGACACGCACGCTGAATCACACCGACTTCCCATCTACCCACTGCATGGTCGTTTGCACGTCAAAGCAACAAACAGTCAAAAGAAGTTAGCAAACCAGTACAAATTGAAGTGACTTCTAACAGCTCAAACGAGGTCTGAATCTCTGTCCAGGACACTCATACACAAAAAGTAAAAAATCTCAAGTAAATTCCAATGTTTTTGTTGTAGTTGGAATGTTATACCATTCCAAACGGGTACAAATACTTTTGGGAAAAACAGGTTATTTCGGTGTAAAGTCGCCATGCATGTAAAGGGGGGGGGAAAGCACAGAGGGTGGTTTGAAATGGTTACATCTTAATTAACGGGTTAAGTGAGGTTAAATCCCCCCGCCTCTATAAGCTTATTTGTTGACTATTTCCCGCGATGCAAATACAGAGTGGTCTGATTTGATAGCAGTCCGAGTCATATTTTGTTTCGTAGTATAAAGTGTATCTAAAAACAACGAAGGGACGCCCCCTGCCCATGACGGAGGAGCCGAAACGACTCATTTTGCGATGAAAAACTCGCGATAGTGGATAAAAGAGAGCGTTTAAGTCACTTGGCGGCTGCTGGAGACTGTATTTCAAAATTATATCGAATGTATGCACAATTCTTAATAATTTATGGTCATTGCTCTTAGAGATGCGTTAGACAAATGGTGAAATAGGCAGACAAAGAAGCCGGTCGGCGCCTCATCGCGGTCCGAGGTTCAACACCCGATCTCTGATATTCACACACGGTTGTATGACTATGGGTTTGAGTAGAATAGTTTATATAAAACTGGTAAATTAAGTATACATTATTTCTGTCTCCAAGACCGATGGTAGTGCTTGTAGATATCTGGGGAAAAAATAGACGCTTTTCTTGGCGATGGGGGTCATCGCGTGAACTCGCGCGCTTTAAGAATAACGTACAGCGAGTGAACTAGAGGTCAGTATTTGTGGTAATAAATCATTTTGAGGTATTTTCGCGGTTCTCCATCTCCGTCAGAAAAACATCACTGTATGCCAAATATGTAGGCCCCGAATGGAAGGCGATTCACACAATAGATTAGCAAGCTACTAAGCACGGGTGTACGAGTTCATGTCCTAAAACGCAAAACTAAAAGTAATTTGCTTGCATGTAACCTACGAAAATTAAACAAAGTGTAATGTATTTCTTTTTTATTGTGGACTACCACTTATAACGGATATACTGCCGTGGAGGCATGTGAGAGCGCCAAGCGCCGCTAGTCAGAGCAGGCGGCCTCCGTCTCCCGCAACACACAAACAAGTAGTTTTCCAAGGAGAATTCCGAATTTAACCGACACTAGACGGGCACCACCGGCTGCTGGCAAGCAGCGGGGCCGGCCGCACACATTAATGCACAGACTCCCACGTAGTCGGATAGAGCCTGCGGGCTTGCCGAGCACGGCAGAGTACAGAGGGACCATGAGACAGCACCGGTTTGCCTCTCGTCGCCCCGGCCCGGGCCTTTCCTCGGCCCTCTAATTCGCCTTGGATATCGTTCAACCATTTTGTTTCGGGGACTAGGGAACGTTGCCTGCCGCGTTAATGTGCACTTTTGCGGCGCGTACCTAGCAGTTAAACGTAAATACAAGCCAATTCCTGTGTTTTGCGGCGTTAGTAATTTGGTTGGTCAGTGACACACCAATCCCCTGCTGCCGGATCCCATCCCCTCCAAGCCGCGCTCCCTCTCACCGTTTCTCCGCCGCACGGTTCCCCTCTGATTGGCTCCAGCGCCGACCAACGAAGCCCAATCACCGAGCTCACGCGAGTGCGGACAAAATGGCGCAGCTTTACCACCTCCGACAAGCAAGGCCGCCGCCGTTTCTCCGCCCCTCGTCGTCCCGCGACGCCTTATCCACGCCCATAACGCAACATTGCGCATGCGCCTGCCGTGTTCCTCCGCCCACGTCGGTCCGCTGTTGACGTAACACTGCTAAATGGCGCCTCTGCAGCTGTTTTGTATTACAACGGTTTTATGTGTACGAAATTCAAAGCTACTGTATCAGGAAGTGTGCAGGGAGATGAACGTCGACTGCTTTTGTTAGTCGTTACGAAGATGCGGTTTAGGCGGTAATTACTTGATTAACCATAGAATCCCGATTTTAGTCATTGGTACCTTTTGCAGTTCGTAAATTCGAATACATTCATCATAACCATAAAGCACGTCTGAAATGTTTGTAATGCTTTCTTTTATTGAACAAATATTCAAGTACAAACTTATAAGGCATGATTGAATACTCCAGTTTAAACAATAACCAAAAAAATCAAGAAAACGCATAAATAAAGTGTATGCGTGACATTGCGTCACGTTGAACCCAATCAGCACATTACTGTGAAGGCCCAAGGCTATCCATATTGTTCACAATCATCAAAGCCACAGTCCATAATTGAAATAAAAGTACTAGTTGAACTGAATTATTACTTAGACCTTACTTCCGATGAACTCTGAAACCAGATGTTTTACTTCCCAGATATAAATTATTAGTTATGAATTATGTATATATAATATAAAGTAATATAAAATATATAATACATATAAAATGACTCTTTTATATGTGTGTGTGTGTGTATGTATATATATATATATATACATATATATATATATATAAATAATACCTGTTTCTCAAGCATGTTTGATGTAAGACTGGCATATAATAAAGTTAGTGGTCATAGGGTTAGGGTCAGACACAGTCTGCAGAAACAGTACCGTAAAATGGGAGCTCATATGATTATGATTATGATCATGTTTTCATATATGATGGTTACTCAGGTTACTCATATTAAATAGAATTTAATATATCAGACTTTCAACCTCAATAGGCATAGTGGAGAGATTTCTATGTCCTACATACTTTGATTAATGTTTGTTAATATAAATAACATTTTGATCAAAATACAATTTTTACTATAAACATCGGTCCGTCAATGGACAGGTTGACGATCCCTGAGTGTAACATCTAAGTCTGGGTTAAGGCTTTGAGGGTTTTTAAGCAGTCCTTCACACGATCTCTGCACTATCCATGAGTGTAAGCCTGTTAAAATGCAGTGGAAACTCCACAACATCAGGCAAATAGTGCAAAGGTACTATCTTATAGAAAATATTGTATAATGAAGTACCTATAAGCTAATTAATGTTGCATCCACATTTTAAGATCCAAATGTAAGAAAAATATATTGAAATATACCAGGAAGGGCCATTCCTTTAGTGTGTGCTGATTTCCCTCAGCTCTTGACTTCTTCATTGTGGAAGTGAACTGGACTGCAAATGATCTCATGAGTTTATCATTGAATTGCAATGCCAGCAATTATCACACTTGTGAACTTGATCTGAGGCTGGATTAAAACAAAGCTTAAGTGAATAGGGTTTATAAAATATTGCATCTGATTTTTATTGCCCATTGATTAAGACATTCCATGCATTTGTGGACATAACAGAATTCTACAAGAATTTTTGAACACCTGTCATAGAATTAGTTACAAAGTTGTAGCAGAACGATAAAAATAAACAAATTGTTAAAGTTCCCAGAATTCTCTTTATTACATCAAAACAAATCAAAAAATGAAGATTTCTTTTTTACATAAATACACAGATCACCAATGTGAGAGAGTGGGGAAAAAAAACTAAACGGCTTTCCATATATTTTTCAAGCATGATAAAAAAATATATATACACCATTTTCTTAGATTACAGCAGATAGTATTCACCAGCCGGGAAAGCAAGTGCATCTCTGTGACTATTGGACAAACTCTGTGCCTCTCGTTTCAAGTTCCTCACAATGGGTTTCTCACCGCAAGGGTTGGTGGGCAAAGCTGTGTGGCTGAGAGGGACCAGATCCCAGCCCAGATCAACCTGGTCAGCCACCTGTCCGACAGCCATCTGGTCTAGTCCATCCCCGTACATTTGCATGAAACGTGACACCACAAAGAACCAGATTACAAGGCAGGAAGGTGTCCTGGCAAGCAATGGAGGTCTCTTGGTCTCCCTGGGGGTGGATCTCTGTCTCCCGGGGCTTCTGCACAAGCAGTGGATGCTGCATTTGAAACACGGTTTGGCTGGTGGTCATTCAGGCCGGGTTGAGAAGTGGCTGAAGGTTGTTCTGGAGAGATTTGCGTGGTGGAGTCGAGGCACTAGATACAGCAGCAACTTTAGTACTGGATCTGGCGTGGATAGACAGAGTTGGGGGACTGGAGGAGAATGGTGCCTGGGAGTTGGGAGGGGGGGGGGGTGCGTCTACCCAGGTTTCTCCTTCCACCTGGATACAGCTTCCTTTGGGTCTCAATCCAGAAGGTCCTGCACAGCAAAGGCAAAGGCATTTCAGCACACAGCAAGTGAACAAGCCTGGCTAAGCTACAGCAGTCGGTCCTGCTACACTCAGACCCAGGTCCACTTGTGAGCACGTGTGCACGTGTGTTTATTAGCAATGTAATGGATCTGAAACCAAGACCCATAAAACAATAAGTTATTGTTCTACTTAAAGTTAGGACATGCTGTATATTTTGTAAATATTACACCTTCCAATTGTGTGTCACATGACTATTTTGGTCCAATCATGACTGAGCGATCATGCCTAGGCTAGTTTCATTAGCTCAAGATGGATAATAAGCCTTAGATTGCAGAGCCTCCTGGCACTGTCAGGTCAGCGGTGTTGGAATATTTTGGTTATCCATGAGAATATAGTATTTCATTTTTTAATTAATTTTTTTGTTATTTAATTTTATGTGAAGTTAAGGTAATATAAGATGTTGTTTAGTTCTTCTGTTAGTTGTTGAACAATAAAATCTACATTTTTTCCCCATTTTTTTTATTAATCACCTACTGCCCTTCCGACCCAAAAAATCTAAACAAAAAAAAAAACTAGGTAAGGACCGAACCATGACTCAAATATCAAACTCTGACCCAAACCGTGGATTTGGAGACTAGTTATGTGCCTTGTGTTTGTGTGTCAGTACCTCATCGGAATCGTCGTGGTACTGCCTCCTGTTGGAACTGACGGCACACGTGTCCAATGCATCCGCGGTCTCGATGCCGTTGGCGTCTGCGTGTTGCTGCAGCACTGAGTACCTGTGGACCAGAAATCTGCAAGAGAAACAATGAGATGTGCACTCCGGCAAAACATAAACCCACCAGCCCAGCAGAGGGCACTGTGCCAGGACCGCATGCATACCTACCTCCCTCCACATACGTATCTCTTGATGAAGAGCACCCCTGCTGCCACACTGATCAGCAGAGTGCAAATAACAACCAGTATGATGAGTGCAGTGCTGGAGGTGCTCGTGTTCGTCTAGGGGGCGGGGGTCAGACAGGCAGAGAGAGTAAGGATTTTGATTTATTACAACTAAACAATAACAATGAATGTTACATATACATGAGAAAGTGGCAGTGGAGACTCCTTACCTGCTTTTCAGTGACCAAAATGTTGCTGACACACCTGCTGCTCAGGTCAATCACTGAGCGCTCGGGTGCAGCACCCCCCTCGCATTTGTCTCCTGGTATCTTCCGGTACCTGTGGGTCACAGACAGGGCGGGAGATCAGCATTACAGGTGGAACCAACAGTTGATCCCACTCTCTTTTATCGTCAGGGTCAACCTCACAGACTTTCTTGCCTTTGTGTACGAATCATTCATTCATTTAAGAAGTGTTAGTGAGGGAAAAAACACACAATTTCCCTGAATGTGAATCCAGAGTATGGGTGTGCGATTTCGCGATATTAGTTCGTGAACAATTACAATGTCTCCACAATCTGCCTTTACGAAGAGATCATTAGTAGAGATCGTTAGTATCACGCTACAGTGTACTTTCTATCAGTTGCAGTTCTGTGGCTAAAGTCGTTTTGTCAGTCAAATCTGTTTCGACACACCAACAAACCGGCAGTAGGTAGTGCCTTGGATTTCTTCCTCTCTCCCTTTCACGCCTATCCCAACATGCAATGTGCAACATGCAACACATTCCGTATTTGCCAATGTAGTGGCATGGATGGCATGAAGGAGTTGGTCCCTAGAACGTATTTGACATCGGCAATATGGAACTTGTTTGGATTTTCCAAAACTGACAGCAACAGTTATTTGCAATATTTGCAAAGATAAGGTCTGCATGTCGGAGGGCAGCACGAGGAACCTTATTAACAACCTCAAAGGAAAATCTCCAGAAGAGTGTGCTGAGAATGTTTGTCTTTTAGGTTTTATTGCCTTATAGGGCTGTATTTTTTTAAAATAAGGAAATTAGTTTGGTTTTACTTCTAGGTAACTTGCAAAAGTCTTAAAAACGAACATAAAAAAAGATTCATTATATGATGTTTTTGCCGTATCGCCCACTCCTAAATCAGTGTCACATTTTCTGCGAGTACTATGACCCTGTACTGAAGAAGCAACTGGAAGATGAATGGATGGATGGATGGATGGATGGATGAAAGGATGGATGGATGGATGATCTAACAGACTGCAGCACCAGAGGTAAACTCACTGACTATATTAACGTTCTTTGAATATGTAACAAATATTTATTAACAAATCTATTTAAAAAGATATTTTCACCATCTACTGCAGTGCATTTAATCTTGGAGGACATTATAATCACTGAATGGGTTTGAAACTTCCAATGTACCTGCAGGTAAGATGGCTCATGGATGGAGGTGTAGCTGTATGACAAATAAACAGCGACCAAGAGAGAAAAGGAAGGATGACCGACAATATCATTACCAAGAGGGGGGTGTTCAGGTGCTAGGGCGGGCAGAATGAGCATTACCCCTTAGTCTGCAGCTGCTCCATCTTGCCCTGTAGACAGAACTCCAGCACCTTGCCCTGGAGGTCCGGCTGTTCCACACACTCTGAGCTGTTCTCTACACGGTAGTAGCCAAAGTC